GAGCAACGGGGCTCGAGGGAGCGGTGGGCTTCATGTACTCTCCCAGGGGAAGGGTGGCAGATGCGGTATCGTTAAATTTCTGTGCCTCGTCCAGCTCCTTGGGGTTGATGGGGTGATCCGGAACGTTGGGGTCCTTGATGCCCCAGCGGGCAGCGTTGAAGAGATAGCCGTTGAGCGCAACACTGAGAGCGAGGGCGACCACAATCCACTTGGACAGAATAGGGTCTTCCAAGCTCTTGAGAATGCTGCCGACCATGCGGCCTCCATAGCCACCAAGGTTGGTGTAATCGCCACCCTCAACTTCGGCCGACTTCTGAGGAAGATCATAGTGGATAGAAGGATACTCAAGCTCGTAACGAATAGGAGTAAGGACGGTCACGATAGTCTCCCTGCCATCGGCGCGGGCGGCCTCGAGAATGATATCCAAACCGTTGGACGCAACCTTGAAAGGGTCAACCGGAGGAGGCGTCACGACACCGCCAAGACCACGAGCCCACGAAGAGATGCTGGAGATGGAGTTGGCACTGCGGAAGGGAATGGTGCAGAGGTTGAGGACGTTGATCAGAACAAAGCCGGTAACCATCATGACCTTGAACTTGGGGATATGAGTGCTCTTGAGCTGACGACCGAAGATGGTGGTTCCAGGCTGGTCCTTGCCATCAGCGCGGGGCCAGTCGTTGCTTTGGGCAACTTTTTCAGCAACGCGACGGCTGACGCCATCCTCCTCCAAAGCCTTGCGCATCTGAACGTGGCGCTTGATGCGGTTGATTTCGAGCTTGATGCAGAGAATGGCAGTGTAGAAGGAGAAGAGCAGGATGCAGTCGAAGAAGAGAATCCACGCGGCAAGGAAGCAGAACTGCTGCAGGCCGCCCTGGACGCCAGAAGCAGCGCCCAAGACCAGAATGCCGGCCTCAATGGCGTAGTCCTTGACAATGTCAAAGCCCTTCTCCTTGATCGCGAGCTGAATAGCGGACTGGATGCTGTGGGCCGAATCAGCCTGCTTGGAAGTCTTACCAGACTTTTCGGTCGGACGGCGGTGGTCAATGGCATGCGACAGAACGGCGCGGGTCAGGACAATGTTCTTCTCAAAACCAATGGTAACGACCAAGAAGGGCAGACCCTCCGAGAGCAAAACCATGGTAATGGGAACTCCGAGCTTGGTGGTAACAAGGAGACCAAAGAGGAACGCGAAGATGGACGAGAAGATGACGCTGGTAGCAAGCCAGAAGTTGGATCCCATGCGGCGCATCGAGAGGAAGAGCGAAACGAAGGTGAGGTGCATCGAGATGTAGCCCAGAGCCATGATGATGATATCAAGAGTCTCGGCGTTTCGGAGGAGATCGGTGAACTCGACCCACGCGTTCTGTACCCACTTCACGATGCTGCTGCGAGTCTGGACACGGGCAGCCTTCATGATCCACATCTTCTTCTCGTGGCCGCGCTCGGTCTCAATGGTCTCCTGCGAGGACACGGCATTCGGGATCTCCTGGGCGTTTGCCAAGAACTCGGGAGCTTGGCTGTACGGGAGAGAGAAGGCGAGCGCGCTGTCTTGGGAGTAGGTGAAGGAGATGGCGGTCGAGGGCAGAGGCGTGATCGAGAGGTTACTGGGGATGGGAACGGTGTTTGTCTGCGCGACAACGGGACCGGACTCGGCGGTATCGGGGAAGACGAGGGTGAGAAGAGCGAGGTGGTTGGCATTCGCAGGAATGGCAGCTTCGGGGTCGTGATTTTGCCAGTTCCACTCCGTATTGGCACCGGCGCGAAGCATCCTACTGCCCGCCTGGAGCGACTCCCATTCGGCCTTTCTGACGCTTCGGGTGACATTGAAGAGGCTGTTTTGCAGGAGGCCGATATAGGAGGAGCTGGCGAGCAGAGCGACGAGAACAATGGTGTGAATTGGGTTGGACGAGGTGATCTTGGACAATTTCTGGAGCGGAGGGGTGACCTTTTTGTTTATCCACGAAGGTGTGGCGGCCTGGGCGGCCGGCTGCTCCCCTCGAAAGCGCGAGGGGAGAAGGCTCGAGGCGATCATGTTGGCAGATGTGTAGGGGGGAATTGGGACTGATCAACGAGATCCGACCGACATTGAGCAGGGTCGAGAGTGCAGTAGATATGGAATCTGGGACAAGGCAAGCGTCAGTAATCATTAATCGAGACGAGACGACGCGCGCGAGGCACATATGGTTCAGTTATAATAAGCCCGAGTTGGCGGTCAGCAGCAGCGCGTGCCACCCGGAGGAGCGAACTAGGCCATCCGCAGGTTGCCGAACATGGAAAGCACCACGTTCTTTTGCCGAGGATTATGGTGATAGTGCTGAAGGAAGGATTGCGGCGCGAAAGGGTCAAACTTACATCACAGGTTGCGATCAATTGTCGCGGGTACCGAGACCGCTCGACAGAACCGGTGCTGCGCTCCGCTTGTGAAAGCCGTCACGCGAACCTTGCGTCGTGCGCACTGGCCTTACGAAACGGGGAGTTTGAGAAACTCGTGCTGGCGAATCTCTCTTCCCGCTTTTCAGTTTGGTTGCACAAAGTCCGATTATTGCAGAGAATAACCAGAGTGCAACAAGTCGGTCCCAAGGAACTGGGAAGGTGGTGGAACAAACTGAAGTTTCGGTTGGCGGCTGCAATGAAGCTGCTACCTCGAGGTACGGTTGATGTACCTTTCAAAAGAATGAGGGGGGAAGGGGGGGGAGGGGGAAGAAGAATCGTTAGACAATGTTGAATTGAGCAACAAAAAAGTCCAAGATCCTGACCGGAGGGAGATCGGTACAGTACTTCTCCGTCACTTGTTGCTTGCTCGAGATGAGGACCGAGGCGGAGTGGGTGTCCGGGTTGCCCTCTTGATAGGCAGGCAGGTATGGGAAATAATAAAAACTTCCAAAAAAAATTGGGAAGGACCAGGGGACCTCTCTCACTGGGTTGGACGATGCAGTGCCAGTAACACGGGCCACACCCGCTTTTGTGTCTTTCCCCAAGACGATCCAATCCGGGCGTCGCTTCTTTCGCGCTGCACGACGACCCCCTTTTTTCTTCTTCATGATGGAACATTTTACCACTTTGACGACGGTTCGCCCAAGACACTGGAGATCTAAAAGACATTACTATGCTCGATTCGGGCTACGCTGTGTGCACCGATCCATCTCTATTGCTTCAACCACCAACGATATTTCAACACGCCTTGGGCCCGAATGTTGGGTAAGGTAGAGCGAGGTCGCTTCACCGCCTAGGTTTCATTCACCTGCACTGTACCATCGCTACTAGTGACATGCCACTACTGGGCAACAGTCCACAACCTCTTTCTTCTCTTCTCTTGTGTTCTCACCATCCGGCGCATGGCTACCGTACAAATACGTACTCGCCGTTTGGATCATTGTTTGATTGATGGGATCAAGCCAGCGTCATCAGCTTTGTCTTTGAACATGTTGCGCCGGCTATATGCGATGCTCGATACGATGTGCAGTGGCTTGAGCGTGCATGTGGGAACAAGCCGTCCCAACTGGATCGTTCACTTTGACGGCTACGTAATGATTGTACACCACCCCCTTTTCCTATTGTTTTTTTTCCCCAACGAACACTTTTCCGGCTTCCAGAAATCTCAAAATGGCAACCTGGCCACAACACAATCATTGGCTGTTCAAAGTTTTTTTCCTCTCGTGAGCAGCGCCAACTGAGCCAGTCATCACGAGCACCAAACGTTCAAACTTCAAAGACGAAAACCCCGGCACGGCGAATCGACATGATCTCCCAGATCCCTCCCAGCCGGGCAGGTTTGTTTCAATTCCAGCCTCCTCCAGCCTCTCCAGGTTGTTCCCTGAATATCATCACGTTGCAATAACCAGCCCCACTGAAAAAGGCCGAATGGATGTCTGGGCGCAATTTACCCCCCCTAGCCCCCACCATTGTAACCGTTATCGTCCGTTATCGCCCGTCAAGCTCGCTTGGACGTGGCATTGCAGAAGGCTCTCGGCTTTTGGACGAGGTCGCTGATCCTGGCGACAAGAATGCTGATGCGGGACCCATCGTTGCTTATCGATACCGGTCATTGCTTATGAGGCTTATCTGATGATCTGATTATTTCTTACTGCCCCTCCATCTCCATCATGACTCTACACACAGTAGCGTCGGGTCGCCATATGCCCCTCCATAACTGGCCGTCTACAATTACTGAACTGATTGTGAACTCCAGCAAAGTCAACGCTCAGTTTGATGGGAGTTTGGCTATGGTTTTGTGGTGAGAGTGTACGGATGATGGACTTGACAGTTTCTCGGAATTCGGGGTTTCTCTAGCGTTGGGGGGGCTTGAATATGATAGGTGAGCTGTCGCAATGACCATCTGTTTTCGAGCCGGACTTTGGGAAGCATTGATTCTGGGTTTTGGAACGTAAAACCCCGCCGAAGTGCAGACGTTGGAGCTGCGTTTGTACCCAATGCTACCGAGTCCAAAGTCCCCTCACAGCTACAGGGAGCGTTCATAGGCGGAGTTAATACTCGGACTTCTGTTTCACGCTCTTTGCATTTTCCACAGTACATAAAGGCCGCCCTTCTTCAATATCATTCTCAGATCACGTCGTACCAAGACGTTGAGCCTGCATTGATAAAAGCATATCACGTCAACTTCGGCTCGACATACTTTTCCAGATGCAACCAAGTTGAAAATGAACAACCCCCATCACGGTGAAGCGGAGGTACGAAAGTGTTGCGAGCGGAAGCTCATGGGTAGGAGTGAGTTGAATCTTGGAACCCTAACCCTCAGGCATTGCATAACCGTTCGCGCACAGGCGCCGTTCCTTGGTGGTGTGCGCCGATGAGTGAGGTCCAGTGGCGTTCAGGGACCTTATCGACGCTTGTTTATCCGTCTTATCTGAACTTGCGTTGGTGCCTCCCGTTTCGCCGCCCTCGCTGATTGCGACATCCACCTGCGACGGCCATCACCAACCGCCTGATTCTTCTCAAAAGAACCTGTAGGGTCGTCTGTTGAATAAACACACCCGAGTATCATGGGCTTCCTTGAGTGGCTGATGCCCCCAAGCATCTTCAATGTGCATCAAACACGCCTGCTAGAAAACGGGCAAGGTGCTCAGCTGGAGCCCGATTTCAGGCCGGCTCTCCTGGTGGTTGACATGCAAGAGGACTTTTGCCCACCGGTAAGCCCTCAGGATCTGCTTCCTGCACATACCTGTACAGAACCCGCAGCATCGATCTTTTAGTCTTTTTCTGTGACGTTTTTCACCCATCCTGACTATCCTCACTTATTATCATCTGAATCCTCGCATTGTCCTGCCCTCTTTCATTACTTCAAGAAAGCTGGAAATCAATCGCACAGCGGCGAGAACATACCATTCGTGTCGTCGCCGTGTAAGCCTCATTCTACGGGCAGACAGACCACTTACAATCTCCCTATGAGCTCAGTGGCTTGCAAAAGTACACACAGACCCATCTCTTTCTTCATCTCATCCCAAGTCAAATCATCTCACTCATCACATCACAGCAGTCCACTCACTTTTACCTTGATTTCACACCCACCTTCACCCATACTCAAACACTAACACTTGTCTTGCAAAACAGAACGGCACCCTGGCAGTCACCGGCGGCCGCTCCATAACCCCCCTAATCAACACCCTCCTCTCCTCCCCTCTCTTCGTCCTCCGCGTCGCCACAAAGGACTGGCACCCGCCCAACCACATCTCCTTCGCCTCCAACCACAACCACACCTCCTCCCCCTCCTCCTCCCCCTGCTGCCCTGACTCCTCCGGAGAAGCCGCCATCCCCTTCCTGTCCACCACCACCGTCCACAACCCCCACAACCCCTCCGAGTCCTACACCACCCGCCTCTGGCCCTCTCACTGCATCGCCGACACCCCCGGGGCTAGCCTCATTCCCGAGCTGGACGTTTCCAAAATCGACCGGATTCTTGAAAAGGGAACCAACCCCCTCGTCGAAATGTACTCGGCCTTTTACGACCCCTTTACCTCACCCCGCGTTAGCGATTCGGGCCTGGCCCACATGTTGAAGGAGGCCAAGGTAACGCACGTTTATGTGGTGGGACTGGCGGCCGATTACTGCGTGTGGAGCACGGCGATGGATGCACATAACGAAGGGTTTGAGACGGTGGTGGTGGAGGAGGCGACGAAGCCTGTTGATGAGGACGGGTGGAGGAAGTGTAAGGAGGCGCTGGTGGGGGAGCCGGGGGTGAAGGTTGTGAGGTGGGACGGAGAGGAGGTCAAAAGGTTGTTTTTTGAGGGTTTGGTGACGACAAGTGTTGGTGCTGGGGATGACGAGGAGGTGGAGGAGAAGGAGGAGGAGGAGAAGATTTGAGGAGGTGGAAGGAAGGAAGGGAAGGAGGAAGATTGAAACTGGAACTGCTGTCGGGGATGGACGAGGTCAGTGGGAAAAGGGCTTTGGCTTTTTGTTGTGCTTTTGCAGGCGGGCAAAGAGGTACCTTATATGCAGCGTTGGCTGCTCGGTCGTTCGACGGGAGCATGACAACATGCAGTGCACAGGCATGGCATGGCGGCCATGCTTCAGAACGGATAATGCGTTGCTTCGGCGCCTGCGTTGCGTTGCGTTGCGTTGCGTTACGAGCTTTTAGATTGTTTATTCGTTTCCATTTTCTTTCCACGGCCGATTATAGCCGACTTTGTTTAGGCTTAGCGATGAGCGCTGTTAGCGATACATTCTTGATACCCTTCCAGGAAGATGGCAAGTAGATACCGACATGTGCGGTGCAATATCATGGCAATTAGCTTTGCCATGTGTCGGTACACTGCCTAGTATTCGGGATCCCGCTTTACGCAGTGAGAAGAAATACTTAAGAGGTAATCGGAGTCTCCTGCCTACTACGGTGTCGAATCCCGTGCTTGGACACATGGAACAACAAAGTTCCAAGAAGTAAGCGGGCAAAAAGAGATTCCATGTCCTTGTGCGCTGGTGAAACTATACACGAAATGTTGACAAATCGTCTCCGTAATGACATGAACCGAATTTACTGTACAGAAAAGTGGTAAAGATAAACTCTCATTTCTCATGCAATTCATTAAGGGATGGTATGATTTCCCATTCAAATGGGAGTAAATGTGTGTTCAAGAAACCCACGCCATTCCGACCTTCGTTCCCAAGCGCCAATGCTATGATCCCCGGCCTAACCAATGCCCCTTTTTGATCCCCTTTCGTTTAATTTTTTTTTCTGTTTTACCGGCCAACGCGGATAACGCCAGCAGCGATAAGCTTCTGGATCTTGGTCCTGACGTTGGGGTTCCTCATGTGCTCGGCCAAAGCCGCAGGGTCGGACTGAGCCTGCTGGAGGATGGCCTGCATGACAGGATCGGACATGATACCCATGATCTGAACGCGAATAGGTTAGTATATGTTGCAAACAGCGAATTTGGTATAACGATATGACATACCTCAGGATCACGCGCCAGACGCTCCCTTGTCTGCTCCTCGGTCTCGTTCTCGCGAGCCGCATACATGGCGTTGAAGGCCTTCTGCTCCAGCTGCTCAATCTCACGAGCGTTGGCGCCATTGTGGTACTCGGCGTCGATCTTGCGGGCTTCGGTGCAGGCGTCAACGCACTTGCTGTACTCGCGCATGCCGAAGTAGATCTGAGCCTTGCGGATGTAAGCACGGATGAACTTGGGGTCCTTCTTGATGGCCGTCTCGCAGTCCTCAAGGGCGCTGGGGAACTCGAGGAGCTTCATGAAAGCAGCAGCACGGTTGCTGTAGCCGCGGGGGTCATCCGGAGCACGCTTGATCATCTCCGAGTAGGCAGCAACGGCGCCGGGCCAGTCCATCTCCTTGAACTTCTTGTTACCCTCCTCACGAGCCTCCTCAGCCTTGACGGGGTCAATGTAGGCCTTGCGGGCAGCCTCGATCTTGTTGCGCTCAGCCGCGCGCACCTTGCTGATGACTTCAGGGGTACGGTGCTCGCGCAGACTCTGGTTGTAGTATTCAATCGCATTGGTAAGATCACCCATCTTCTCGTAGGCAGAACCAATACGCGCAAGCGACTTGGCAATGACCTTGAAGTCGGCATAACGAGCACGACCCTCCTCGGCAGCCTTCTTGCAGGTGTCAATGCAGGCCTGGTAGTCGCCCTTCTCGAAGTAGGCGGCGCCGAGGTTGTTGAGGTAGACAATGTCCTTGTACAAGTCCCAGGCGGCCTGGTAGTGCTTGATGGCCTCGTCAAAGTTGCGCTTCTTGTAGCACTCGGTACCAAGGGCTTTTTCCTTGTCGGCCGCCTCCTTGGCCTTCTTCTTCTCCAACTCCTCCTCATCCAGCTCGGGCTCGGGTTCGGGCTCGGGCGTCTTGGGCTTTGGTGGCGTCTCCTGCTTGGGGGCCGGGGCATCAGTCATGTTGACGTCCTCCTGGGGGGCTCCAGGGGGCACGTCCGAGTCCCTCAACTCCATGTCTACACCCATCAAGACACCAAGGACCTGGATCATTCTGGGGTCGGAGAAGAGATCTTGGGCGTTCGAAGGGTTCTGCTTGACAGCCTGGAGCTTGGCCATGAATGCGGGGTCGGAGAGGAAGGCAGCCGTCTTAGGGTTGCCGGCGAGCTTCTGGATGAGGTTGGGATCAGCGAACATCTGGCCAATACCGCCGCTGAGATCACCGCCGCCAGCCTCCTGCTGCATGGCGCGCTGAACAGCCTCAAAATCCTTCTTCATGCCAGCATTGTTGGGATCAATTTTGAGGCCCTGCTCGTAGGCATCGTTTGCGCCCAGCAGGTCACCCTTGCCGAAGAGCGCTGTGCCCTTGCGGCCCCAGCCCTTGGGCCAGTCAGGCTTGATCTCGGTGGTCTTCTCGGCATCCTTGAGAGCATTGTCCCAGTCCTTCTTGGAAGCGTACGCGGCGGAACGGTTGCTGTAGAGGATGTGGTTGCTAGGGTCGAGGGCAATGGCTTGTGTGAACTTGTCACTGTAAAGGGACAGCCAGTGTCAGTGGATAGCTGACATAGATGTATGTGATATCGGCGGTAGGGTAGAGCTTACATGGCGTCGTCAAAGTTCTTCTCGGCAATGGCCTTGTTGCCAAGAGCCTTGAGCTCGTCCGCGGTCGACATTATGGTGTGTGGTTACTTGTATTAGGGATTTCTGAAGGTGATATGGGTATCTCGGGAAAGAGGAAATGCGACGGGGAATGCAAACTGGTGCGTTACAGAATCTTGCTTTTGGGTATCAAGGAATTGGATGTCAGTGCCCAGGAAAGAGGCCTCGTCGAGAGTCAGGCTGAAGGATCACCAGATTTATTCACCGGGAGAAAGAGGGCGCGACATGACTGGAAACGGCAGCGGCCTGGGCGGCCTTCTGTCGACTCTGGCGGCCGTGGAAAGGGAATGGAAAGCTCTGGACCTTCGATGCCTTTCGATGGTCAAGTCGGCTTGTGATTGGATGATATCGTTGAGCACTGGAGTACCGACACTACAGCTCCCCGCCTGCGTCTTTCAGGGTGGGAGGTGCCCCTCTTTTGAGGCTGCTCGGCTGTCCACCCAATGACCCCGCTGACAGCTGAGGTCCGACCCCCGCATCTTGGGTGTCATGGTCGAGGCCGATGCGGTGTTTCGTCCGTCCCCGGGGTGAGAACGGCCAGCGTCACCGGACAAACACTTTGGAGGTACTTCAGAGAGAGCGGCAGTGATTCCATTTCACTTCGACATTACTTCGGCATCAGGCCGACGCTTGCCACAATTTCCAGCTCACCTACCTTCAAGCCTATAGTCTAGACAACGGCCGTCTGCCTTATCCGAGAATTGGGCGCGCCTTCAGTTTTCTAACCATCCAGGCAATACTCAATCTGAATAGTGACACACTTCCTACGATGCGATTTTTCTCCCTGTCTTCACCTCTTATTCGGTATCGCAGCATGCACCCGAGAAATGGCTATGTGGCCTGAATCCACAGACAACCCAAGTCATATCCGAGTCAGCATCACGAAGGTCGTCAGCCCGTCCCTTGTGCTCATCGATAGTGAGGACGTCTACCGACACCGAAAAGCAGGGCGAGGACAAGCCGGCGCATATTCTCGGGTCATCAGTCTCTCAAATCCCGAGGACATGATGCTTCTGATGCTCTGAAGTCGATGGACGAGTTCTCCTCAGCGCCACATATCCCCAACTGCTTCATACCAGCTCTGTCCCTGTCCTCTCTTATCCGTGTGTTGGCACAGACGGGGAGTCATGCTCGAATGACACGCTCCTTACGTCAACACCTCTCATAACCACCTTCTGTCGTCTGAGAAATCCGTCTTCCTTACCTAAGGGTCCGGTTCAGGCAGATACGGGTATGGGACCATGAGTACGAGCATTGAACTGAAGCTTTAGGTAACTCCGAATATGTTGGATCAGCCTCGCGCGTTGAGCTCAATTCGCGATGATCAAACATCCGTCTACTGTTGGGTTCGTGACCGGTAGATCGTATGCTATCTCATCCGGGCTTGAGTTATGGGGCGGCTTTTGCGCATTGCTGGAAACTCGTATGGCATGCAAGGAAGACCGAAGTTGTTGAACTCTTTGCTTGCCGGGAGTATTTGAACGCTCCCGCTGGTTGTCATTATGTCACCCATGGGCTTTGACCTCACGATCAAATGAGTATATGACGACTTACGGACCTCCTACTTGCATAGTCAGCGTTCTGTCCATTTCACTGGGAACTAAGTTATCATCAGCTCAAACTGCGACAATGCCTACCATACCAGGAATGCCAACGGGCCCGGAGGACCCTAGGCGTCCCGGTGAGAGTCCGCCTACAATATCCATTGTTATGTGTATCATCGTCTCCATCCTCATCTTAATAGCCATATTCGTGGCCAGACGAAGCTCTCACAGGACAGAGTCAGACGAACACCCACACCGAAGACTGAAGAAAGGGTCCGGAGGCATTGGGGTCAACGCTCTCCGCTCATTGCCGCTCGTCAAGTACGACCCAGACTTGATGGGCCAGGACTTTCACCATGACGGGAGTACAAGCCCACGGGGACTGAATCTGTTGCGCGGCATGGACATGGCAGTCGGCGAGTCTGGTGTGGGAGATAAACCATCTCGAAAGGCATGGCGCGCGTTCTACCCCCAGATACGACACGCACTCTTGGGCAAACACAAGGGACAACAGCCTTGCACGGAAGACGGCGACACCAATCACTTGATACAAACTTGTGCGATTTGTACCGATGACTTTGTTCGTGGCACGAACGTGAGGAGGCTTCCTTGCGGTCACTTCTTCCACCCACCCTGTATCGATCCATGGCTTCTGAATTTTGGGGTGACATGTCCCTTGTGGCAAGTTTTCCCCCCCTCCCTCTCCTTTCATTTTGTTGCCCCAGACTTGGGTGGGCGATGCCTCCTTTTGCTGACTCCATCACAGTCGGGCAAATCTCAGAACGTTAGCGAATGCAAATAACCAGAGCGAAGGCTGTGTAGCTGAACCACCACGAGCAATGGTAGCAGGAGCCGGATGGGTATAGGATTGGAAAGACTTACTGTACACCAGTTTCCCATCTACACGCACCATCTCAAAGCGGATGAGTTTTCTTGCAATCATGAACTTAATTTCTTACACTTCGACTGTCTTGGAACTGACTTACAGATATAAAGTACACACTCATAAGATTGTATACCTATTTGTCATTGCCTTTTGTGTTCACTACAAGAGCTTTCTTATCTCCTCGCAGTCATCTTCAGTGTAGTATGACGGGACATCGGCTGCTGATGCCCCACTCGGATTGGCGATAAGGAAGGCACCATACATACATACATGGGCGGCCGGCCCCCGCCCCCGCCTCCGCCTTTGACCGAGGAAGGAACTCCGGTGCAGCATTCATAAATAAGTTGTAGGCGAGGAACTTGTTGACGAAAAAGTAGATAATCCTATCTTGTTGTTTTTTGCATCTTTTCACCTGAGCATCTTCCTGTTGCAACACAGCCTGAGAGTGTCCATGAGTTCACCCCCGTATTGTCTCCACTGCCCGTCTCCTGGGCAACCGTATTTGTATACAACAAACAACACTGAATCTGTATGATCGCGACTCGCATAACGGCGAAACACCTTTGAGTTAAAAACATGACTACAGAACATTTGCTATGGATTGGGGGTCTTGAAAAGGCAGGAAATGGAGAACTGCAAGTTGTTGCTTTCCAGCCTTCAAAAGAGATGGCCTGAGACCGTATCACTGACTGGATTTTCAATGCAGGATCCCCGTGGAGAACCCAGCGACAGGCGAGATCGTTGCCCAGTAAGTAGAACCTCTCATGTATGCAATAGCTATATCGACTCACACAGTTTTCCTACAATTCAGCTGTCACTCCGCTTCCAAGGAGGACGTCGTCTCCGCCGTTGAGCTCGCCCACGACACCTACAAATCCGGCGTCTGGTCTCGTGCTCCCCGTCATGTCCGCGCGGAGGTCCTCGAACGAGCCGCCAGCCTCTTCGAAACCCACCTTGCCGCCCTCATTGACATCGAAGTCACGCAAACTGGTCGAGCAATCCGCGAGATGAACGCCCAAGTTCCCTCCCTTGTTAAATGGTTCCGGTACTACGCCGCCTTGCTCCGTACCGAAGAACGCTCCGTGCTTCCTACCGTCGGCAAACTACACAACTTCCTCGATCGTCGACCGCTGGGTGTGGTCGTGCAAATTACTCCCTTCAACCACCCCCTCCTGATTGCTGTCAAGAAGCTTGCTCCAGCCTTGGCGGCAGGTAACTCGGTGCTATTGAAGCCGAGCGAGTTGACACCCATCACATCACTGATGTTGGGAAAGATCATGAAGGAGGCGGGTCTGCCGGACGGAGTCCTGAGCGTACTGCCCGGGTACGGTGCTACTACTGGGAAGGCGCTTGTTGAACATCCGCTTGTAAAGAAGGTAGATGTCACGGGCGGGACGGCAGCGGGACGGGCCATTGGTGAGATCGTGGGGAGAAATTTGGCCAAGTATACGGCCGAATTGGGTGGGAAAGCGCCACTAGTGGTTTTCAAGGATGCCGACTTGGACGCAGCTGTCAACGGCATCGCTTTTGGAGCCTTTATTGCGAGTGGGCAGACGTGCGTGGCCGCTACGAGGATCATTGTTCACGAATCGATCTACAGTGAAGTGCTTCAAAGATTGACAACCAGAGCTACTTCCATCGAACGGCGGATGGGCTCACCCAAAAATCCCGAGTGCATGATGGGTCCACTGATCTCAGAGCGGCAGCTGAAGAATGTCGAGGAGCTAGTGGATGAGGCGTGTCTATACCACGAGCGAATTGTACAAGCAGGCGGGAACAGACTGGAGGGGCGAAGTGAACTCGATGATACAGACTTCTCCAAGGGCTACTACTTCCCACCTACCATACTTGCATACAATAAGCCAACAGATAGGAGCATTCTCAACGCAAGGATCTGGCGCGAGGAGGCATTTGGCCCGGTTGTTGTGATGGTCGGATTTAGTACTGAAGAGGAAGCTATTGAGCTCGCCAATGACAGTGAGTTCGGACTTGGGGCAGCGATATGGACGCGCGATCTGGCGCAAGCTTTCCGCGTGTCTGAGCAGATCGACGCAGGTATTGTCTGGGTCAACACTCACCATCGCAACGATCCCAGCAGTCCTTGGGGAGGAGCCAAAAGCTCAAGCGGTGTAGGAAGCGAAAACGGGACCGATGCGTACCATGCATATACTACGACCAAGAGCACGATCATTAACTATGCTTCTGCGGAGGAGATGGCAGCGGAAGACTGGTTTAAAGAGGGCGCAGGGACTGTGAGATATGGCTGAAATCGGCCTACTGGCACTTCAGATTCCTTCGGGTCTGCCTTCTTCACTTTATTCAGAATACCAAATACTCGCAACGAAGTCCTGGTCAACTTATCTGAATCACACATACAAGTACAAAAAGCTCACAGGCACGGAGTTATGCATTTCCAACCCTCCTTACCCTCATACTTCCATCCATCTGAACCCATGAAGATGTAAAAGAACTGTTAAGATTAGAATATGGAACAAAGAGGGGTTAGATCAAATACAAATTTTCATCCCAAAGTAGTTATTCATTCAGTCATTCATCGTTCCCTTCCGTCCTTATCCGCAAATCCTTCCATCCCAGATTTGTGCTTAGGTTAGTACCTATCATTCATCCAATAATCATGTAGTCCTTTCTTCACCCTTCCTTCCTTCCCTCCTTTCATTTCACTTCCATCTGCTTCAGTTACTCCGAGATATCCTGAGGGTAGACATACGGGCGGCACTTATTGGCCGCGCAGAAGCCGTTGCAGCAGGTGCCGACGTATTGTCCGTTCTTGACACAATCCTCTGTTGAGACACACACACACACATTGTCAGCCATTGTCCAGTCATCATGTAATCACATACAGCATACTCATCACACTCCTCACTTGCTCACTTGGATTGTGCACCACAAAAACCAAGAACAAAAGAAGATCTTCACATTTATGAAAAAGACGGGAAGGGGACAGAAAAAAAAGGAGAACATACCATAAATCCCCAAACAATAACCGTGGCACCTGACCGAGTCAATCGGCTGCGGCGGACCAACAGCAAACTGCTCCTTGGGGAACGAGTCACCGCTCAGCTGGTAGTTGAAAGCGACCTGCTGGTGCGTGGCGAACTCGCACTGGTTGACGGTGAAGTCAAGGGCGGTGATGATGTTGATGTTCAGACCGTTGTCTGCCCGGGTAAATATTTGGTTAGTCTGGATATATACATATACCTCCATACTTGGGGGGAGGTTAGACAGATGGATAGGATATGTGTTGACATACTGGTAGGATACCAGTTCCCGTCGGCGGGAACAGTCAGGTTGTAGCCGGTAGCGGCGGCTTGGAAATAGAAGTGGGCAATCTGGGGATCGGCGCGACGGTCAAGCTCGGGAGCTGCTGGGTGGGCGACGGCGAGGCCGAGAAGAGCTGGGAGGAGGAGGAGGAACTTCATTTTTGCTGAGAGAGATGTTTGTCGTTTTGCAGACCGGTAGTATGGTTATCTTACTAAGGTGAAGGTGTTCTTTGATCTTGAATGATCTTTGAGATGAGGATGCTAGATCAATTGCTCTTCTTCATCTGGAAACGCCAGGACATTTATACTTCCTTTCCTTCCTCCCTCCCCCCCTCCTTCGTATACATCCTCCATGTGTGACCATATCCTGACTGATGCAAAATACCTCTAGTTTCGGGCGGAAGCTGTACGTAGAGCTCAACCGCCATCACCGGCATAAGCAACTTCGTGATCAACTGCACGGGTGATCGGTCAGCTACAAGAATAGCAAACCGCCTCAACCCTCAAAGCCTCACCAAGTATATGTGCACGTGTGTGCCGCCTCGGTGTTCATGTTTGTCATAGATCTCCGGGCTCCTCCTCTCAAAAAGAGATGTAAAAATCGATAGCAAGTTTTCATGAAAAGAGGCGTCTCTCGATATTCTCGTATAAGCAGCCATGGCTTTTTCAGTCACAACGCGATGATGTAAGACCACAACTGACTCGGATTATATTACCTATGGTGTCGGATCCTTCTTGGACTAGGTAGGTAGGTTTGCAGTGTCCCGTGATGACGGATCTCCTGTTGAAAAAAACACTGGGCAACAAAATCCTGCGCTGAGGAGGCGCACCTGTCAAATACGAGACAATTGCCGTTTTGGGCGCTCGCCGCTCCATCATGACCCGTAGTGATTGGTTTGGTGTTCCCGTTCCGTGTCGTGGGGTGCTTCCACATATGGGTTTCCGGCTTCCGGCAGTTACGTAGAGGTAGTAGGAGCTCAAGAGTGGTCCGTCATCACTCATCACACCACTGCCGATTGTAGGTAGGTATTCGTGGTCTAAGTACGTAACGAACATCTTACATATTCCAGCTTTGCAATCAAATATGCAGTCTTGACTGCGGCACGTGCACGATGGAAAAAAGAAAAAAAAACTCTGGGGTAGTAAGACGGGGAAACTTTGTCGATTGATGACGGACGATGTTCTACCTCCTTTTGGCATTTCTGTTTCTGTTTAGCAACATGACTTAGTTATAAGCCACCACACGGTATCACAAAAAGTCAAACAGGAAACCTTTGAAAACAGATTGCATGCCTCGAAGTGTCTTCTTGACTTGGCGCGCGCGCGAGACCGCAATTGCAACCGAACGCATCCGTCTGGCATCTCACAAGGACCTAATGAGGAGGACCACTGTAGGTATATCGAGGATACCTAAGTTCAATCACCGTGATTCGGTCGAGATCCGGTGTCGCCTCGGATGTACCGAAGTCCCCGGGCTCTGCTCAAAAGTGGATATAGATTGCCTTTTTCGGGGTCTGGTTTGGTCCCTTGATGTAACTTCAACCTGTTGGTATCCTATACACACACTAGGCTGACTGGGAGCTGAAGATCCCGTCCCGTGCTCATGGCTGTTTGTGGAAGGTGGGGAAACCCCAAGGCCAATGACGCCTCCCACCGACGGGAGAGGCGGTGAGCCAGAACTCATAGGGGCATTGATAGTGGGCCTGTAAGCCGGGAAATGTGGGGCTTGCGCGGCGTGAATCCCGGAGGGGACCGGTGAACGCCCGGACCAGGAGGGATTTGATATTGCCAGTCATATAAGGGGGCAAGATTGTACCAAAGTATTTATAACTCCGGGCTTTTCCCCCTCTAGTGCTGAGGGAGAAAAGAAGTTGACATGGTGAGGTGAAGTCAGTCATCATTCTTGAATTGTATTTCTCGTATTTCCCAAGGGGAGAGGAAAAAGCTTTCTCACCAGTCACGACGTTTCGTATAGATGAATATTTATCACGGTAACCCCATTGCTTATTATCCTTGTTAACTCTCAATATTGTTGTGGTATAAACTTTAAAATGTTAGGTACCTGTACCTTCCGCTTTGTAACCCTCTGCCATCTATTTCTGTACCTCTGCCGGTATGAGTTGACATCTATATCCAAGCCCAGAACGCCATCATTCATAATCATTCCCAAGAAGAAAAAGTCAGACCCAATATCCGGTAAAACAAAGAAAAAAAAGACAAAAAAACCAAATCAAAAAAAACCGCACTCAACACCACCGCTTTTTGCTAATAGATCATGAGCATATCTTTATGCCTCCAGTCATTTTCCATCCATGATGTTTGCTATGGGGAAATTCTCTCTCCTTCTCCGTCTCGCACAACTCCAACTTTATGTGCTTGTAATGTAAAAAGGTTAAACTCTAGAAACTGAAGAGACCGCTCCGCCTCTTTCCAAATGGATAAACAATCAGAGCACTCAGAGATAGCCCAACCGAGATGCTGATAGCGACCTGAATGACGCTGAATAAGACGTTGAAAGCCGTGCTGTTCAGGTCTGCCGTTTGCGCGCCCCGGGTGAACGTCTGTCCATCGGCGGAGAGCGTCTCGTTGCGAGTGATCTGGTCGGCGCTCGCCACGCCACTGAGGAGCGAGCCGCTGACGGCCAGGCCCGAGGGGACCTGTACGAAGATGGCGGGTAACATGGCGGCAGCGGCAAGCCCGTATCCAATCTGGCGAGTGTGTTTGTGAGGGGCTGCGGAGGATTTTTCTGCCGGCAGGCCCAATTCAGGGTCTTGGTCCTTTCGGAAGGAGCTGTTGGATCCTCCTTCCGTGGAATATAAGCGCCTGTGCTTCCCCTTGAGACGAGCGATGCGCGGCTCAAAGATCTTTTCCCAGCAATCGAGGAACTTATTTTGTACTACACGGCCCACCCGTGAATACAGGTTTGCCAGGACTCCAATGCAGAGAGCACCCAATGAGTTGGAAAGGGTCGTGTTTCCTGAAAAGTACCTAGATGAAAAGCTGTTCACGCAGTAGCCTGCCAGGGAGATGATAACCATGACTGTGGAAAGTCGTTAGTAATGTTATCACAGGATCAGGGGTAATAAGATGATGCGTACCTGGAAGCTGCTTGAACTTGGCCTGATTGATGGCACATAGACACAGCGTAAAAGGCAACACAAACAAAATGTAATAGTTCTGGTCTGGCCGTTTGCTGTACCACTCAGAACCAATCTTGCAATGAACGGTACTGACTGCATTGTGGTCCATGTATCCGTAAATAACGGATCCGATAGTGATGCCATAGCCAAGGAACAGCGAATAGATGAGTGCGTAAACCATGCGGACCGAACCGGATATCATGGAATGACTTTGTAGCTCCAAGCTTGCACAAAGAACCATGTAACCCGGAAGAATCAGAGCAATTGAAGACTGTGCAAGTGAGGAGAAGCAAAACAGGTCTCCATTTTGGAGCGATCCGAAAACACGCGCAAAGAAGGAGGTGAGGAGAGCAGCCGTGATTTCGAAAACGTTTGCGTACAGCTCGTTCGCAGGCGCAATATAAAGCTGCAAGATGCCAACCATGCATCCGAGAATGAAGGCGATAGGCATGTCGATGTACCGACCCTCAAAACCAAAAGGGGCCACCGTCGCGGAAGCTATACCAAAGAGTAGAACACGCAGCCAAGTTGGATACTTGTTCTTCCGATTCGTAATGTCGTTCAATCGCGTTGTAGCCTCATCGACGCTGATGAGATCATGTACGACCTGTTTGTAGACTTCGTGAACGTCGCGTAATTTGCCGAGGTCGACGCCGGCATTACTGCGCACAATTTTCATCTCGGTAGTGTGAGTGTTGCTGTCGTCGAATGAAATGATCATGGTTCCCGGCAGGTACATGAATTGGCCTTCGATGCCAAGGACGCGGGCGGACATTCTCATGTAGGCTTCCAAGCGATGTGTGGGTGCACCATACATCATCAACGCGTTGCACAGCTTCAAGAGGTACCGATGGCGGCTGATAATCTCTGCAATGTGTTTGGTGATGCGGAACTCCTCCAGCTTTTGCTTGTCGGCTCGGAGTCTCGATCTCGACCGTCTTTTGGTCTTGTCCTTTTCCTGCTTAGCCTTTTCCGTAGCTTCGGCTACCTCTTTTCCGGCACCGGGGACAGCAAACATGAAGGACGATTCCATGAGCCTCGATGTGGACGATGATCGAAACCCGCGGCTTCTTCCCCGATCCTTGTCCGTCTTGGGAGTACTGGGCCTCGAGGTAGGAGGAGTCGTTGTTGGCGTTCTGTTCGGTGTCTGACTTGGGGTGGTCATGGTACTGGAGCCACCAGACGTTCCTGCGCCTGCCGTCTCTTCTGCGTTGTATAACTTGAGCAAGTTCCCCAGAATACCACCCCTATACTTGTCTGGGCGAGGTACATAGTCCAGGTCGTGAGGAATTGGCGTTGCAGTTCCAGACACGTGCGTGCTCTGGGCGGTTTGTGGGCGGCTGAGAGCGTTGAAAGCGCTGATGCGGCGTGTATGCTTCCGGACCAGATCATTGGCAACTTGCTGTGATTTCCTGCGAGCCCGGAGACTGTGGGAGTCGTCTTGATCCTGCGCCTCAAAGTCGCGACTGATAGAGATGCCAATTGGCGGTACGTTTCCGTTGAGGGTAGTTTCGTCTCCAGAGTCGCTATCATTGCCAGCAAACGAGTTTCTTCGAGACGCACCGACTGATGAAGTGCCGACGGCGTGGGCAAGCTTGTCGGCGCGGTTACGTGCTTCCACCTCGGATCGATGGGGAGGCTTGAGCATATCGGGTTGAGGATCGGGAACAGTTGTCGTGTTTTTTCGAAGAACAGGACGTGGCCGAACGGGATGGGCGGAACCGGCCTGGTTGTTAAGCTCGGGCCTCAAGATCTCGGCTAGGGCAGCCGTAACCTCATCTTTATTAAAGGAGTCGCGTTTTGCTGGAGGGCCGAAGGTGTGGTGCGGAGGGGTCGTGGCAAAGTCGTAGTCGTGGATGGGCGAGGAGAAGTAATCCTGTGCAGCATGCTCCTGTCCATCCGGAGTGACGACTACCTGGGGGGCTGGTGGGCCACCGGCCTGTCCTGGTGGTCTATCGCTAAGGAAGCCAACTCGCTTCTTCTCTTTTCCCTTTGGAAGCTGAAGGTGGGGGATCTGTGGCGCAAGTAGCGGTTGCTCCGGTAGAGGTGTCGCAGTTGCGCTGATGTTGGCGCTGGCATTCTGGCTGGTGCTACTGCTGCCCTCCCCGTTTCCAACCCCAGATGATTCAACCCCAATTCCTCCCTGGAGGGTTGTCTCACTATCACTTCCACTCCGGCTGTTGCTGGCCCCGCCGATATCACCCTGATCCTGCGCAGAAACCATGGCTACAGCAACGCCCTCTCACGGGCGAGAGGGCTACTTTGCCCTTCCCACAAGTATCCCAAGGTTGATGATGTCAGAGTTGGTTGAGATGTCTTGGAGCTCTGGTGCTAATAATGGCGAGGCTCCAGACTGGTTTCGGATCGTCGTGGAGAGATTCGAGGAACGTGGAACTGAGGAAGAAGGAGAAATAAGGTGAATGATAATCTCGGAAGGAGAAGTGTCTCTGTACTGCTTGTGATGTGACTGGGAGTTGGCTGCGTCGTGGGGGTCGGCCGTCAACAGACGTTGATCAACAACAGGGATGGAGATAAAGGAGTTGAGAAGGCAAGGTTCCGGCCTTGGACAGTGGTGTAGAGGCTGTGGTATGTACAGGTTGTGGTGGTATGTACACTAGCACCGGAATTAAGCGAGTACACAAACAAAGAAGAGAATAGGGACTGGATCAGCAGGAGAGAGTGAGTGGAATGGATGTTCATGGACGATGGAGGAGATATGACACATGCTGGCCAAGAACCATGGGCGAAAAAAAAAGAAAAACAAATGATAAGGTATACAGCGGCTCGCCCACGCCCACGCCCGCTCTACTGCGTCCAGCCGGTAGCAACGAGCTATCATGCCACATGTGCTGCCAGACCAGTAGGTACCTGTACTTGCATTGTTCCCATCTGATTATTGTGTCCTTGTCAGCGGCATTGATGATTGGACGGCGAGGAGTGTTGGCAGCAGGGCAGCTGGGGCCAGGTACCGTCTCAGACCGAGGACACACAAATTGTTGGTGTTAGCGTCGATGATGGTCGTGGTGTTAAGGCCCCGGCCCCCCGGGCGGCGGGCTGGTGGAGGCGGCCGAAGCGACGATCGGTTATCCCAAACAAGGCATCCGCAAGGGCGGGCTAGTCCAGTGGAGATGCACCTCGAAGATTCAAGGCGTCCTGTCAAAGCATGGATGTCTTTCCTTGTTTTGTCTTACCCTGTCTTTTTGGCTGAAAGGGTACTGTCCCTCTTGTTTCAACAGTCTCAAAACCTCCGACTAAGGACACTATATTCGACCCGTGTGAGGCTTTGCTTCGCTGAAAATTTCCGATGAGAAGGACCAGGGCACGTGTTGTGGTTGTGATATCACCTGGACTCGTATCCCCCCGTGCGTCGATTGAGCGCTCTGAGCGCGTACTTCCACTTTTGATCGGCATCTTATGGTGATCTCAGCGTTGCTCTGGCAAGGTTGCTCGCGGGCGGCTAGAACAGTCGACGCAAATTGCCCAGTTGCCCCTGAAGTATGTGGTCAGGGTCACGTACGATCAAGAAGAATTGGCTGGCCGCGGCTCTCGATGACTTCTTTGGCTACAGTACTGCAAGAACAGCGCTGTGCCTGTGTGTGTCAAGCCTGTCCGTCGCTTTGTGCAAGCCGGTTGCGGGCGGGCAGCTGGTTGCAAGCGGCGCGGCAACGGGAAAGTACTGCCGTCCTAACATGGGATGCCGCCATCGATTGTCAGAGTTTTTTTCTCTCTTCACAGTTGCAGTGCAAGAACGAAGGGACTCGAGCGTTGGCATGGTGGATGAATGTACAGTACATACCGCATTTCCGCCACTTCAGTGGGACTCGTTGAGTTTCGCAAGTTCCGCTTTCCAGGTTTGGCTCCCAGGTTTGCTCCCAGATTGTGGTTGTCGCGACGTTCCTGACCAGTCGAAATGGTGAAAAGCGACGACACACGTCATTTGAATCCTGGTCCTTCCATGAGGTTTTGCATTGTCTCCACCAAGGAACCCACCGCCTTTATCGCCCTTGTCCGAAGTGGCCCCGCCAGGTGGGTGTGCCACGGACCACGGCTGGGGCAGCCAGAAACTGACATGGCGAAAAGGGGAACTCGTTAACAGCTCCAGCACCCGGCCTCACCAGGATGGTGTTAGCGGCTCCATGACAGTTGCGAGAAGATCTTGTCGACCATCACCCATCATGAGACTATGGCTGAGTAGCCAAGAGAGATACCGATGGGCGACATAGCGAGAGATTGTAACGCCCCGAGTATTCATATCTGCTATATCGGTAAATACCGCTGCGCGTTGATGATCATTTCAAAGAGTCCCTTGTTCCCTTTTTCAGGGACGCGGGAGTCCCATCTGCTGTTTGTGAGCACTGTAGTGTAGGAGTTTCCGGTTTTCGATCGATCGATGTCGGTCCATAAACGGGTCATGAGGATCGATATGTACTTGTCGACACCTGACCCAGGCTCCAAAGATGAAGAGAACCCCCAAAAAAGCCATCCAGGATTGTGTGGAAATGCACTTTGGGCATTGCGAATGGCAGCCCAAAATGGGGTCAAATTTCACAACTGTGGGGGACAAGGGGGAAAGAAGGAGAGAGAGCCTTGCACTTGGTGAAAAAAACTAGCAGCTCGTCTAAAATTGGCCGGTCTCGTTTCGAGGGTTGCGCCATTGCGGTCCGACTTTGGGATGCCGTGATGAAGCTTGTCACGCCGCGGGCTGAGAGAGGGGAATGCGGCTCTTCACTGGCAGCGAGTGGTCGGCTGGTACCTGTACCCCTTTGGTCCTTTCGGCCAATTGCTTCGATCAGATTGTACCTGCAGACATCAAACCACCATCGCGGCGGGAGGGGAGTGGGAGGAACGTTTGGAGGGAGGGAAGAAACCCTCGGACGGTGATGGACAAGAGCCCCCTTTTCAGGAACAGCCCTGTTATTTTTTGGGGGCAAGGAAAATGCTGGACATTGGTTGCCGGGCCGCTGCGGCAACAGTGGGTTCCTGCCGGCCTAGCTGCCCTGATGCCGCGCCTAAAGCGGGCGACGGGAGTGAACTGTGCCGTTCCTGTATCTTATTTGGCGGGCGCACAGCGCACTAACCACCCTCATCACTGCAGTCCATGCTTCCAGTCGTCCTCTTCGACCAATCTGGGCCTTTCGACTCAAGACGAAACACCACCACCAAAAAGCGAGCGACTACACAATCACAGTTCAGCAGCACGGACAGTGACAAATCAATCCATTGCCCGTTCGAGACCGATCCACTCTTACTTCCCAAACGATCCTCGTGTCCGACTTTAGAAACCTGGTTTCGCATGATCCCCGCAGTTCCGCCCACCACGAGGCGGTGCCTGACAGTCTGATACACTACATACACGTCAGCTCTCGTGGTTATCTGTCTGAGCTGGAGCTCCAGTCCGTGATCAGAGCGACTATTTCCAATTTTCGGATGAAGTCGACAGTGTGATCGGCCTAGGTTGTTGCTTCGTACATACCACCACCCTCAGACCACCCAAACACGTGCCGTCTCTGTACCACCCCAACTCGTCTTCCATCATTCCACGATTCCCTTTCCACCCACACATTCTACATCAACGACCGAGAAAAGAAATTCGAGTAATGGTACTTCAGGGCCGTACACTACACCTGAGCTGACCAGTGCTGTTATGAGGGTTTCAGAATATCCCTTCGCCCATACCTTGCCATGTTGATGGCTCCAGCCCCAATGTAATAGTCCTCGACGATACGCGCGACAGCCGCCCGATACAGAGTCGCTCCAAGCGAAGCGTGGATGGACATTGTGTATTCTCGTTGGGTGTTAACGATTCTGCTTCTCCAAGTCAAGCATGGCGTGTCGGCGTGACTCTGGTCAAAATGTCACATGGCTTCGAGTAGGCACTACATACACGATAGCATAAGTGGGTGGGTGACGTGATGGTGATATCAACCGCCATTCACTCACCTGGTACATTGGGAATGCTCGAGATAGAATACGCAGCTGCTGGTCACCATTCATTCGAAGCCATCCTGAGAAAGTCGGAACAGAAGTCCGCCAAAAGATCAGCAATTATAGCCAGCTTCAACATTACGACCGATTCACGCAGGCGCATTTTCCGGAGCCGACAAACCCATGCGCTGTTTCAGATTCGACGCGCTGAAAGACGCCGTATACGCTAGAGAATTATTCAGGCGAGGCGCGCTGTTACGACGGGCCATAAGCCGTGGTGTTTCTTTTTCTCTAGCTCTCCTGCTCCTGTTTCCGCTTATTTCTGGCCAGGGCCGCCGTGAAGGTTTCGATTTTGTCTTTTGGGCGAGGTGCGTACGAACTTGCGCTCGGCGCCGATCACCTCTCTCTCGCCTTGTTTTGCTGTCGCGAAAAAGATCGACCCGGCAATGGCTGAGGCGGCCACTTGCGTAGAGAAGGAATACGGCACGAATAAGGGAGGAGGGTAGGATCTTCCACTTGACCAAGTGGTTAAGCTTTTGAAGAGGTGACGACATCTGTGAGACAGACATAGGAAATCCATGGCTTCTCTGAGCCGTCAGGCAGGCAGCGGACGTTGTCTACATGCTGTAAACCACCACAACACATATAACGTGGGCTTATGAATCTGGAGGGCAGCACACTCGGCACCTGAGTAGCCATACCTTACTGACTGGCCCAAGTATCCCCTCAAGCCAGATAAGCATGTGTATATCTGTCAAAGACAAAGCCTTCCTTTCGTCTGCATCTTCCTATTCCTTCGTACAGCACACATCACACGTTTGCTTACGGTTAGCTTAGTAGCTAGTTGAGCTGAGCGTACAGTACCTTGCGCTGACATCCAATCCGCAAAATGCGACCCGCGGTTCCGTCTTCCGCAGTGTCGAAGTTACGAGCAGGGTTTCGAGCATCTGGATGTTGGAAACTGTATCTTGGACGTTTTTCAATTGAGGATTGTGGGCAAGTACAACGTTAAGGTAGGGTTGTAATGTGGGGTACTTACTAGCGAGCAGCGACCAATTCCTAAAATAGCCTCCATCAGCACTGCATGGTAAGACCCGTTAGTATGTATGTAACCCAGTCTCACCAGTCACCTTGTGTGTAAGTCCGGCGGATAGGTCCTGTAACTCTCGACATTGCTTCTCAAAAGCGCAACGGACTGGATTCTACAAGTAAGTTGAGGCGCCAGAGGAGGCGGTCACCATGCAGGTATCAGAAAGAAAAAGCATAACAGTTCGGTCACCTGGTTCTCTTCGTGAGGCCAAACAGCTCACTTTGCTTACTACGGCATGGAAGTTTAAGGTGATGGTTCTAATTGAATGGCTGGAACTTCTTTGGTTGGTGGTCTGACAACTTCCTAGGTATGTACCGTCGTAGCCCGTGATGAGAGAGACATACATGCACGTGATAGCGCGACGATGGAATGTCTTATACCCTAACCACTTTTCTTTTTTGCCTTTCGACGCTATGTATGCATAGGCATCTTACCATCCTTCAACCGAAAGAAAAAAGAAAGAAAAAAGATATCGAAGACGCCCAGATTGCCTCGTCAAGAAGGGAGTCAGTCATACACCACACATCAACCAACGAGAACAGAAAGCCCAGCAGACACTGACTCCAACAACACCAGTTTTTGCTTCTACCCAGACGCGTCAACCAGTAATTTATCATAGTACAAGATACATTTTCAACAGACGCCTGCCTCCTCTCACTCTCGCCATGTGACGAGTCTAAGGCCCAATGCGGTATTCCTTGCCCTGCCCTTAGGGGACAGACAGCAAGAACTAGTTCTAGATGAGGGGGCTCAAGGTATATCGGCGTCAGTACGAAAGGCGGTCAAGAGGGCAAAAGTATAGTCCTACCGCGGATAAGGTGAAGGCCGAGATGCGATGCAGGATATCACATATACCAACCACCAGGCTACTATGGTAGTTTGAGACACCTCCAGTCCAGCGCAAACTGAACATCAAGGGGTCTTTCTTTCTTGGTGTTTTCTCACGTACGTTTGGCGCCACCATACACCAAAAGCAAAGAAGACAGACTGACATTCTTCATCTGATTGGTTCACACGTTTCCTTTCCCCCCTCCATCCTTCTGAGATCCCAGCTGGATAAGCTATTTGTTGCGGTACAACAAGCTGTGAGTCTATATACACACAGTAGTGACCCCGGGGGGAAGATGATGATCGGAAAGGTTGACACCCTCCTCAGCGGGCGCCGCGCTCCACAGACGAATAGTCCCCTTGATAACGACGGGGTTGGGGAGGGAGGGGGGCCTCAACGCGCTTGTGGTAGCGCTGAAGCAACTGTTCGGCAATAGGTACGCAGGTTGTTGCCAACGGTAACGGCGGCATTGTTAAAACCTTCGATGGGCGTGGGGATACGTTGTTGCTTTTGTTGAAGGAGACGATCTTGGGAAGGAGAAACCTTGATGGTACCACGACGACTCGATGAACTTACCCTTGGGGCGTGTGGATGAATTGCTTGGCAGCCACGTTGCAAATGTTTACTTCAGGGGTAATGCGGACATCAGGGCCGTACTTCTTATGAAACTCGTGGACGTAGAAAGAGCGCTGGCCGCCGGCCTACTTGTAGATAAGGGCCCAGTCGGTGAAGCGGGTGTACCAGGGACCGGGAAGGGCAAGTGAGAACCCTGGTAGATGGTCTGGAAAAGGACGGATGCTCTGGTAAGTAAACGGCGAACTGTACGTCGTGGTGAACCGGTGCATGTGGATGGAAGAAGCTGTGCGGAGACTGATGGTGGATTCCCAACGTACCGGAACGAGGAGAATGGCGATCACTGTAAGGCTGAAGAGGGGGACGTTGGATGCGGGTGGTCCCAGAGAAGGGAGACAGATCTTCCAGAAGGGAATTACGGCTGCAAAGTCTTCGGTAAAGGTAATCATGGCTTTGACCTGACTACAAAAGGTGTGAAGCTGGCTCGAGGCTTCGGATGTTTGACACTTTGCCGTTCGAAAGAAATCGTTTATCGCGAAACAACCCCCTCCAACAACAACAGAAATCCGTGAAAGAGACTCACAATCAGCTACCGAAACTCATCCCTGGAAGACGAATGGCTGGCTCTTTTCGATTCTATGGGGAAGATTCCCTAGGTAGGCTCCTAGCATGGGCGAGAGAGGTCGATACGTTGCAAGGGCGGGTCGGCACCATCCGTCTTGTTGACTGTGGAGGCTGAATGTGTTTTAATGGGAGGAGACAGCAGTCCCTGACACACGGCATGATCGGCCAATCATGGACAGTCGGCTCAGCTTCGGCGTCGATCTCTTCCAAGCCCACAACTACTGCAACAGCCGAGTGCAACGTCGGGGATGAAAGAACGCTTTTGACGTCACATGCGGTCCAATTTTCGGTGTGTGTCTGGGTCTCGGGAGGCAGGGAATAGGGAAGGTATAAACGTCGAGGCTACTCTTCGATATTCGTCCACGAATTCGTTGACAAAACACCCATTTTCCTTTCGGTAGCCTATCGACGATGGCCCGACACGAAGCTATGAGAGCATGGCCAAGCTGAGGACTCGAACTGCAATCAAAAACAGCAAGTCAGCAACTGAATCGATTTTTCGACAAACCATCATCATCAAGATACTCGACCTTCTCAACGATCGCACCTTGACACTACGATTACATGGCCCGAGACCATAAGCCGTACAAGGACGCTCTCAGATTCGCAGGCAGAGTCAGTTCCAAGACATCAACCTTGATTGGATCCCTTTTTCAGATTCGAGTCGATTAACGTAAAACCTTGTGGCCGTTGGATTTGACGAGGCACCTGAAAGCCTCGACGTCTAGGAGAAGAGAGAACAAAGACCAATTGCCAGGTTAGCTGTCAACATATTCTCGAGCTAGCCCAATCACCTTGCATATCCCGAGCTGTTGGTGAACAAAACCGTTGGTCATCTTGTCGCTCAAAGGAAATAATGGGCGAGCACCCGACACCCAGCCTGCCTGTCCTCTTTATCTCCAAAATTACCGATCGAAAGAGCCAGAGCGGAAAGTCCAGGTTGTCGGATACTTTTCGTTGCGGAAGGTGCGCAGAACGCTTAAAGGAAACAATTCGACAAAGCTCTGCATGAGTTGGCGGTCAATCGAAACGATACTACCCCCCGCGATTGCTTCCTTTCATCTTTCCGAGATCGAACGGATCGTAGCAGGATGTTTTAGTCAGCGGAAACATGACATGGCGTAATCGACGATGGTGGGATTTGCACTTTCCCGTTCAGGGCGAGATGTTGGTCTGCACCTTCTTTGCCAAAGGTGACTCTGCCATTATAGGGCTCAGTCCAGTCAGAACCGCGGCGTTGACCACCAATGTCCAACGTCTCTTCAAGAAGCGACGTTCTTCCGTTCCTGTCCTAACAAATGAAGGAAGCGATGGACCTCGAGGCGTCCCGCCGGGTGTTCGCGCCACCTTCCATTAAGACCTCGACGGGAGCAATGGACGAGATAAGACTGAATTCTCATAGATGGGTGTAAAGGATGTCATCACGCTATCGTGGAGCAGCTGCAACGAAATTTGCAGAAAACCGATCCCCGGCCCCGTTTGCTGAGCGGAAGTCATTTCTCTTTTCGCCGTAAGCAGTCGGTTCAGTTTCTAAAGTTCTGCCGTGTGGACGCTGCGGGACCCATGGGTGTGACTCCTCAACGCGGCACGGCCAAGTGGCTTCCGGGACCGTATCTATTCCGGAATGATCCCCCCCCATCATTTCTCTTCTGCTCAGATGACGATCCTACCTTTTCTCGCTTCTTTTTTCTCATAGTTTCCTTCACGTTTACTCGCACACTCACCCGTGGTACCATGAGAATCACAACGTTGACCGCACTGTCTATCGCTTCTTCATGCTACCGCCCTGGTGCATCAACTGTCACCAAAATCTTGGGGCCATCGATTCCGACATTCACTTTCCCCTCAAGACGGCATGATACACGGCATTATGTTCTGAGAATTCTCGGGGCCGCCGATGGTGTGTACATCTTCACACCTTGCAGACTTTGCTACATCAATCATCGCAAACGCTGAGGTCGTCATGGCCTCGTCTATAACTGCCTTCGTGCACCTCATAACCCTAGCATTAGATTATTTCGCCATGTCCGATCGTTGATCGTCTTCTCGCAACGGCCGCCAGGGTGAACCTGGTGGGAACATGCGGAGTGCATTACTCGACATGCGATGCGATTCGGGTCACCCTTGCTTTGTGACAAATCAGCTTCTGACTCGATGAACGAACCATTCGGTTGCTTTAATAGCACCTACGAACGCTTGACTGACAGCAAATCTCACCTACAATTCAGTTGTGTGCTAGAGTCTTTGGCGTGCAGTTGAAATGTCGACAAATTGGAAGCGGGCTCACCTAGCCGAAACGGAGAAATTTGCACACAGCAAGCATGCAGCAGGTCTAGGTATACCGAGACATCCCAGACACACGGCGTCAGGAATGTAAATAACAGTAGCTGAGGTTACACTACCACAACGAGTGATAAGTATGCAATGTCTTTGGTCAAGAATCTTGCATCAACGAAGGAGTCAACAATGCCTCCGAGCAATCCAACGAGAGGCTTCCGCATTTATCAGATTGTTCAACTGCAAGGAAACGGATATGGGGTGATTGATGGAATTCTACTAACTGCACTGGTAGCCTTGTCATTGCTTCAGATACCGAGAACACAATCCTTCCCTGCGGATAAAACCCTAACCCTCACAGAGACCAGAGTACCCATCTGCGAAACCGACCCCTTCGCCTTGACATTCGCAGATTCTCGGTCGATGAATGGGATATCCGAAACATCGGTGCGGAGGAAGAAAGAGAAGCTGGTTCACCATACTGTCTGGGTATAGATACGTCAGTTCACCTGCGGTGTATTGCTCAAAGTCACGAGTGTCTCAGTTGAGACAGTTGCACTTGCCCGCTTAACCGGCTCATTTTGTTACACGTGAAGGAAAGCGGAATGTACTACGGAAGGTACAAGCTCGAAATACTTTTCAAAAATCTCAAAGTACATCAGGGTACCTCGAGTCATTCCCATGTCACGGCTCGAGAAGTGAACAAGGGAATATGGGAATAACATGGAATGGCATTCTTGTTGGAGATGGAGATAGGCGTACTACATCATTCTCTACGAGACTTGCACATTCTTCCCAAGTCAAAGCTCACGGCAACTCGGCCGTGCTAGCTACCTGGTAAGCATGTCTCACTTGGTTCTTCGTGAAGCTGCACCTCGGAGATGCCCTATTGCTAACTTGAATCACCTGAATCCAGAATTGTGTCAAGTATCTGCTAGGCAGCCAACGCATGACACCATAATCTTCGAATTCAATCCGAAGGTAGCCTCTCACTCCATCAACTTTACCAGTTTTGCACCCTGACCAGGTCTTCTCCCCTCCACCACGTGTCAGTTTTCAAGTTCTTCCTGCCCTAGTTTCAAGTTCGCCCTGAAGTTTTCCCACCTTGTCCGCTAGACAACGATGTCGGTATCCGTCCCGCGGCCCCATGCCGTTATGCCCAACTGCCGAATTCCGTTCCCCGAACATCCATCCCTGCCATCATCCACTATTGGGAAGCTACAGGCTACAAGAGCTCAGGCTATCACTGTAAGACACTGCGATACTCGCTTATTGTGAGAAGAAACTTTGATGAATGTGACACAACATTCCGGCCTCATCAATGGCAACAAGCTGGACATTTCTTAGCCATATCCTCGGTCCGAACCGAGAAGGAAGTTGGAATGCTTGTCAACTTCCGGTTCACATGATGCCATCAGCTACTGCTCAGTGTATGCAGTTGCTTTCCAGCTTGCCGCTCATAGATTGTTCGGCTAAGTTCCGGTCACGAGCCGCGGAAACCTCTTTGCGGTGCAGGCGGTGCCTGATGGCGATGATAGCTATCCAGGTATGACTTCGCCAGGAAAACTGCGTAATCACCTTGATGTACAACGGCGCAGCAACCCGGCAAAGCAAGAATTGCACGGAGAACCCAAATTCGCGTGTTATTATGGTGTCTACAACTTTCTAGGTAAAGGAGTCATCAACCATCGACGACTCTCATATGGTAAGCAAACAATGTCCCAGGATATCCCAAACTCAAGCCGTCTTTACCTTTTGCTCACATCCTTAACTGATCAATCTGTAAGCCCAGATCACGGGGCGGAACTGCTTGTTTCCTCACCGAAGTGAGAGACCAACACCTACCCTGCAGCCAGCACACTTGTACAACCCGACATCAAGTCTCGCTTTACCGAGCCTCGCTTAGGCAGAGTCTGACACTTAACCTCATGTATGTCTCGAGCTTCAACCCGGATCAGCACTAACTAGTCGCTAGGGACACCCCATAAACGTCAATAGTTCTCGCAAGGCTGCCACGATTCTTTGATGGAACTGTTCACCCACTTGTTTCAGTCATAAGGCATCCTTCTGTGTGCTTTGCCACTGCCATGGCATTCAGATACGACCGAGACCAACCGACTGCAGCAAACCAGCAGAGAGATTTCGGGACCGTGCCGTGTCGGCTCCATGACTCAGATATGCGTGCGTATATGAACTCCGATTGCGCTGCTAGAGAACATACCCGGCGCTTCTCGAGTCTCTGCTGGTTGAGCGAACGGTTGGTTGCCTTACAGCTTAGAGGGTACCATCCAATCTAGGCATGCTATCTTCAGTTACTAGAGGTAGTATAGGTAACTAGTGCAAGGCCAAACAAATCATTGATTCAGAAAGCTCAAATAGTATTACGGAAAGCAGACAAACATCCGCTGACCGCAAGCAGGTAGGCAGCATCCGCACAAGATACCAGAAAAGTCGGATCTTGTTCGCCAAACACAGCACATATTTGTGATAGAGGTACTTGGTAGGTAGGTATGTAAATGAACTGCATGTCTTAAACAAAGGCAAATGGGCATCAAGTAGGAACCTATGTAGGTATTTATCCCGTTTCAACCCAGAAAAAAATGTTTGCTCCTTTCTGTGTGCTGCTGCTGCACACTCAACCAATAATCTTTCCCGATATCAATCACAAGCCCCCTTAGGTAGGTTTTTGCGACCTCACCAGATAGATACCTACCTACACTAGGTAGGTAGATTAGATCAGGGCTTTTCACCGACTCCGATCTTTTCCTCCCGGTGAAGAAATCTTGTTCCGCAGAGAAAAAAAATCTCCGATACCTCCGATACTCGCACCCACACTTTCTGTGATCGGTAGTAGTATTGTTGTTGTTTGCCTGTCGTAACCAGTTACGCCATACCTAGAGGTACCCTAAGGCTGACTCGGACATTCAAATAATATCGATGAACCAAACTGGCGGTCAACCTTTTGAATAGCGAATCATTCTGTATTTTTGTATTTTGTATATAGGTAGGTTGAATGGTACATCTAGGTAAGGCAAGGTAGGTAAGGTAGGTAAGGTAAGGTAGGTAACATTGTGCAAATCAGATCACATGTGTTGTAAGTTGCCTTGTTGGGATTCATGTTGGGACTTTGGACCGCCGCCCGTGAGACCCGTGAGACGGGGTGCAACGGGCACAACGGGCAACGCTGGATCGGGCGGGGGCATGAGGCTCTGCTGGCGTAACAGTCAGTAGAGGTAACTCCCGTCTGTAGAGGTAGGTAGGTAGGTAAGTCGGGACTGGTATGTAGATAGGTACTCGAGGTGGCTTGGCTCACGAAATGAGTTGCAATTTCTCTTACATCTTGTAGATGATTTGATTGCGAAAGACCTGCAGAATTATATTGGCAATAAAATGAATGCGATTTTGGCTTTTGAGGAAGTGATAATTCCAAATGTGATCTAGTTCCTGGCAACTACTGTGACTGATGCTCAAGATTCTCAACTGAAAGTGTTGCACAGGTAAATTCATCAATTTTATACCAGACTACAATTGACCATTACAGTGTAGATTAGATACAAGATAGACATGATGTAGAAAAGTAATTAACATTTTATATCATTATCTGGAGATTAAAATCAGGAGGAGATTAAAATCATAAAGATGATCAAGTCCAAAGTAAGTCAGACTTGCTGTTTGTGCCTCCCAACCGGTATGCCATACCATCCATGCATGCTACATATTTGATCCAAAACGCCGTTGACCGTAAAGTTTGTTGAAAAAAAGCCACCGTTTGATGTTTCCCATATTCCCAAAATTTTTGCACCGCGGTATTCCCCCGTAGTGTAGGTGTATGCTGTCATGATGTTTCCATCTGCCAATCTGGGCGACAGCTATGTAGGTAGATAAAAGGAAAGGAAAGAGATCAAGGAAACAACGCTAAAAGTTCAAAAATAGTAAAGAAACTCTAAAGAGCTTCTGAAGAAAAGAAAAGAAAAGAAAAGAAAAGAAAAATCACAAAGACTAAAGCCTCGAAGAATCTGCCCACATACTCAGCACCGGGTCCATGAAAAACCCATCAAACTTCTCCATCGCCACGTTCCTCTCGCCTTTCTCCCTCCAAATCAAGCCATGCTTGTCATGGACCGTAATCGGCGGCTCCGCCGTGACGATGCTCAAGTCGGCCTTTTTGGAGTCAGAGACGATAGGCATGGCATCATCAAACAACTGCCTCAACCTCCTCCTGTGCTCAGAAGGAACGTTGGCCCGTACTGCCTCCCTGTACACCCAATCGCCCAGTGTCTCCACGTTGGGGCGTTCCTTGGGCCGGAGCGAGTCACCCTTTGCGCAGGCCACCTGGGCAAAGCACACGGCAAGGATGATCCATGCGATGGCTTCACCGGGGGTCGTGGAGCCGGGAGGCTGGCGGAACTCGATTGTGCCTCGAGACTTGTTGTGCACGAGGTTGAGAAAGTTCCATCGGTAGCCGGAATGAGGAAAGTCGGACCGCTGGCCGAGGGCCCGGCCCGTGGATGAGTTGGGGTCGCAGCGGACCATGTGTGCCGCGATATATTTCCGTTTGCTGAGGGAGTCCAGGTGTGAGAAGCACTCGGCTGTGGTCAGGTTGGCCATTTGCTTGTTGTACCGGTTGCTCTTGGCGAAGACAGAGGTGCGGCGGTAGAGAGGCATGACAGCGTCGAGGCAGGACTCGAAGTAGAGAATGGACTTGGAAAGGGCGCGGATATCGGAGCGTGTCCACTCTGGGTGGTCTTGGTCTAGGGGAGCGAGGTGGATAGAAGTGCTGCATTCGTGTGTAGAAGTGGTCTCAAAGTCTCGGTTGAGGACTTGCATGAAACTCTCAAAATGTTGGATCCAGGTGTCGAAGGAGGAGAAGCGGAAAAGAGGAGAGACAAACTTCATGGCGTGTTTGTACTCGGTAGGCTTGGACTGAATAGAGTGGTCGCTGGTGATAGTCCAAACTTTGTAGGAAGGCGTGTGAGTGTGTGTGGGGTGGTCGTACGGGTAATCCGAAAGAATTTGAGACTTGATGCCTCCATTGGTAAGGGAGTAGAGAATCTCGTCCTCAAGAGACTCTGAGCTTCGATGATCCGCCCGACGGCTTCGAATCTGAAGGGTCAGTTCTGCGCAGAAACGGAACTGCTTTGGCTCAGACTCTTCGAGGTAAACCATGCTGTGACGGCGGTGGTCACGGTCACGGTGACGGTGACGGCTCCTGGTCGACCCGTCTGAACTAACGGAGGGAGTGGTGGCATGAGGCATGGCTGCTTAGATGTGTTCAGGTTGTTCTAGATGTTCTTAAGAAAATAGCTAGACTGTCTGAAGAAGCGAGTGACTGTGAAGCTTGATGACTTGAACAGCTTTGAAACCAACAACACGAACATTGGGATCTGTCGAGGAATCTTATACCTTCATCTTGAAGGATGAGAGAGTGGCCCTTGGTCAGTCCCGATCGGCCAGGGCCACCAAGGGGCCCAGGATGCGCGAAAGCGCGGCCTTCTAGCAGGGGGGTGTTACGGCTCGTCCTCGGAACGGTCATGTTCTTTTTGGTCGAAGGTTGCATTGCACAAGGAGCTCAAACTTCGTGAACGATGAGTGGTACGGTGGGAAGGCAGGTATCTACCAATTTCGGTACAAGAAGAACTGAGCTAGGTCTAAGGCGGTAAGGAGGGACGATGGTCGTTTCTGTATGACCATGTCACCATTCGAAGTGTCGGACATGGGTGAGAGTGGGCCGCCGGTATGGCCCACCACCAGTTGTAGTTGGAGCTTTGGTGTCTACATGCGAGTGTCATGCGTAGCAGCATCGAGCTATTCTTCCATTGCACACACCTACGCACACCGTCAGTTTAAAGTGGACAAGCATACAGATAGCCTGCAGATGCAAGACGCAGGCAGAACGAAGTGCCGTCCTGTAGACGATCACTCATCGGATGGCCCCGAAGTAAGCTGCTGCTGCTGTGCCCAATGATGTTCCACAGAACACGCCTGAAGCATAGCCGAATCTGTAATTACTGCCTTGTTTGAGAGGAAGGATACCAACTCACAATCTACATCGGGAAACTGCTGTACGGTAGAGTGTCCCTGTGGATCGCCAAAACAAGACAATTAAACAAGGCTGCCAGTGGGGATCACGCACCCGATCGAACCTATCTCTAGGAATGGCAGTGGTTAACAGGCGGCCTTTGGCCCTTTGGGTGGCTGCATGAGCTCCGCCACCAAAAATATATCATCCATGACCATCAGAGAGTGCTGTGTTGTCGACTTGGCCGTGTTACAATGGGCCTAGGGCCATAATGCTGCAGTCGTCAGGAAGTGGATTTTTCAACATTTGGACTCCTGGCGAGACCGGCCAGACTCTTGAACCCCCATTGTTTTCTTTGGCTCTTGACCAGTAGGAGCTTTCTTTGAAGAGCAATGGTAGCATCGAAGCGGCTACCGGGTTCCTTCCAGCCACAGCGGCCCCAGGTAGTATCGGTCGCTGTCGTGATTGGTTCCCTCAGGTGTCGACCAGGCCGGAACAGGGCCTCAAACTGTTACAGACTGCAGCAATGGACGCATGGATTGGTTGTCAACGTCCCATTCGAGCGTCCCTCAAGGGACCCAGGGAACTGGTTCACAAACCCCTGGCGCTCAAAATCATCTAAAACTCTCCTAAAAGCGCGAGCGCGGATCGGGATGTCGACATCAACGGTAATGGCACTGCCACCTCCGCGCTGTAGAGCATCTTATTCGGAAGCTTCTGTATCAATAGCCGCGCGGATAGCACAATGGCATTGCCAAGAGTGATGGGGAGGGAAAGGTGAGTTGGAGTTGAAAATAGGCCAGAAGCCTAACGCTGCGCGGCATAAAAAAATGCCCGGCTTTGATCTGTGTTCCTAGCTCCGGCGGAAAGCGCCGACTAGTAGTGTGGATATGTGGCCGCCCACCGAAGCTCTTCAGGGAAGGATGATAAGTTCAAACGTCGTCCTGCGCCGATTTAGGCAATGTCTGTGTTCCGTTGCCAGCCAGAGCATGTATGTAAGATGATGTCGTGAACTTGTGAAACCGCATATCCCATTTGGACATGGAAAATCTCCAGATCCAGGATGATGCCGCCTTAAGGGTCTCTTCCTGTTCATTTATGCAGTCGAGCCTTACTTATTAACCTCGTCTTGGTGCTACACCGGGCATATGTTGCGGCACTGGGGCGACCTGTCGTGTTCTCGTGAAAGGTTCTTCGCCTGCTTCAAGCTTCTGGGTCTTGTCCTTGTTCCTTTGAACCTTGTCATGCGTGCAAGTGTGCGTCCACATCAAACGGATGCCCGAGCGTACTTTCATTCATGAACCAGCCTAATCCCGTTTCAGATCTCGGTGTTGAGTTTATCCTCGGTCCCTTGTTCTGGATCGCCTCCGTCTGGGGCGTCTGGATGCCTGCTGGATCGACGTGGACTCACGAAAGCGAGCTGCCGAAACTGACACTGCCAGCTTTGGCTTTGCGCACCGTTGCTCAATCGCGCCTCGGTTGGTATGTTTGATGGCGGGAATGTGGTCTCGTGTGTTGTGCTTCATAGCGAAGGTCTCGGTAAAATTGTCCGAAAGTCTGATGTAAAGATCGTTCAGATTCAGATCCTTGTCTTGTGATCTGCATGGCAGTGCAACTAGCCCTAGAGAATGAGTTGCATTCGATCGTCTTTCACTCTCCGAGGTTGGGTGGTGATGCATCACTCGTTGTCGCTCTCTCGTATCTTGAAAAATTGTAAGTTATCTGCTCTTGCTTGATCAGCCACTCCACCACCTGTTGTCCAGTTTGAATCGGTCTTTCGGTCCGAACAGGGAAGTTGACTATAGACGAAGTCAAGTACCTCCTCAGCCGTTGGGGATTAGTGTTTTCCACAGCAATATGGAAATCGAATGATGTCCTCCCCGGGCGAGATCCGATGATCACAGCATGGCAGAGCTGTTGTCAAATGGGAACGATTATTCAACTTGAGAATATTCAGCAATTTGTGTGTTTTTCAACCCCTGCATTGCGTTGAGCCAGGTAGAGTGCACATGGTCGGTCGATGGATTGCGATTCGGTGGAATGGACTCTGCCGAGTTAAAACTTGGTCGTTAGCTTCGGACCATGTAATGGCAAGGACTTGTGTACATGATATCGGACGAGCACTTATAGTAAAAGGGATTCATGCTCTGAATCTTTATGTCCAGTTGACTGGCTGGTCCTAGACTTGTGCGATACATGATGCGCGATGCTGTTGTCCTTCATGGGCTGCCCAGGATGACGGTTTACTTGCTCCCGCCAAAGAGAGAAGATAGGGGGTTGGATGTTTTGGAGAGGAATGTGGATGATGCGGAGGCAAACCCTAATGCTGTAACTTTCCATAGGATGATCAATATTTTCCTCCTGTCGAAAATGGTGAAGTGGGCAAGGAAAGAAAGAGAACACGAAGAGAAGAATCGCCCCGCGTTGGGTGAATGTGGAAACCCAACCTCCCCGTGGGTGTACCTGCCGAATATACTTGAGACATCATACTCAAGATTGGAAAGAACTCTGAACGAAATTCACTGTAATAACCTTGGCAGTATTGTGAGTATCGCCTATGCATCAGTATAGCTGTAGCTACCTCTAGGTAGAACCTCAAAATAACCTTCTCTCGCCCGTTTGCGCCAGCCTCTGGTATCTCACCTACTGGTGAAGCCCTCTTTGCAATCCAAACAATCCATGAAACAGCAAAACCACTTTGAAACAAAGCAACATCAAGAAGAGAAAGAAGCGCCATGAAGGTCCCGGAGATGAATCCTCACCGTGACCAAGAAATCAACCTACTCCTTCTTGGCAACAGTATCAAAGCACTCCTTGATACTCGTAGCACTCCTCCTCAACGCCTCCTTCTCCTTCTCGTTCAACAACAGCTCCACATCCTGATGCGCTCCCTTACTGTTCAGCTTGCATGGCATGCTAAGCGCCACACCCTCCACGCCGGCATAGTCACCCACTCTTGACACGGTAACCAGCTGATCGGCATTGGTAATGATAGGCTCCAAGATGCTCACCAGTACGCTTGCCACACCGTAGTTCGTCTTTCCCTTCCTCTGGATAATCTCATAAGCCGCCTCGCGCGTGCGCTTGCTCAGCGCATCCATAGCCTCCTCATCGTACACGATGCCCTTCTGCTTGCAGTAGTCCTCCAGGCGCATGCCGGCGATGCTGGCGAGCGACCACACAGGCAGCTGGCTGTCGCCGTGCTCGCCAACAATGACGGCGTGCACGTTGCGCGGGTTGACGCCGTAGTGCTTGCCGAGCTCGTGGCGGAAGCGGGTGGTGTCCATGGCGGTGCCTGAGCCGATGACGCGCTGGACGGGGAATCCGCTGAGCTCGTACGCGGCCTTGGTGAGCACGTCGCATGGGTTGGTGGCCACGATCAGGATCGTGTTGGGCGCGTGCTTGGCGATCTGCGGTACGATTTGCTCAAACAGACCGTAGTTGGTCTTGACTAGATCCATGCGAGTCTGCCCGGGCTTCTGGTTGACGCCGGCGGTGATGATGACGGCCGTGGCACCTGCGCAGTCTTCGTACTCGCCCACGCTGACCTTGGCGTGCGCGAAGTGGGCGGCGTGTGAAAGGTCCATAACCTCGCCGAGGGCGCGGTTCTTATCGATATCGATGAGGACGATCTCGGCGGCGAGATGGCTGAGGAGGAGGGCGTAGGCGGTGGTGACGCCAACGGAGCCGGCACCTACGATGGCGACCTTGATGGACTGAAGGTTTTGTCAATGGAAACCCTTGATTATGACGACCGGGGTTCAGATGTAACTCACCTTGGCATGGCTCTCGATTTCCGTGCTTGGTACCGACATTTTTGCTGTTATGTTGTCTGTGGAGAGTGTCGATAATCTGCTGATATCTGAGGGTTCGACTGGAAAGAGCACTTGAGATGTGACCCGGGAGGAGATGGTCTATTTGTAGTAGAAAGCAGGGGGAATGTTTTCTTGCTGCCTTGTTGTCGAGATCCTCAGAGCTATCTTATACGAGATCCAGATTTAGGCACCGCCCGCCCAGTTGGGATGGAGCCCGATTGGGTATCTTTGCCAACATTGGATGACACCTTATCTCGATCGCGATGCAGATTTGAGTGGTTGACAAAGGGTGAAGCTCCCGTCAGATCGGCCTGTTGCAGGACTTGCGCAGCTTGTCTAGTCGTGATTGGGAAACAAACAGACGATCTAGAACTAGATGGCCGTCCAGCGGAGAAGTCGTCAGGGTTTCGTATTGGTCTGGGCAGCGACAAACGCTGTGCCTCACTGGTGGACCGACAGCCAAGACAGAAACTCCGTCTCGATCCCCTATCCGCGCCTACCTCTAGCTGCCGTTCCTTAGGGCTGCTGTGCGGAGCTGTGGCGGCTTAGCCACCAGCATCAATTTGGGATCCAAGACTCGCCGTCGCTGTCAAAGTTCCACCTGCTCGAATCATTCCGATGGCACCAGGCCCTCGTGCAACATATCATTCGATGCGAATTCGTTCCATGTTGCCCGAAGGTTGACAAGTATTGTGCGAATGAGTCACTGTTTGAGCGTTTTAGTGCGAGTTATGCGCCGAAAGATGAGGATCTGAGTTTGTGGTGATACATTCATCTGATTCGTTGTCACCATGCACGGGGAATGACAGATCAACAAAACAATAGATCTCGAAAAATATCAGGGACGACGTGTTTGTAAATGCAATTGAAGGGTATCACGACAACAGCAACAGCAACAAAACAACAGAAACAATCATGCAATCCAAAACCAGATCTTCTCCAACCAGTTCCTCGGAACCGGTTCCACGTCATTCGCGCACATATCGTCCATCTCCTTCTTGCCTGTCAATACATCGATCTCACCGGCGGGCTTATGGAATGGCATCCTGTGCCAGATCTTATGGCCGAAGTATAGAACAAGGAAAGCAGGCAAGGTAATGTATGCCGCAAGGAAATCCTTGTAATTCCACTTGACAAACACTTGGAATCCGTTTGTGAGTGTCAAAATGCTGATCATGACCAGGGCAAACCATGCCGCATATGGCTGACCCGGAGTTTTGAAGGGCAGTGTCGCCAACAGTCCCTGGACTTTGAGCGCCTGACGGAATCGCAGGTAAGTGATGAGCAGAACGATCCAGCCGATGTACCCGGAGATGGTGGAAAGGTTGGAGAACCAGGTAAACACCTGAGCGCCATTGTTGGATACGTTCAGGTAGGCAAGCAGAGAGAATGCCCAGGTCATCAAGACGGCGGTATATGGGACACCACGCTTGGTGGTTCTCGTGAAAATGGCGGGTGCTTGGCCGTTTTGGGCCAGAGAATACAGGATACGGGATCCTGAGTACAAGAATGCGTTACCAGCGGACCAAGCAGAGGTCAAGATGGCAGCGTTGATAACATGGTTCAGGCCACCGATACCGGCGAGCTGAATACCTATAACCCAAGGACTGGCGCTGGCGTCCGAGGTGCCGGAAAGCAGGTTCTTGTTATCCGAGGGAACAATGCAGCCTACGATCAAGGAGCTGATGCCATAAAAGACAGCCAGACGACCCAAGAAACGGCGGGCGGCCTTGGGAATGTTGCGTCTCGGTGCGACAGTCTCACCAGCAGCGAGACCGATCAGTTCGGGGGAGGTGATGAAGCTGAATCCGGCGCGGATGAATGCCGTCCAATACGCAGCAAATCTGCCAGTGGCACCAGGTGCGAGGTACTCCTTGAACGCTCCCGGATCGTTCCAATAGTGAAACCCTAACCGATTGTGGTTTGGCCCGCCTCCCAGCATGATAACGAGGCCAACAATGATGAGCCCCATGATGGTGATGAACTTGATGCTGGCAAACCAGAACTCGGCCTCACCAAAGACCTCGACCGCGATGATGTTCAAGACCAGGTTAACAACAAGGATGATGGTGATCCAAGCCCAGGTGGGAACTGGTGTTTCCCAGTAGTTGAGGAGGATGGCGCCTGCGGACGCTTCGGCGGCGACGAGGATGGCGTACGCATACCTAGGATCCATCGCGTCAGTTGGACTGAGCATTTCGTTCCCTTGATCCCAAAAGAAACTCACCAATAGTTCCAGCCAGCGGCAAACCCTAAGCTGGCATCGACGAAACGCTCTGTGAAGTAGGGCAGTGTGATTCCTCTAAGAGGAAGGTATGTGCACATTTCGCCGATACAGTTCATGACGATCCAGACAAGAAGCATCATGGATAGGTAGGCCAGCCATAGCGGCGCTGGGCCGACGGTGGCCAAGATACCGCCCGAACCGACGAAGAGACCCGTTCCGATACTGTGAAGAGCACCATTAGCGGATAAGTCAAGGGAAACATTGGGGTTGTGGTAGTCCTCAGGGAAGAAATTGCAACGTACGCTCCTCCCAAAGCCAGAAACTGAATGTGCCGACTCTTGAGACCTCTTTGCAATTGATGGTTGGCGTCCAGAGAGATTGTACCGTCCATGACCTGGCCTTGGTTGTGAGAATAAGCCACATCCAGGGCCTCGCCGCCGCCCTGCTTCTCGGCGAAGTTTCCATCGCCGTATTTGGACATGGCGACCGGATCTGAACCCTTTGGAGGCACAGGAGCTGGGCTTCGAGATTAGCCAAATGCTAACGGGATTGCGTTGGTGATGGTTGTCTTTGATGTAGCAATCAGACGAGGCCCGCGGTGCAGAAGACCAACGACACCCAGGAGAGTAGAGGAAGGGGGACAAAGTCTTTGATGCGAACTTGTGTGTCGAGGTCAGCGGCGTTCTTATGGTAGTATTTTGGAGATAAGATCAGCAGGGTTTCTTTGCAGAACATGCCCCAATCCGTTCTCTGAGTCCATGGCAGCCATGCCACTAGTGTAGGAATGTCACACCCGATCAGGGGCACCGAGTGGCCGGCGATAAGCGCATGTATCCATGAGCTGGGATATTTTGGACGTCTATCAGCCAAGAAGCCATATGAGTCAAGCCCAGTTCAGTTGTTGGTGTTGAGGTTGGATCCGTTGAAGATAGCAGTGGGCGGATCAAATCCGTAGTCAGAGAATAGAGCCGCGATTACCCCGGATTTTCGGGTCCAGGAGTGGCATCCGTATCGCCGACGAGAGGTAGTATTGGTTTACTTAAGAGTAAACAAAGTCTGGAACTTGGAGACAAGCGAGCCAACAGCAAAAAGAAGATCGTTGCCCTGTTTGAGCCAAAACCTTCCTTGTCAGTTTCATGCTCTCGGTGAAGAAAAGAGGTTGGCGTGGCTGGAAGAAAAAAAAAGAAAGCAGAAAAACAGGTGCAGCGCCGTTGGGATAAGGCCGGACACACCTTCCCTTTCCAGTTACCATCTCCAGATGCTTGGCGGGGAAGCGGTGGGGTTTCCTGCTTCAGCGGGGATGGCCCTGGCGTACCGGGAGATAGCGCCCTGGGTGTGGAGTCCAGTCTTGGGAAATTTGGGGCCCGGGCTCTAGGGTCTGGGCTTGGGGACACCCCCCACGCTTCCACTTTCCACTTGTTCAGTTCCTGTTCCATGATCCCGTCCTTCGTTGTGCGGTTCCCTTCCTCGTTTCTTGATTTCCATCTTTGTGGGAACTTGAAATGGTCGGGCAGTTGAATGAACTCTCCAATGTCAACACCATAACAGATTCAATGACAGCGGATTACTACGGGATCAATGAACTGAAATGGCTTCGATTTCATGCCAAGATGACCGGCAAGAGGCCATTCCTGACTTCGGTTCCTGGCTTTTCTTGCAAGGAGGTGGCATGATACCCCAACTGTTCCCGCCGCCCCGCACAAAGTTCCATTCATCTCGTTCAAAGTCGGGGTAGAAGCAACCACTCGGGCGACGCTGTGCCGAATGACGACTCTCGGTTTGTATGTAAACACTATCAAATCCAGAAACGTTGAAGCAACTCGGACGGGCCAAGGGATGAAGCCGATAAAGCTATTTTGGCTTGGCATGGGTATCGCGATTGAAATGATGAAGATTGGGAAGCTCTAATACATTCTACCTGTGGTGAGACTTCAGTCTCCTCGTCACTACAGATTGGTAAGGCATTCGTTATTCATGAATAAATATACTGTACTCCTGAGGAGCTAGAAGAAGATGAGGATGGAGGTACCACTTTTTCTTCGAAGCACCTAGTCTAGGTAAGGCTTAAATGGCCGAGTTACAACACAGATGTATTCTTGGAAACGTTTTCGAGGTTACGATGGTCAACTTATAGACGTCGGAAAAGCATTCGTGGAAATGCTGATTTAAACCACCTTGAAATGTCCACCCGACTCAATGCTTCGAACCGTACAATCATTGATCTCGTCTGCCAACGATTGCCACAAGTTTCGGGTCAAGCCGTCTGCCGACTTGCTATGACTTTTACTCCGCAATCACGGCCTAAAACCGGAGCGGTGATCGCTCCAGAACCACACAAACCCCGACTGAGCGCTGATGATCTTATCTGATCCGAGTCATCTCCGCATCGAGACCCTTATTTTCACTACACGCGTAGCAACCCTGCAGGGCTTCACACTACAACTTTGAGACATTAACTGGTCAGGCCACAACTAAATCTTCAATTCCTTCACTCACACCAACCTAGAGGTCATCACTACAAAAACTAACAAAGATGGCCAAAACAACCCTCTTCATCAACGGCCGCATCTTCCTCTCCCCCGTCCGCCCCGGCCAAAACGCCGGCCTCCACACGCCCCCCTCCTTCGCCTCCTGCCTCCTCATCCGCAACGACACCATCCTCCACGTCGGCTCTCCCCAAGATGAACCCATCACCACCGCCCTTCTCTCCTCATCCTCCGGGGAGGAGGAAGAAGTAGTGGAAACCATCGACCTAGCCGGCCACTCCCTCCTCCCCGGTTTCATCGACGGCCACATGCACCTAATGATCATGGGCCAATCCCTCACCAAGCTCGACCTGGGTCCCTGCAAATCTCTTGCCGACATCCGATCCACCATCCGCTCCTACGCCGCCTCCCACCCCGACGTTCCCAGGATCTTGTGTCGCGGGTGGATGCACTCCATGACTCCCGACGGAGTCACAGCCAAAGACCTGGACGGGCTCGACATGGACGGAAAAGACCGACCGATCCTGGTGGACACCAAGGATCTACACTCGGCTTGGTGCAACACGGCCGGCATCCGCGACTTGGGCGCCCAAGAATGGCAGGATGTTCCCGGCGGGACGATTGAGCGGGATGCCGACGGCAAAGTGACGGGCGTGTTCAACGAGGCAGCCAACATCACCTATGTATGGCCGTACCTGGCGCGGGTGGCGACGGTGGAGGAGAGGATGGCTGCTATACAGGCTGCGGTGGAAGCGTACCATTCCGTGGGGTACACGGGGGCGATCGACATGGCCATGGACGAAGGGGCGTGGGATGCGTTGCAGGAACTGAGAAGACGGTCGTCGTCGTCTTCGGAGGAGAACGGCGGCAAGGAAGGCATTCCGTTGAGGATTGCGGCGTATTGGTTGGTGAAGCCGGGAAAGAATGACGAGGAAAATGTGAGGCAGGTGGAGAGGGCGATTGAGCTTGCGAGGCAGTTCAACAGCGAGACGACGCCGGATTGCAGGATTGTCGGGGTGAAAATCATTTGTGATGGCATCATCGATGGATGCACGGCTGGCCTGTCGGAGCCCTACGAGCATAATGGGCATAGGGAGGTGCCGCTTTGGACGGCGGAGCAGCTGGAGCCCGTGGTCAAGAGGGCGGATGAGGCGGGATTGCAGGTGGCGTTGCATGCGATTGGGGATGAGACCATCAAGACGGTTTTGGACGTGTTGATTGCGCACGCGAGCCCGGAGAGGAGACCGCGCGTGGAGCACTTGGAGCTGTCGAGCGAGAAGGACGCCGAGAGGCTGGGCAAGGCGGGCATCACGGCTTCGATTCAGCCGGTGCATGCGGACCCGGCGATCCTGAGGGCTTGGCCCAAGTTGTTGGGAGCGCACAGGTGTGGAAGGGCTTTTGCGTATCGCGAATTTGCGGATCATGGGGCGCCGTTGGCGTTGGGAAGCGATGCGCCCACGGCACCGCATGCTCCGTTGCCTAATGTGTACGTTGGAGCGACGAGGAGATCGTATCGGGAGCCCGACTACCAGACCACGGTCAACCCGCACTTTGCTCTAGGCGTGTGCGAGGCGGTCGCTGCGGCGTCTCAGGGCGTGGCGTATAGCTGCCGCGATGAGAACAGGATAGGAAGACTGGAGAAGGGGATGAAGGCCGACTTCACCATTGTGGACATGGATTGGGATAAGGAGAAGCTGAAGGAGGCAAAGGTTCTGGAGACATGGTTCGATGGCAGGAAGGTCTGGTCGGCAAAGAACTGATTCGGATATCGATCGCCCTGAAATTTTTGGATACTAAAATAGCAAACGTAGCAAGCCGTGTACTCTATTCATAAGGCCAGTATCGCCTAGGCCAAATGTTCATCGCGGTCTTCAGCCCATCCCCGAGTGGAAGTCCGGCATGGTTTGTCCGTTCATCACCAGTCCCGTTGGCATGAAGGTTAACCCAAAAGATAGCATTGCCAGCAACCGGTCTGAACGCCAACCCTCCATCATCATGCTCCCGCCAAAGAGGCTTCAAATCGGTCACGTTTTTCAGCTTTTGGTCCTCCAATCCGCCACGCCACATGGGTTCGTTCCACGGACTCGGCGATATGATGGGCTTCGCATGAGGAAAGTGTGTCTCGCCCTTGGTGCAATTGTCCTGGAGTATGGCAAAGAAACTGGCAACGCGATTCCACACCCTGTCGCTGCCGTCGTTGGCTAGGAGCGGCCTGTCAAACCAGTCATGATGGACATTGAACCTCTGACCGGCCCGATACCGAACTAACTGCGGCGGACCCATCTCGTCCCAGCCATCCCTCAACATTGTACCCATAAAGCCTCGTGCCCGGTTCAGCACGCACCTGACGGCGGGATCGTCGCGTGGTAGTCCCGCCGAGCTCGACGTGCGGTCTTGCATCTGTTGTTGACGGCCGTGCTTAATGACCACCGATGGTTTGAACATGGGTTCGGCTGTGTAGAGGAGTGAGGTGATCTCGGACGGTGTTATGAGGTTATGGATATATATAATCAAAGGGTTAAGAGATACGAGCTCAGTCTTGTATGAATGGGATACATCGCAGTAGAAGGGCTGTTGATGTTCTTCTGTCATTGAAGTTTTGTTCCGGAAAAGCTTCAGGGGCTTTGCCAGAGGGTGGTCAGCCAGAGGTACTGGAAGGCCGCTGATGATGAAGGTGAGTGATGAGATCTGGGGAAAAGTCTCGGACAGGTATGGTACACTCAAGGCAACCAAGACTGTCCAAGCCACGGTTAAACCGGCAGCGTTCATCAAACTTAAGCCAGGCATGCTGATTTTTGCTTTTCGCGTAAAGAACTAGCTTCTCAATCAGGGAGTGAAAGAAGGATGAAGGGGCCAGAAGGATTGATATTACAATATCAACCACCAAATCAACTCCGGTCTGTTCGCCGGTGAGGGACACAATTGCTTTTATTCTCTGCGCATAGTCATATATTCCTCCTCCCGTCATGGTATGATAGCGGAATTGAATCCAGACCTCACTGGCCCGGAAAACGTTGCCGAGAATCTAAACCCGGGGAGAGATCTCATAAGAGCATCGAGATGGTGGTGACGGGCATCCAAACATGGTTCGATGTGGCTGTTGAGTACCATAGTCGTCGTGACCGCTATCCCCAAAGTTGCACACCTCTTGGCTCATTTTGGACAGAACGGAAGTTTTGACGCCGAAGTACATGCGGACATGTTTGTTTTGGTAGTCCGACCTTCATCTCTGTGAGTTATGGTTCTTAGTTTGGAACCGTGGGTGAATGAAAATGTTACGTCAACGTTAGCGAATGGTGGGATTGACGATCCAGCGAAATCCGGGGCCCGTATAAGTGCCGTCCGTGGAAGACAACCGCTAACTGTTAGCGAGGAAAGTAGCCCTACCTGGGTACTTGCCTGGTGGTTGCCTACTAAGCGAGCATGTACCGCTGTGAATCAGCTGACCTGGCGCTTTAACGTGCATCTGGCATCCGCTGTGACAGGTCAACAACCAAGGGAGCTATCTGCACGGGGACCTTGATGGCCTTCGCCACTGCATCCTGTTTTCCCTCCTCCCGTCGTTATCATCAATCCGGCAGCGGACACTCTGTCACCCTTCCACCTCCTCTTACATCTTGGATTGTTTCTTTTGGATAAGGGACAATTGGAAGTATCCCAACACGGCTCTTTCCCTTCTTCGGCAATATTGTCATCTCACCAGATCGCAGCAATGGGCACAGGCAACACGGCCGCCTCAAGCAGAAAGAGGAAGCAAGTCGATGATGAACCAACTGTTTCAGATACCAAACAAGTAGCAGGTACATCCTCAAAGAAGTCCAAGAAGGACGAGTTAGCCCTGGCCACGGAAGAGAAGCGACTACGCAGGTACGCACAACCACCCCATGTGGATGTTTTCCCTCGGTCCACAAATCCTCAGTTTGGACTGCTAGCTGACTCCAACCCAGATTCCGTGACAAAGCACCCCAAGCTTTTGCTGTCATCTACGAACGAGCCACAACTCAACGATTTTTTGTCCTCTCGCGTAAACGCATACCCGTATGGGACAGCTTGGAAGGCTTCGAAGAGGAGGTGGAAATAGCAGGTTCGACAGGCAACATCTACACCGTGACAATTGCCCGACAGCCAACATGCACCTGCCCCATGGGTGAGAAGAACGAGCAGTGCAAACACATCATTTACGTACTGGCCCGAGTACTGCGTGCCAGGTACGAATATGTCTACCAACTGGCACTGCTAAGCTGCGAGCTCGAAGTCATCTTTAGCAATGCCCCTCCGATCGTGGAAGACGGTGACAGTCTCACGACAGGCGAAGGAGACAAGAGGAGGAAGCCGATTGAAGGGGATTGCCCTATTTGTTTTAACGAGATGGAGGTACACAAGCCCGAGGAAATTGTTTGGTGCCGAGCGGCATGCGGCCAGAACGTTCACAAGGAGTGCTTCGAGATGTGGGCGGCTACAAAACGGAAGCAGGCTGGCGGATCCAAGGCCGATGTCACTTGCCCGTACTGCAGGAGTGTCTGGGAAGGCGATGATGACTTGATCAAGATGATCAAGAAGGGGAGGCCAACCTCGGAAGGATACGTGAATGTTGCTGACCAGTTGGGGATTAGCCAAGTGCGAGATACCAGCACGTACTATTATGGAGGGTCACGATCAGGGTACTACAACTATGGCAATAGGAGCAGACGGTACCGGCATTATTGAGGAAGTGCCAGCTCGGGTTTTGAGATAGGAGGAGAGTGTTGGCTGTCTGGCTGGCCGATATGCCGCCCAAACACTCCGCCTGCTTGATTTTGTACCAGTCCGGCTACAGGACACTCGCGAGGACCGGGAGAGCAACGCGAAGTCCATTCTGCGTTTGACGAGTTTTTTTTTTCTTTTTTTTTTCTATGATCGCCTTGAATGCAAATTATTCCCGCGCTGTATCAGTATACGACAGTCACGTATTCAACACACAACATAACGCAGCATATGAAAATATCAGCATTCCTCGATTTCATCCAACAATTCACCACAGCATGATATAGGAGAGACCGGTTCTCAAGGTCGCACCATGGTATGGACCCTCACCTCAGCTACGACTCCTCAGAATATGCTCACACTAACCGGCCCCATTAGTTCTTCCCGATAAGGTCCTTCATTCGTGCAGTCAGGTTAACGATGCGCGCCGCATCGGTTACTTTCTCTTTTGTTATCTCTGCAATAACCAGCGTACTGGATTTTGATTGTCGTGAGGACACCGCCTACCACCAAGCTGTCGATTACGTTCTCCAAGCATTCCTCAATATGGATTTGGACACATTCGAACTCACTTACGTGGACACTGACGCCAACCTTGACGTCGGCCTTGGGTTCTACCTTTTGGTATCCGTCACTGTTGCCGTGTTTGGGGGCATCTTTTTCTTTTTGGCGCGGTGGAAGTTTGGAGACCCGGGAATTCAAGAAGAACTGCGTGGCTTCCCAACTCTGCAGTCTCTTTTCAGAGGTGTTCACACCAGGTTCTTGAGACGAGGGTTAATCGGTTGAATGAAGAGGAAATCGGGCCTGATGGAAGGTTTGTTCTTCCTCCACCCGATCTTCAGTTCCGGTCTTGACTAAGCAGAGGTTTTTATGGGTTAAGAGGCGAAAAGTGTTGTCCCATGGGGCCGTACATGGCTATCAGCATGCCTCTACCCCAATTCACCATTGCGGAAGAATACAGAACGAGTTGAATAAGATGGCTGGATGTTGGATTAGGCATTAGGATAGGACAGCGAATTGGCATTTTTCCAACGGATGCAGCATTGAGCAACAGATTACATGAAGTATTAGGTACGTAGGGATCAATCATACTTCTGATTACCTTTGAGCAACAAGCCGCTATCCTAGCCCACACCAAGATATCATCTAGAATCAATGCTAACTGAGAGAAACGCAGCGAGATACTACGTCTACGAGTATACCAGCCATTTTCACAAAAAGAACAAATGTACACAACGCCGAAACGACGCCGAGTAAGGTGCTGATGGACAACGAAGACACCGTCACTCGTTTGGCTTCCACTCTTTTCAGCTTGGCAACGACCGCGTAAGAGTGTTGAGGTATCACCCGGACAATTCTCTCGAAGGGATCAATGCTGGGGCATAAACCACTCCATTACAAACAGGGAAAAAAGGAGAGTACGCTATGGAGGAAGAGGAACATCGACAGAAGTTTTACCTACCTTACTACGGAAGGGCTTCTCAACAATCAAGAAGAAGTCCCTGATATCAGCGGGTCTTCCACCAACTAATATTTTTCAAGGTTCCCAAAGAGCGCACGGAGGGTGTTGCCCTGGGCAGTTATCGTATAGCTCTCATAGTGCACTGATTGGACTGACCTTTTAACCGACCGAGAGCTCGTATAATCCGTGACACTACCTACCTATGTAGCGTTGAGACTTTAGCTGAATACCCTAAGTACTTTAATGCAGGTGAACAGGGCAAGTGATCCGTCCTTGTGACGAGGTCAAGGCAAAAGTAATATTCCTTACATGGGTTTAGCAAGTCAAGGCCGTGTTTTAGGCGAAATTCTTCGAGCCCGTTATCATACCTATGGGAATAATGTAACGAGCGGGAGGAATAATCAGGAGTTGAGTGACATACTGCTACTACTTCAGGGTTCAATGCAAAAGAATGGTGATAAAGTACGTTGGCGGACAATGGTGCTGCTACCAACGGTGGTCTAGTTGGAACTGGTTGAGGTGCGTCGGAAGTTGAAATAAGTTGGTGGCGACATGATTACCTCTAACAATTTGGACTCACGACGTTGTTGAAAGCTGATTTGGGCACGTGGGAGACTGGAAGGGGGAAAGAGCTGAAGAGGGAAGGGATTCACAGGTCAAGGCAGTGGAGATATGGTGATGGGAAAGAATCCGTACGACAAAGGCCATGTATCAGTGCAGTGTACAAAGAGCATGCATGCGCTTAGCTATTCACTATTTCCGTTGTCTACCTCCAGATCACTAGTCCCCTGTATCTAAACCATATCCCACGGGCGACCTCCTCTCCCATGCTCCGACCGGAGTTCATAGCTATCCCGCTGGCGAGTTCCATCATTCCTAATACCATCATCAATACCATTCAACCAAGCTCCAATAGTCGAGAACAACCTGGTTGACCTAGCTCTGAAAACGCCGCCACGATGCTTACTAGAGGTACTTGTACTGCACTGCTCATCATCACCATCATCGCGTCGTCCATGTCCTGAACCTAGACCAACACCCCAGACATCAGGCCATCGTGTAACCCTTGCCCCTCTATCCTCTCCAGCAGCAGCCCTTCTAGCACCCCGTGTCTCTTCTTCTTCTTCTTCTTCTTGCTTCGATCGTTGCCCCCACTCCCACTCCCATTCCCACACTTGTTCTTTTCTCTCTGTCGGCACTTCCGGCTGCCCATCTAGCTGTGTCCCCCCCGGTACCCTCCTACCCGGCGATACAGCAGGTGAACTACCTCTAGGAATCTCCTTCAACTCAACAACCGCATCCCCATGCCCATGCCCCCCGTCCATGTGCACAATGACACTCCCAACCTCCTCCTTCTCCTCGTTTATCCCCTCCAACTTATTCAAAGTCTCTTGGTCCACCAGTCGCAAAGTCGTCCTCGGTCGCGGCGGTAGGCTGTACTTCAACCCGACGGCGCCTAGAGAAGAGCGAGGTGGAGGGTCTAGACCAACCGGCGAGGGGATGTCACGGTGGTCGAGCCGGGTGTTGTCGTAGTTGGAGGGGCTGGAGTAGACGGAGGAGGTGTAGGAGTCGTGTTGTCTGGGTGTTTGCGTCTGTGTTTGGGTTGGAGGGATGGGGGTGGTTTTCGAGTGGTGGTTGGAGGTGTGGATATTGGATTTGACCGTGGATACAGGATCGGGATCGGGATTGGGATCGGGACCGGAATGGGGATGGTGGATTGGGGTGGACGCAATGTTGGAGCTGGGTTGGAATAAAACCCCGGAAGGGCGTTGTTTTTTCCACTTCCTGTGTGTTTGCTCTTGTGGATTGTACTGGTTGGTGTTGGTGAAAGGTGTTGCCCGGCTGTGACTATCGGGTACGGCGCCGGGGCCGGGGCCGGGACCGGAAGGGTTCCTCGGTTGAGCAAAGTAAGCATACAGGTCTCGGTAATAAGGAGCATCAGCCAAATCAATGGATGCCGATGATCGGCCTTCCAACTGGTCCAGAGTGTCACTGCGCGCTTGGAGAACGGCAATGGGAATTGGCTTGGGTGGTGATTTGGTGGTAAGTACCCGATTGTTTGCACGTCTTTCTGCTCGGCATTGTTGTTGCTGCCCCTGGTTCTGGTTGGGACTCTGCTGCTCCCCTGATCCTGCTGCTCCTTCCCGGCTTGACGATGTCCATGCGCCCCCGCCCCCGCCGCGTCCCTAACTGCGGTTGTAGGTGTTAATCGGGTCGTTCCTTCCTTGGGGCATTGTGTTACCAAGTGAGTGTCCTGAAGTCGCTTCGTGGCCGGAACCGGAACCAAGCGAGCTGTCGACTCTTGGGGAGCAGTCGTACCGGCTTGAGCCCGTACCGAGTCTACTTGTCGTGTCGACACGATATGGGGTTCCAGATACTGTATCTGCTTGGTGGTAGGTACCACCGCCGCTCCTGCCATCGTCATGAGCTACGTTCCCGGAATCTAGACTTCGTTCTCTGACGTGTATATTCGGTCGTGGCCGGAACTGCCGCTCGGCTCCAGAGACAACCTCCTCCAATCCCGCCACAGAGATCTCGGACGGACCGCGTTGATAGTCACTGTCACCCACCGGACCACTCATTGCCCTCGCACACCATAGTGCTTTGTTGGACTGCGTCTCCTTAGACGCAATAACCCCGACTGAGGCAGCGCTTAGGACGAAAGACGCGCAGTCCACCAGCATAAGGACCCAGAGAAGATAGATTTTCGTGCATGACACACGACCGTTTGGTACGCCAGAGAAATTAAGGACCCCCAATGGGCCGGCTTGGAGGGCAAAGCCACCCTCTGCTTTGACTCGAGGGCACTTTGTACCGCCATCGTGCATGGGAAGGCCGAGGAGGACCGAAAAAACACCAAAGGCAATGAGGAAAATTAAGTCGGTGACGATAGTGACTTTGTAGGGAAAGTGGCGACGGGAGTAGCCGAACAGGGAGAAGAGGCACCAGAGGAGTGAAGCAGATGTCTGCAGGTTTCGTTAGCGTCTCAAGGGTTAGAAAGAAACAAAGGAGTTGAACATACCAGGATCATGAGAGCCACGAGGCTTGTAGCTGGTGATTCACCTGCTTTAGTCATGTTACCAAGCAAGCTGCCATCTATCCCGGCCATGGTGGAAAGCGCTATAATCAGTAAAAAACGGGAAAAAAGAAAGGCATAGCTGTAAAAGCATTGGGGAGTAAGGGACTCAAAGTTCCGGATAGGCGTCGAGCCAGGGGAAGAGGAGCCCATATTGATCTCACGGGCTTGAAAATTCCCCAAAAGAAATGTCGTCAGCGAGTGTAGAGAGATTATAGTCCAAAGAGCAATTAATCTTGATATACGGTTCCCGTTTCTGACGGGCTTTTAATATTGTAGGTCAGTTTGTAAAGAAATTGACTTGAATCTATATGGCACGCATCCAGGCGGCTGCATTATTAATGTCGGAGATCGGGAAACTCGAGGGAAAGAATTGGACCAGGAAACAAGAAGTAGAGCGTCCGCATGGTAGAGAGGTTCTTAAGTAGCTGTTGTGCACGGTTCTAAGATCAAAGCCATTGATCTGTGATTTTTTCGTGTTGCTCACGGCAACAGACGTTTCGACGCATTGGCCATGAGTGTGTGCTTTGATGCTCGTAGTCATTAATCATCTTGGTGGTAATGACTGATCGACTGTTGATGTTGTGATCGGTGGGTCGAAGGTGTTCGAGGCTGGCCATGCGCCGTCATACCGAAGCGAGGGCGAGTGCGGAGGCTTGAGTCACTGGATACATACTCTGTGATCCATAAACTCATCATTGAATGAAGTATTCTAGCTCATGTTGATGGACTGCATGTTGGGATGATGCTTCAGCCCTATGGTCCTTTAAACCATCCGAGGAGGCTAATATGCCAGAAAAATAAAGACAGACGGACAAGGGGGGAAAAAAAAAAGGAAAGGGGGGGAGGGGGTTCACCGGTTCATAACGGGCCAGAAGTGAAGCCCAATAAAGAAGGCAAGGAGCTTCAGTGGTGAAAGTTCCCTTAAACGAACATCAGGAATTGAAGCTATGCTAATCTTACAAGATAAAACAACATATCGACCCAGACATCGGGGTACTTATTCATCAGCGACTCGGCAGCCGGCTTGGGTCTTCTGGAATTGTCAAGATGAGGATGAGTGTATACGGGGACTTACAAATCAATTCACTCTTTGTTTGAGGGACTCACACGCGGAGACAGAACGTGACAAACACAAAGAAGCCGAATGTAGCATAAATAGACGTGAAATTTTGCTGCAGACGAGAAGCGCTGCAAGATACCCACCCCTACCTCCAATAACATTACGTGGAATATAAATCGTTTAACTGCTCATCTCCTCTTTGTGTAACTGCACACCCTCGATCTACTCCAAGGATCTCGCTTCCGTAGGTAAACAACAGCGGTGTTAAATGCTCCTTGGAAAACCCCCCACACCCAGCCATGTAATTAACCGAGCAGATCGTCCAACCCGTGGTTGCCGCCAGTGGTGGGCCTGCTACCGCTGGTCGGAGTGGAGGGCGCAGCAGTTCCCCAAATACCAGCACTACTCTTCTCTTTGGCCAGCTGTCCGATAGCCGGACCCTTGGTGGTAGGCGTGCTCTTCTTGATTCCAGCACTAGCCTGCGACCACAGCGCACCGAAGGCATCACCGCCAGCGGCTGGCTTGGAGGCAGCTGAACCGGTTGCCTTGGCTCCTGAAAGCGAGGACCCGGTAGACTGGGTCTGCAGCTGTACCGGGGAAAAGTAATTTGGCTGACCGCCTTGGAAGCCAGTTGGCTTGGGGGCCTGGGAGACGGGCGAAAGGGGCGTGGAGAAAGCCGAGAAGTTGGCAGCAGGAGTCGTGGTGGAGCTGGGAGGAGGAGAGATGGAGGAGAGGGCAACCATGCCGCTAAGGTTGGCCTGCTGAGGCGCCGAAACTGGTTGCGGGGCGACAAATTGTGGCCCAGTAGAAAGGGGGGCGATTGGGGGAGAAATCGCAGAAGCAGGCTGAGTGGCGGGCGCGGCAGACTGGAAATCATCGAACTCGTCGTCGTCGTCATTAGCGCCGCCGGCTAGAGCCGCAAGCCCAGAGCCGTTGGAAGGTGCGGCGGCGAGGGGCGCGGTCGGGATGGATGGCGCTGCGGGCTCATCAAAGGAAAACAAGTCGATCTCGGGTTCCTTTTTCTTGGGCGGCTCGGCGGGTGCTGTTGTCTTCTTGACCCCGGCTCTTTCTGTCGTGGATCGTGTTGTCCTTGGCGCAGTACGAGACGACGCCTCGCCGTCCAAATCACCTGCATCGTATTCCTCAAACTGCTCTGCCCGTGCCTGGGTCCCGCGGTAGTCGTTGTTGGAAGGCTGGCCACCAAAAACACCTCCGTCGCCATAAACTCCTCCAGAATAGCCACCGTAGGTAGAGCTGCTACCACCGCCACCACTGCTGCTACCGCCATACGAAGTGTTGCCGAAACCGCCATAACGTCCGCTGCTCCCGCTGGAGAAGCTCATTCCACCCGAAATGCCCGTGAACTTGCCCTTGTTTGCGCGGGCCTTCTTGCGCTCTGCTCGGATACGCTCGACATCGCTGAGGAGCTCGGCGAGTTCCTTGGCGCGGTTGCGGACGTTGATACCCTGGTCTTTGCCGTTCTGATCGATAAAATGGAACTGGCGCAGCATCTTGAGGAGGGTAAGATGCGACCGAGCATCGTCCACCACTCGTTCGGAACCGTGCTTGATCAGGTACTCTAGTAGTTGAAGGGCCTTGTAGATCTGGCGCCATTCTTCGGCGGACTTTTCTGTGAAACGGCGGTAAATCATGGGCATGATTTCGTTGAGTGTTTGGCTAAGAACAAGGAGAGAAACGCAAGTTAGCCGCGTTCGCATACAAGCAAGTAGTTCTCGGGGGCGTACTAGTTGAAGGTACCATCGGCGATCTCCTGCATCAGAGTCGACGATGCACCCCAAGGTTCATTGTTGGTGGCCTCGCGCACCTGGGTTCGCTGTCAGCTCCCGTCCCGTGGTCTCTTGTCTGGGATCAAGTGTATGGCGAAGGGCGCAAGAGAATGGGGCCAGTGTGGCGCTTGGATACGGGCATACCTTGGACTCCATCTCGGTATAGTTCATGACAGCTGGTTGGAGCCATTGTCAGCACCCTGAAAACGAAATCATGAGAGAGTCTTGGTTCTGGACTAGGTGGTCGCCTACCATTTTGAACCTTTCGGACGCCAGCCTTGATGTCGTAGAGTGTCAGGTTGGACACGGTATCCTTGAGGCTATTGAAATCCATTGCGTTGATGTGTCTATCGCCGGAGTTGCTGGGAATTGTTCGGATGGGCTAAGGTAATCCTCTGGATCCAATCTGAGCCTCGCGGTGATGATTGCCAGACGGGATGCTGTGGCGACTTGGTGGTTTTTGTTCAGGCTGATCGCTTTCAGGGCGACGTTTCACGGTCTTGTCGGGATCAGATGGACATTGAGGTGGCCTAGCGTCAGGGTGCCGCTGAGCGCTGACCTCAACTGACGCCGTCCAAGGCCGACCCCTGCGCTTGACCCGACACCCTGACGCCAAGAAACCAGTGGAACCCAGGAGGTCTGCCAAGACTTTGAAAGCTTGGCACGAGCGTCTCAGCTCTTTGAAGCCTGAAACTTCAGGCAAGAATTCTGCTTGTGGTTGCCGGCGGCCGACACCGCGGGGCGGCGGGGAGGGAGGGGACGCTCGGCCGCCGGAGCTCGCTTCCATGCGTTTTGGATGGAGTAAAAATTGTTAAACACCCGACCCGACTCCGTTCTCCCTCTCGTCTCTGGTCTTTGTTGTGCATCCATCGCCGTGTAGCAGATTTCCATCGTTCGTTTGTTCGGACTTTACCTTGTACTTTTAGCTTCATTATCATCCTACAATCATCCAGGATTTCATCTTCCAGAACCGGTACGTTGTCATTTTTACTTTTGTCGCCATGTTCTTTTTGAGCCTTTTCTGTCTGGAGGAGCTCTCCCTGCCGGCTGGGAGCTTGCCCAAAGCTCCAAGCTCTATCTATGGCAGAGCTCTGAGAGCTTCCATTCCCTGGATTTCTTGGCATCAGATTCAATTCGAATGACCTTTTTTTCATCCACGCTCGAGATGAGGGATGAGGTTTGTTAGTTTGACAATACCACCACCGCCTTTTGGTCCCTACCCCAGACATGGCCATCAAGGTCGTTAATGCCGTCCATCCCTCTTGTTCGGCTTGGGGTATCGTCCATGGCTCCGCAATGTCGTCAATGGCTGCATTGACAGAGGGGGACTCCAAATGAAGAGGCAATCGCAACGCTATGAAGACCCAACAAGCCATATGATGGAGCCATGGGTCTACGGTCCTTTGGCCCGGATTGATGTCTTTGGATAGCTCTTGCCAGCACTTTAGCTGCCAACTATACACACACGGGTGGTGGCAGTTTTGATTGTCATTGCCGTCAGCGTCAGGGCCGACGGGACCTTGGAGACTCGGGGGGGAAGCGCCAACACCACCAGATGGCAGCTGTTTACTTGTTCGTACTGGTGTTCCTGAGCCAACGAACCAATCCGAAGCCCACATGCGCCAAACATGACACTTGCAGAGGCTCATACCACTCCACGTTGTCAAGCTGACCTGCTGTTTCGTCTCCCGCCGCACTGGCAAACGAGACCGAAACAGGCGGCGTGGCGACAGCCCGACAGCTCGAGTCGCAACAATCAATCACGTGGCGAGCAGCTACGTACCTTCTCCGCCCCCCACTTCTCGGATTGGCTGACCCCTCCTTTCCATTTTAGTGAAAATGTTTGGACCCCGCCATTTCTCTGTCCTTAAGACAACAGGTTCTCTCGTCTCCTCGACTTTCTCGTCATCTCTCAAGCCCACTGCAACTTTCTCCTGCGCCAGAGCTTTTTCGCAAACATCCAGCATCATGTCCAAGGTGTAAGTCCAACCGCTTCTCCAGGTCCGCGCAAACATGGAAGCTGCGCCTACCTACCCGTAGCTTCAGGGACACCGACTGACCTGCATGCTTTAGTTTCTTCGATCTCGAGTGGGAGGGTCCCGTCCTCGGCCCCAACAACAAGCCCACCAGCGAAATCAAGGGTAAGTCTACTCTCCTCATCTGCTTTGTCTCCATCAATCAGGCTCAGGAAACTTGCGACCTTGCTCGGACTTCACCTGGACGTCCGTCGTTGTTCGCAATGAGCACGGCGTCGTCCCGGTGTTGCCGCAGCCCGCAAGCTCCTGAACTACCCCTCCATACTGGTGCCCCTGAATCAGAACGCCCGCACCACTCAGCCTCACCGCCCTCCCCCCCGCCCCGCCTGTCAACTGTCATGTCATGCCCTTCGGATGTCTAACTCCCAATGCAGCTCAGTCTGGCCGCATTAACTTCACTCTCTACGACGACGTTGTCCCCAAGACCGCCCGCAACTTCAAGGAGCTCTGCACTGGCCAGAACGGCTTCGGCTACAAGGGCTCTTCTTTCCACCGCATTATCCCCGAGTTCATGCTCCAGGGTGGTGACTTCACCCGTGGTAACGTAAGTCAATACCCGCCCAACAAGCTATCGAACATGGGAGACAAGACCTAACCTCTTTGAACAGGGCACTGGTGGCAAGTCCATCTACGGCGAGAAGTTCGCCGATGAGAACTTCGCCAAGAAGCACGTCCGCCCTGGTCTTCTTTCCATGGCCAACGCCGGCCCCAACACCAACGGCTCCCAGTTCTTCGTCACCACTGTCCCCACCAGCTGGCTCGATGGCCGCCACGTCGTCTTCGGCGAGGTCGCTGACGATGAGTCCATGAAGGTCGTCAAGGCCCTCGAGGCTACTGGCTCCAGCAGCGGTGCTATTCGTTACTCCAAGAAGCCCACCATTGTCGACTGCGGCGCTCTCTAAATTTCCTTGCTGAGATTGCCGAGGGTATTAGGGATTGGAGTCGCGGTACTATAATATTCGTATAAATGTGCTGCTATGATAGCTAGATAGCTCATCAAAATGGATCTCCTGCGCGACACACCCACCCTTGTCTTCACTGCATCGTCATCACTGTCACTTTTGATAGTTGATATGAGCACGCAAACTGATGTCTTTCCCTAGACAGTTTACAGGTCATGTGAATATTATCGCCAACACATTGAATGCTAAACAGGTTGCCTCCAACGCCTAAATGAAACCAAATTACCCTTGCCTTCTTTTTTTTACGCCGTCAATGCAGTTGTGATAGAGACCATGCAATGTTTTCTAAACAGAGACACAGACACATTGGAGTCGATCAGATCGAAATGACTTGTTCCTGGACCTCGTCGCCATCCAGCCACCGTCTGAAATAGACGCAGTTGCTGGGGCTGACAGGGCCGCCTTCCTCGCACATATCATAGACAGGGCACCGCCCACAAGGAGCCTCCATAAGGCCACTTGCACTCGGCTCGACTCCCATAAACGAGGTAACAATGCCTCCTTTGGTTGGATCATGGTCGAGGCGTCGTTGATTGCACGTCCTCGGATCCTGTTTGGGGATGCGCGTCACACGGTACCCCTTGCGCCCATTGACCTTGACAGGCTCTACTAAACCATCGTAGTATAGCACGTCCACCAACTGCTGGATATCCGCCTCGCTCAACGTCGTATTGTTCGTGATGCCGGCGTGGTGGATGAACTTTGCAATGTCCGACACGGTCGGGTACGACTTGTAACCGGCCGGGAGAGGCAGCAATTGCGGCTTGCCGGGCCTGGTCTTCTTGGCCGGTGCCGCTGCCGCCGTGTCGTCGTTGGAAATCTCGCCCGCGCTGCGCTTCGTCCCCTTGGAAATATCCTCCGAGTGGGGAATGGTCCCCTGAACCACGCCCTTCTTGGGATTCTTTTCACGCTGCTGCGCCCCTCCTCCTTGTGCTCCTACTCCTGGTACCCCAGCACCGCCGCCGTGCGAAGTATATGTCGATTTCTGCTTGATAAAGTCGAACACGATTTCCTGTAGCTCGTTGATGAAGGCCGTGTCGAGCTCGCCCTCGGTGAACCAGGGGCCACCCGTGGCGCGATCGGAGGGACGTAGGTTCGCCTTGATGTACATCTTCTTGTTGGGGTGCTCGACGTTCTTCATGCTGGCAATGTAGCCCTTTTGCTCGAGATACTTGATGCAATGCTTCATAAGCGAGTCGGCCATGTTGAGCTTGTTCTTGATGGTCCGGTTCCAGATGCCGTCGGCCCCGGCTTCGTCGACCATGGCGTAGACCATCATTATTTCGGAGTTGGGGAGGGAGGTGTACCTTTTGAGAGGAAGGGGAGGTTAGTTGGTGTGCTCGATTATGTCCTAAAAAGGAAAAAGAAAGGTAGTAACGCACTTCTTTGCATCCTCCCGGCTTCGCCATCTCCATGACAGCCCCGATGCCGTGGTGTTGCCGACAAAGAGCTTCTCATCGCAGAGAATTTGGATCACCTGCATGAGCAACCCGATATTGTCTTGGGGAATGACCTGCATGTCCAACAGGTCCCGCTGCGTGAAGAGACGCTGATCGGAACCGTGGTCCCTCGCCGCCTCGTAGAGCGCATCCTTGAGGATCTGGATCTTGTCGCGGTCGGCCATCGTGTGCTGGTGGTGATTAGGTAGGAATTTCGTGTGGTCGTTCTGGTGACCGAGACGCAACAATTTGGAAGAAAAAAAGGGACTCGTGACGGGATAAAGACAATGCCCTGACTGGTTGTAAGCGTCAATACCCAGTCTGGAATGGGTCTGTTGATTGGATTTAGAGAAGGCGTGGCGTATGGCCAACTGCAGGTCGGTTTGCCAAACCGAGTTGCACTGGTCGACCACGAAATTTCCCAGAAGAAATGCCCCGCCTTTTTCAGCCTTGCATGAAGGAGCAGAATGAAGCGTTTTTTGATTGGTCAATATAAGCAGCGAGTGCCAAGAAGGTGACTGCTGCTCTGAGTTGCAAGAAGTTGATTCGTCAGATGTCCTCCTCCTGATGAGTAAAGAGTCATGATCAACATCAAGTGAACCTGCGAGCATTGATGACCGAAGTCTTATATTTCTATATCGAATTGTCAAAGTAATTCTCCCTGACTACTTACGTGTGACGGCAATCGAGGTGTTGTATAATCCACGGAATGCTCAACCTAAGCGTCCTCTTTAGTGGAGCACGTTCCACTTTCTGATCAGCCTTGCAGGACCACGCAGGCCATCCCATTTTCGCAGGTCTTCTGCAACCTTATCACTTTTCTCATCCTTCAACCTTCCAACCGCCAAGTTCCATTGACAAAGCAACTCTCGCGGATCGAGTCACCACACTACATCGTGTACACGTCACCTAGCTCACCCATTGTTTCCTGCTTGATTTTTTTTTCCACCCCGACCTAATTCTATCTACTCATCAAATTCCTTCTGCGAAACTCAACGTGCAACCCGAAGGATATCGATGCCCAAAATGGACGATAAACGCATTGACTGAAAGAACCTCTTGCCGCAGTGTATCCCATGATCCAACCACCGAAAATCTGGGCATGACTACCTCTTCATCTTCTTACAACTTTCGCTCATCACAGGATGATTCGCCAGTTTGCTTGACGGTGCCTGATTCTCGCACCAAAGGGAATCAACACTGCCATACCTCCGCCCAATATGAGCGCAAATACGCCTGCCGTTGTTCCGAAGGCTTCAACATAACCCACCATCTGGACCCAGATCAAGACCGACGCTGCGAAGAAGAAGCTTACAATATGCTTTGTTCCTATTGACATCGTGCCGTGATTAGCAAGGTTACTCAACCAGGAGGGACTCATGCTGCTTCTTACCATTGACAAGCATAAGAGCATCCGAGTTTAGTGGGAGCAGACAGTCCGAGACATAGGCTATGGTGATGGTCGGCACCGCCGTCAATGCTACCGAGATCATACCATATCCAAAGAACAGGCTGACCCAGCCCATTGCCTTTTCAACGCCGTATCCAAACACCAAGCAGCCCGAGCCGCTGATGATCAGAGGTACGATGCAGAGCCACAGTCGGTTCTCTGGTTCGTAAACGCCATTGTTGCGCCTGGTCTTCCAGTCGCAAAACTTGTCAACCGCCCAGCCGCCCAATACGCTGCCGAAGAGGTTGCCAATGAGTCCCGGGATGTTGATCAAACCGTTGACCATGGGCGACCAGTTATACGGCGGTGCCTGAAAAACAAAGGGATTGAGGATGTTCACGGCCACCGTCATCTCCAGCGAAATTGCATATGCAAGAAAGGCAAAAATGACGCAAGGATATAACCACAAGGGGAAGGGTCGGATGAACAACCTCCAGAGGGGTGTGTCACGAGAAACTACAGGCCATAGTCCAATCTCTTCTGCCCAGCACTTCTTTGGAAGATTCACACCTGCGTCGCTCTCATCAGTGTCGCCCAGATGTGAACGAGCTCCCTGAGCATTTCCGAACCCGAACCCCTTTTCCGCATTCGAGCGACTGACTAGCCTTGGAGTCGGTCCTCGACTGGTCCCCGAGTCTGAATCAACTGGCTTTAGGCTGTAGCGAACATAAGTTGTCTCGGGCACCAGGAAAGCAACCGCCAAGAAGTTGGGGACAGCCAGAATGAAGGTCAACCACTTATGCCATCTCCAACTGTACTTCGACACGATGAAGCCACAAATGAGTGGACCGATGGTGTTCCCTCCCGAGAGGAAGGTCATATAGGTACTCATGACGGAACCCCGTTCGTGCAAGAAGTACAGGTCGTTTGCCATGCTCGCTCCGAGGGCTTCGGTCGACGATCCAGCAAACGCTGCAACGATGAGGGACGATAGCAAGGACTCGAACGTTTCAGCCACGGCTCCCCACATGGAGCACGCGCAGAGCAGCCCGCACGCGAAAAACAACACTGGCCGTTTGCCCCAATAGTTGGCAATGGGTACCCAGAAGAAGTTGAAGGCGCCAAGTGTGAGGACGGGCCATAGCAGCAGGGCGCCGGTCTCTGCTTGTGTCTTTCCGAATTCCAGGGAGAGGAGGTAGAAGGCAGGTGTCAAGCCCCCGATGCCGAAGTTGGTCAAGAAAGCGAACGAACATACCGATAGGAAAGCGACCCTCTTTTTGCCCCGGCTCCAAAACAGGGGATCGTTTGGGTCGTTGGATGGCTTCGGGACCAGGACAACTGGAGAGTTCTCGAATCGGTACAGCCGCACTGTCCCTTCGGTGGGATCCAGGTCATGAACACTATGGAGTACCATGATGCCTTGGCGCGCTTTGGGTCCTTGTCTTCTTGTGGTCAGGGCTGTCGAAGTTATTACAACAATCAAAGACTGACGACTGAACGATGAAGAAATGATATTTGGTGCTTCAGGCTTTACAAAATCAAGTCGTCATGATAATGGTACCCAGCGTCCATGAGAGTCGAACGAGCCCTTTTCTCATTTTCAACCCATCTCTTCGACTCTCTTGTCGCGCTCTGAACTGGTCATCCGATTGTGGAATCGTGATTGCCCAACATCGACGCGCCTATACCTTACAGGGGCATATTGACATCGTCTGATTGGTATGCTCAGAAGTATGTGATGTCGCGGTGTGAGCCTCTACAAAGCCCGTTGGCTTCCAGAAACATCAGCACAAAGTCTTCGGCATACATCTGATGACTGAGACGCTGTGCATACTCTCTGACCAAAAATGCATGCAAAAGAACAGACGATTCATGGTCATGGACCTACCACTGCTTACATACATGATGAGGTTCGATCTAGGTATGCAGGGTTAGCCAGCTCTGTAAATGACATCCGCGACAGAGTATCACGATATTTTCAAACTACAACTGCCAATGTTAAGTCATGTTAACTCACAACGCGAAGTCACCACTTAACAACTGACAGAAACAAACCATCCCTGTGAATCAAGGCTCTTCAGCACCACAACCAAAAGGCATCCCGCCCTGATCGCGCACAGCATGCCGTATGATCTCGTCAACCTCAGGTTACAGATGAGGCATAATTGTGCGGATTCTGTGGGGCTGAAGGTCTGCCGGTTGCGTTCGGCTGTATGTACGCGGCTGTAGAGGCAAATGGCCGAGCTATTACCCCCGCTTCTCGACGAAATCATACGGTATCCCCATTGCATCCAGAAGATCACGTAATTGCGTTTGTGCTCATGGGATAATTCTCATGCTCAAAGGTTGTGGGTTCTTTCGGAGACTTTGACAGTCAGCGAAATGGCATCAGCCCAGATCAATGGCCTTTGCGAAATTCAGGGAAGAGGGTTTAGCGGTGGCTCTCACTCACCCGGTAACAGGATTGTTTAACGGATCTGAACCGGTTTAGACGAACTTTGCAATTTCTTGTGTCGTCTAGATTCTTGTTCAGACACAGTTTGAAGTTGCCTCTCTTCCAACGCACTCGCCGTCGACCTGTAAAATCAGGTTTGAGGGCTTCCGTGGCTGGAAGAGCAAGCCATTGGTTAATCTGAACAGTGACGATGGAGCAAGCATCCTCGGCGAGCAACAGCAATACGGAACCAAGTACAGAACGTTCCAAAAACACACACAGGTCTGCCGAGACTGCCAACAACTGCCAATACCTGCCAATGCTTGCCAATGCCTGCCAATACCTGCCAATACCTACCCATTGGATGCGAATTGGATGCCGCCAATCCGCCAAGCGAATATCGAAATCGTCCTTTGGATCTTTCAGAAATTGGATACGGTTTTGACTTACGATTGTCATTTCCTCCCTCGGTCGCTTAACCGGTTGTTTGCGATGTTTGCTCTATAGCTCGTCGTCGATCTCCGACCATCTCCGCTCTTTAGCCGTTACCTAGACTAGTGGTTTGATCTCGCCTGTTGCCGCTGTGGGTAGGACTAAGTCTCAAAAGACCACCAACCCCGAACCCTGCAGTTTTGTGGATGCCCATATCACCGGTCTTACCCACAACGGCCACTGCAATCTTTTCTCGCTCGTTCGCATCATCGGTTTCATAGCCCACAAAGTGAATGGTCTTTTCCTTGTTCCAGCCTTGTCGGGCTACATGTTACAACCACATCCTTCTGCCTACCGCACTCGTTGCCTCCGGGCTGTTTTCCCGGTGCTACGGATCTCGTTCCGGGCAATGCAGACTCGGGCGCCCAAAGGTGCGCCAGGATATGTATGTTATCTCCCTGAAGGTAGAAGCTGGGAAGGACCTGGAGAGGCCCGCTGCGTTCATTCGCTTCTTGTTTCTTGGTGGATATTTGCTCTAGAGTGCCACGCTTTTTTCGATTGTCTCGGACATGACACTCCAGCTAGGCGATCACATTTCGATGCCTGGACAACCCAGAACATCATTTCTTTCATGGCAAGGGGAGGCCGGCGGCCGCCAGAAGGCACTATTTTCTCGTCCCAGCGTTGTGGAGGTTCGTCCGAACGGGTACCTACCTCTAGTACAGATGAGATGCAAGGTACGATGCAACCTCGACATTTCCCAGGGTCGTGCACTTGGTACCAATTTCTACTGGCTCAGCCAAAGCCATGGTGATGATTATGGCAACCAACAAACTGTTTTCATTGGCCCTGCTCATCCAATTTCGAAATGATGATGCAAGTCAAAGGCAATCTACGACAGAGATGGCCCTAGTTTCAGTCCCTAGCGTCCTTCTTTCGCTCACGGAAGGCACCCTTCAAGCGAAAGGCATCCCGCACATCTTACAAGGTGTAATTGTCAGGGGTAGTACGAGATGAGCAAGATGGGGCAGAGCTGAGAATCAGGACCATTACAAAAAGAAGCCTAACGGCCACCTCCACGATTTTTGTTCTTCTTCTTCATTTGTTCGTCGTGCGGCCGCAGTCACTCGTTTGTCATATCCGCAGTGCCGTCACTCCTTGCACTCAGCAATCACGATATATCTTTCTGGTCATTTTGTTTTATATTTTTTTATTATTTTTATCCGGATCTCATTCAAGATGCGTGTGCTTGCTCTCGCTGCCCTCGCGGCGCCGCTTGTCTCGGCCCTGCAGTTCACTGATCCCGTCGCCAATGCCACCCTTCACAAGGGTGAGACCTTTGACCTGAAGTGGTCCACCGTCGATACCGACCCCACCGACTTCAGCGTCTACCTGGTCAACTTTGTCAACTGGCCTCCTTACTATACGCCTTTGGCCTATAACATTGAGCCTTCCTCCGGCGAGCTCAGCGTGACCATTCCCTGCGACATTGATAGCTCCTATGGCTGGCAATTGTATGTTGACCCTTTGCATGTGTTTACCCTCCCTTTGCATGTTCATGTCATGCATGACCTGAGGACCCCACCCCACCCATCCCAAACAAACCCCTGGATCTCCTTCTCCCTTCCTTTCGGGAAGTGGAACCCGTCTCAGGAACCAACACAATGAACAACGTAAAGGCTGACTCGCTGCCCCCTTTCTTCTCCTGGCGCTTCTCGTCCACAGCAATGCTATCAACGGGACCAACGTCTACGTTATCTATGCCCAGACGCCCAAGTTCTACATCAGCGGTGGTCCCTGCTCGGTTGATTCGCCCTTCCCGACCGGGGCGCCCTCGAGCTGCGCGCCGGCGGCCACCGTTACCGTCACGGTGAGCACAACCCTTTCGCAGTCTTCCTTCTCCACTCTTCTCTACGCCAACTCCACCGGAACCGCCAGCCCTACTACTCTCATGAAGCCCGCCACCATTACCAAGTCCCCCATTCCTGGAAAGTGTCCTGACACCATTGGCTGGGGCCCTTCAGGCTACGGTAATCCCGTAAAGCTGGCCGCTGTCCCTACCGGACCCGGTGACGTCCCCGCGCCGGCCACCACCGCTCCGCCCATGATCAACGGTGCTGCCTTCTTTGCCGAGACTGGCAGCACGAGCACCATCTACCACACCGTCTACAAGGATCTCTCTGAGGTCCAGGATTGCATGTGCTGAGCAACATGGCTCGTGCTATCATGCGAGAAACAAAGACGAAGGAAGCTTGATTGATGGAAGGATTTAAGGATGTGATGGAGGATGTCTTGTTTAGGCTAAGTGTTGGTGGTTTGTGGGCTTGGAAACCTAAAGCGAAAGCGAGCGAGACAGGAGTTGTATCATTTTTATTTCCCTTTTTTACTCTAATCTTCAAGAGCACTAGCGTCTGAATTGTAAACCGTGGTTGAAAAATCCATCAACTGAGTTCGAGCTTGGAGTGCGAGTGTGTTTGCCTTTGACTACGGTATGAAGAAGATAATAGAGGGAAGCTCTGCGACGGGAGTATCTGGCATGGCTTGGAGTTTAAAAGACACAAGATCTGGACGAGACGTAGGCCGAGCACATGAAGATGCCGAGGCTGATGGAAGTGGTTCACCGTTTGATTCGGTCGGAAGACAGCTTATCTACGGAGGACCTTGGCCGGACAGCAGATGTCATCGGGTGATGTCTTGCCATTCCGGCTCGTCCAGGGATTGTGGTGAGGATAAACACGGCCCGAATCTGGTCTTGCTGTGAGACCATCCCGGACCCTCTCGGATCCTGCTCTCCGAAAGCCCCACGAAGGGACGGACAATTGTGGGCCCCGGAACCCTATCCAACGAGACCTGCAGGTAGGTCATGACCGGACAGCAATTTCATCCCTACCACGCCTGGATTTAGTGGTATTCACATGCTGAACTTTGCAACATTCAGACTTTAATTCCCAAGGCAATATCTGATGAATGGAGGGGCTGACTAAGTCGCTAAAAGATGAAGCCATGAACTTGCCTACCTCTACCGACCGCCAAATATCACAAATCACCTATAAAAGATTTGAGGCGTCACCAGTCAGTTGTTTTGGAAAGTCGCTGTGAGTGTTCCCACACTCAAACGCCTGTGCAGTCTTGGCGGATGTGTGCGTGTACATACACACACGAACTTTTGGCAAAACGGACCATCGAAACGAAAGATGAAGAAGAAGAAACTCAATTATTCTATAGGAAAGACTATTATCTTAATAGTTTCAAGTACGCTTATTCCGAATTTTGAGTCGGTTTTTCTTTATTTCTTTATTTGGTAGAGATATAAGCAAATGAAATCTCATCGATGGTCCGTTTTGCCAAAAAGTCGTATGTGTGTATACACGCACATATCCGCCAAGACTGTACAGGCGTTTGAGTGTGGGAATAGTAGGGAGGGAATCGGAGATTGAGTCTCGCACCGTAAAGTCCGGTCATATTTTCGTGAACCAATGATATCTGTCGTTGTCTCCGAAAATGGAAAAGCGGGTGGGCCCTGACACGGAGAAAGGGCGTTGTGAAAATCTCCGGTCAAACGCCGATTGACCCGCCAGACCGTCATCAGTTCTTCAATCGACGACTCCCTGTGCGAAAGCCATGTAACGCATTCTCGAGTTTTTTGTTCGTAAATTCACGAAAATGGCGCAAGTTGGGCGAGAAGAAACCCCAACGGCAACGACGCACGGAGTCGGCGGTGGAGGTGGACGGAGTGATTCACTCGCATCGGAGAGCGCGCCGTCCAACACGAATGCGAACTCGCATCCGACAAACGCCAAATGGGGAAATGCCTGTTCCCAGTGTGCGGCGGCAAAGGCAAAGTGTTCGCGACAGTCTGATGCTCCTCGGACCAAGTGTCAAAGGTGTGATCGTCTGGGCAAAGATTGCACAAGCCAGGTGCACCGCCCGAGGAAGAAGAGAGCTGTTCGGCCATCGTTAGTAACCACGTATTCATTGTGTGTAATTCGCAATCCGATCTCACTAACACATGTTTGGCTTATAGAAAGACGGCTCAGCTGGAACAACGGCTCAATGGATTGGTCGATCTCCTCAAGGCAACTGGGGATTTGCGAGGCATCCCCATCGCGGATAGTGTTGCCTCTCACGAGGTGATGTCGACCTATGAAAGTGTTTCATGCATAGCCCGAGATCGTAAGCGATGATTTTGTTATCATCATCAACCTTCAGGGTCTTGCTGACTCAACCCCGTTCATACACTTAGACGACCTTGATATTGCCGTAGGCGCTCCTCAGGCATCCGGCTCTGGAAAGAGGCGAGCAAGTCTCACGCCCTTGGAAGACGACCATCATGGCACCACCGAGGGTGGCTATTCCGACAATGAAAGCCACAGTGGCAGCTTAGAATTGCTGGGCGAAAGACCTATCCATGTGCCCAATCATTACAACTCTTGCGCCCCTTCCGGTTGTATGGGCAGAGCACAGGGCGAGTCTCGTGGTCCGTCAGAGTCAGACGAGACCATCCTCACCATCTACCAAACCCATCTCAGTCCGCTCTTTCCGTTCGTCATTATTCCCGTTGGTACGACAGTCCAAGAACTCGAACAATCCCGTCCGTTTCTCTTCTCGGCCATTCGAATGGTGACGACGCTCACAAGTATGCGGTCGATGCGAGCTCAGATGTATCGGCTGGTCCGACATGTCTCTGAACGCATGCTCTTGCGGTCAGAGAGGTCACTGGATCTGCTACAAGGCATCCTCGTCATGATCGGCTGGTATCAGTACCACTGTCTGATGCATGCCCAGTTGAACAACCTCATACACCTGGCCGCGAGTCTTGTTTCCGACCTGGGACTGAACCGGGATCCAAAGGTGCAGGAGAGGGTAAGCGTCATGGTACTGTACCCCGACGAGCCAAAACCACGGACGAATGAGGAACGGAGGGCGCTTTTGGGCTTATGGTATATCGCTTCAACGTGAGTATTACGTGAAACCGTCACCTTTCGTGTTATACCTATGATCTCTATGCTGACATGTAACACCACCAGTATATCCGTGGCGTTTGGAAAACTCGAGTCCATCAGGTACTCGCCATACATTCAGCAGTGTCTAAATGAGCTACAAGAATCGAAGGAGTATGAAACAGACGGGATACTGGTCCACATGGTTCAGTTACAGCGCCTGATGGAGAAGATCGCCCAAGTGAACTCCAAAACCGAGCTTACGGAATCCATTGGAGGGATTGCTAGGGCTCCAGATGCGGCTTACATGTCGACGTTTCAGAGTGAGCTTGACAAGATATGTGGTTCATTCAACAAGGGCCAAGAGAACAATAGTATGATTGCACTCAACAAACCTTCAAAAGTTGCCAGTCTATGCTAATACACGCTCTAGAATACCTCATGGTGTACGTACACTCGGCCAAGATGCGTCTTTGCGAACCTCCAATTATCGATGCATCATTGCTGGCCAAGTTCTACAAAGACCTTACTGCGCTTGACGACAACACCCCGTCGGCTCTTGATGTCTTTTACCGGGTAAGCAGTGGAGTGCGAGAGTGGTTCGATCATTGGTTTACCGTACCCGTATCGGCATACTTTTACCTGCCGGTGTCCATCATCTGTCAGATCGTTTACGCCGTAACGATGCTTGCTCGATGGTCCAAAATCGTCTCCCCCATCAAACCCTTAGCATCATCACAACCCAGGCACACCATCTCGACGCCAGCCCATCCTCAGCAACCCACTACCACAACATCATATACTTCAACATATATCTCAACACCTGCCTCCGTACTTACGCCCTCTCCACACTACAGTCGACCATACGGCTACGGCGCCGGCCCACCACCGGACTTCTCACAACGACCACCCGCCACATCCTCAACCATCAGCACCCCCGCGCCCGCCACTCCCGGTCCCGGCCTCGGAACCCCATCCCCCTCCATCATCTCCCGGGACATCTCCGGCTTTGTCGGCTCCCGCGCCACCTCGACGGAGCCCACGACGACCACCACTCCTAATAATACTACCACCGCCGCTGCCGAGCACCCAACCGCCCCCAGCCCTGATAACAACAATAACAACCAAACCAACAATCTGAACAACCCCCTCTCCTCCTCCATCCGCTGGCGCGAAACCACCGACCCCCACCTTCCCCACATCGTCGCTATGCTCCAAGAACAGCTCAACTCCCAGCCCGGCCTGCGCGTCGACATCACCGAAATCATGACCCAGCTCGGCGCCCGCTTCCAGCAGGCCAGCGACGACATGAAGGAGGCGAGCGGCGGCGAGCCGGATAACAACATGTGGGAGGTCAGTGCTAAGGGGTTGGCTATGACTAAGGCCAGGTTGGAGCGGTTTGCCGAGTTTGTGGCTCAGGGGGGCAAGCTTGATGATCATCATGATCAGGGGAAGGGCGAAGGGGATGACGCGGCTTGTTTGAGACCGGGATGTGGTGGAGATGGGGGGAGGGGGAGGAGGGTATCGAGCACTTTTCCTAATCAGGAAGAAAAAGGAGGAGAAGGAGGAGGAGGAGGAGCGGGAGGTGGAGGTGGAGGTGGTGGAGGGGTTGAAGCTATGCCTAGGCGTAGTACCTCGGCATCTGGCTCTGGTTCTGGAACCGGAGGAGAGAGACATTCCCAGGCCACCACTTCGGCACGAGTCAGGGAAGCAGCAAGAGAAGAAGGAGGAGGAGGAGGAAGAGGGGGGGCCGTAGTAGTAAGCGGCAATGTCACTGCTACCTCTACACGGCAGTCACAGTCACAATGGCTGACCGGTCAAAGCCAAAACCTGCAAGGACAAAGCATGGGGAAACCACATCATGCGCCAATACCGCAGCAGCAATACCAACATCAACAACATCCACCTCCTCCTCCTCTTCATGGGTCCTATTCGAATACAACAGCCATGAGTGGTGTGAATACTCACCACAGCCTAGCAGGCGCCGGGGCCCATGGCGGGGATACCGGGTTCTCCTCCGCCGCCGCCGTGACGGGGACGACAGGAGGGGGGGCAGCAGGAGGGGTAGGAGGAGGAGGAGGGCAATGCAACAATCTACTTGCCACAGAATTCATGGATCAACTGGCCCCTTGGCTTTGGTACTATGGCGTTGAAGACTGGCCTGGAACTTAGTCGTAATTGGGCGGGGTATAACCCGTTGGAGGTGTATGGGTACCGACCTCTATGGGTGTGGATATGGGTACGAATACGGGCATACTGCGTAGATATCGGTTGGTATGGCTTAAGGGCACACACACTACATATCTACCTACCTACCTACCGAGGTATCTACAGATGTGTAGGAGAAGGATCAACATAGTGGCATACCTACATGGCAGTTTCTACTCTGCTTTTTTTTCTTTCAGTTGCCAGACGTTGTAACAAAGGCAGCCTCACCTTTCTAGAAGGACTTGCAAGGGTCGCGCACACATACTGTACACATCCATAGAGTACATACAGCCCAGTGTTTTTTGTACCATTCGGGGGTATCATTGAGAATGATGGTACGGGCGTGGCGTGATCTAACCTGTTTTCATTTGTTGATCGCGGGAAGAACAAAAGAGGGACGTGGAGTTTCCGTTTTTTTTTCCTTGTGCCGACTACGACTTTGGCATACGACCCTGGCACGGAAAGCGACCCGGATAGGTACACTACGAGGATACAAGGGAGTGGAAGTAACATAGAGGTAACATAAAGTCAAGTTTCAGCGAACGGCAAAATTCTAACATACTTAGGTAGGTATGGATACTACATAGAACGGTGGAGGTAGGTATAACGCTAGAAAATCTCGACTGCAACGCGTGCGGGACACACACCACCATCTGTCAGTCATTTGGCAAAGCTGCAACCGGCCGGCAGAAATACACCAGTGCCCCCCTCCTTCCACCCCTCTCGAAGAAAAAGAAAAAGAAAAATCACAATAAAGGAGTATTGTAGAGACATGCAAGTCCGGAGTTAACATGACTCTTACGCCGAGGTCTGGACGGTGGAGGTGGTGGCTCGGGTTAGTTAGTAAACTCCGAAGAGGCCGTGTGCGATTCATGATTTCTTGAAACCGGTCAATGTTAGTAGCCCGAAGCCCGACGATGACAGAATAACCCCGGACGACGACGGCATGTCATATCCCGTTACCTACCTACTGTTGTCTAGGTAGGTGTAGAGTCATACCTACCCTTTGTACATACACGGGCAAGAAAGAGATCTCTCTCTCTCGCAATGCGAATGCGACCGGCCAAGCCAATCACAAGAGTAAAATTCTCCGAAGCGAGAGAGATGATTACATGTGATGCTCCTGCATCCACCCATCATCATCAGCAGCAGCAGCAGCAGCAGCAGCCACACGGTACCTACATACCGTAGCTAGGTCCTCTAGCGAAGATGTAGTGTAACGGAGTCTCCAGTAAAGGGGCAACGCGCAGGAACAACTCACAGATATTCTCCTTAATCGTTTAAGGTACTATCCAATCGACACCCCATATTTTGTTTTCTTGGTAAAGAGTTGCTAGAAGAAGTATTGGGCCTTGGGGTTCTTGTCTGGACGTGGAAAAGGTACCTACCTATGTCTCTTTTTATATCCCGGACGGCACATTGTACGCATATGTACAAACCGCAAAAAGAGCCAAAACTCAACTCTATCACTCCTTAGTTTTTCAACTTAAATACCTTTCAAAACCAGATGCACTCAAGAGAGTATGAGATAAGTAGCTCTAGTTGTCTATTTCGAGGTTTGCAACAAATTTCTCCTTTTAGTAGCTGGTTGATTTTAGTCCAATATAGAGCGTAAAAAAGGGATTTAGTTATAGTGGACTTATAGTGCATCACAGTGGGTGCAAATTGAGATGCTTCTCCCAAAGTGACTTTGGTACGTGAGATCTCGCGCTCCTCTTTAATAGTATATTCTCAACAACTTGCACGTTCATCTCCTATTAAAGGTAGTGTCACTTGAATTTTAGAGTAATATTTGCAATTGGGCTTTACGAGCAACTAAGAGTTGAAGAAGTTGAGTTTAGGCCTTTTTTGCGGGTAAAAAAATCGTGGGGCGTTTTTTTTTGGTTGCCCACTGTACATGTATCGGACCGTAACGGGCTGAAGCCAGACTGCAGTGGTTGCATCGGCAAAACGCATTGGCGACCTGCCATCAATGCCACGAAATACGGAGGCTACCAAACAGGTAACTGCAATGGTCAATGGGAAGCGCTTGCATCTCCACATCGAGATTTCTTATGTAGGTAGGTAGTGTACATACGGAAATCGCCAAGATAAGCTGGCCGAATAGCCGGTCGTGCCGGTGTATGTAGTAGTAGTAGGATGACTACCACCTACTTAGAGAGGAGGTAGTTCACACTCAGAAATGCGAACTACCTAGTTATCAAGGTAGGCAAGTAATCCATTGAAAAGCCAGACCAGCGTGGTACACAGTCTCGAGACAGTTTAACAGTCAAAGAAAACGACGTCCCCCTTGAAACTTCGAAGCATAACCCTACCTCTACTATCAGAAGACCGTGGAAAGAAACCCACTATTTGCCTCTTTCAAGTAGCTCTCCCGCATCTTTACTCCTATTACTCCACCTAGGGAACGTCTCCCATGATCTTCTCCTATAACGAGACGAACATATTACGCTAGAAACACTCCATGTGGACGAAGATCAGATGTAAGCGCACACGGGGTGATGCACGGCATTCTACCGGCTGGTTCACCAGGATAGACCAGAAAGAGGAAATAAAATCGCCGATACGACTGTTGATGGTGGTATATAGTATCATCAGGAAATATGGAAGCTTGTGATGAATAAGTACCATGGGCGACTGTGTGGGCTGGGATATGAGTGGTGGATCAGACAGCAGTGGTGGATAACGAACTTGAGAATGGTTACAAAAATGGGTATCAATTGGAGGGCTGTTAGATGGAGATAGAGCGGCTTACTTACCACATGGAGAGTTATTTCGTGTTGTGTGACTGATGAGGGCGAGCACTGCTACATGAAGTATCAATTGTGAGAAAAAGATGGGGATGAATACGACAGACTGTCGGATTGGAGGCAAAGTTCCGTTGGACAAGGTAGGGGACGCAGGAGTCGTTGCGTATAAAGTGAAAGAGGTTGGCTCACCATCTTCGAGCGTCCTGGTCGATGTCAGTCATCTAAGTGCCGGCTTTTAAGTGTTGAGTGAAGACTCAACAGGAAAAAAGTTGCACGCTACTTTCCCCTTGGTCCTTTGAGGTCAAAAAGGGCTCCGGACTCTTTGTTCAATCTTTGAATCAAGCACTAGGGCAACAAGACACCATGCCCGTCATAGACAAGCTCGCCGGTGTCACCGGGTTGTCAGGACTACACCTGCTTCTCGGTGCCGTTGGAGTCACTGTAAGAAATTTATCTTCTCATCTCATCAGTTAGCCCCAGTCCAACATATACCGCCTCCTCATCTTCCAATGTTCCATATCGATGAAGGAGAACCTCCACTAAGCGTTTAACTTTCAACCCAGATCCTGCTATACATCATCGGCTCCGCCATCTACAACATCTTCTTCCACCCTCTAGCCTCGTACCCAGGTCCGCTCCTGCAGCGCGCCTCCCCCATCCCCTTCTGTATCCGCCATGCCCTCGGCGTACAAGCCTTCCACACGCAAACTCTCCACGACAAGTACGGTCCCGTTGTGCGAATCGCACCCAATCACCTCTCCTTCACCGATGTGCGCGCCTGGCGCGACATCTTCGGCCACATCGCCGGCAGCCGTCACGGCCAGGAGGAGATGGCCAAGTTCAAGTCCTTCGTCCGCCCCATCGACGCCCAACCCGTACACATCATCAGCGCCGGGCGCGAAAAACACGGGCAGCTGCGTCGGGCTTTGGCCAACAGCTTTTCGGACGCGTCGATGCGCGGACAAGGGCCGCTGATTGGAAAGTATATCGACTTGCTGGTTCACAAGCTTCATGAGCAAGGACAGGAGGGGAAGGTACCCCTGAATGCAACGTCGTGGTATAATAGCGTGACGTTTGATGTCGCCGGTGACCTAATTTTTGGTATGTCGTTCGGAGCGTTGGATCAGAATGGTAACCATTCGTGGTTGCAGTACATTCTGGGCAGCCTGAGCAGCTTAGCGCCGATGGCGGCGTTAAGTTACGCGGGACTGCACTGGGTCGTTCAGCTCCTCTGGAGGGCGAAGGGCGCGGAAGTGTTTAGGAAGAGTATGGAGAGCGTTGATCTGATGTTGAAAGAGAGGTTGAAGATGCCGGTGGATAGGAATGACCTCTTCGAGGGTTTGGTTCAACGCCAGGAGAAGCTGGTAGGTGCTCTTGTTTCCCGCTCCTCCCCCCACTTTCTTTTTTTTTCCTTTCTTCTTTCTGTTGTATCGGATTCCAACCACACGGAATTCCGCAAAATCTTCAGCCCTACCCGTCGGGAGATTTTCATTTTCGCGTGAATGACGTGCATCGTTTGGATGCCAAGGTGGCACAACCGACAGCTACCCGTCAGCATAACGTTCATCCCCCCCACCCCTCTCTCTCTTTGCGAAACAACAGCAGATAGCTAATGATGAGTTGTCAATCAGGGTCTCAGTTTCGAGGATCTTTCTTCAAATGCCTGGCTTCTTGTGCTGTGGGTCTTCCCGAACTGTGGCATCGTCTGACACAATCCACCTAATTCTAACATACGTCAACAGTGCCGGTGCTGACACAACAGCAACTACTCTCACGGGCACAACCTACCTCCTAACGCAGCACCCCGAAGTCCTCAAGAGAGTGACCCAGGAAGTCCGCTCTTCATTCAAATCCGTTGAAGAGATTGATATCAGCTCCGTCAACAAACTCACATACATGCTTGCCGTGCTGAACGAGGCTATGCGTTTGTACCCCCCCGTCACATCGTTGACAGCTAGGATTGTGCCCCGGGGAGGGGCCCATGTTTTGGGAGAGTATTTACCTGAAGGAGTGAGTAACGACTGATCAACCCAACCACTTGCCGCTGAGAAGAGGAATACCGACTGATCTTTTAATACGCAGACAATCGTCGATATCCAACAATGGTCCATGAACCACAGTAAGGAGAACTGGGTTGACCCCTGGGCTTTTAATCCCGCTCGTTTCCTCGACGATAAGGAGACAGCCAGGGAGAAGGGCAATCTGCTCGACGCTTTGCAAACATTCAGTGTCGGTCCTAGGAACTGTATCGGCAGAAAGTAAGTACATCTTGTCTGGCCTGTCCTGTCAAATGTCGATGGTCCCTGTACTAACCACAGCTCTCACCTGGATAGTCTCGCCTATGCTGAAATGAGATGGATTCTTGCCCGTATACTTTTCGATTTCGATCTGCGTGGGGCACCGACCAACGAAAACTGGATCGAACGGCAAAAGGCGTACGGTCTCTGGGACAGAATACCCCTTGATGTGTACTTTGAGCCTGCGAGAGAGAGGAAGTGAGGGAGATACATGGATACAGCAGGGTTGGCAAAGTTCGATCCATGGGGGTTGGTAGAGGTTTCACTTTCCAGCCACTTGGTGGAATGTAAGAGGTAGCGAATGAGTCCAATGAGATTAGTTAAGACTGACTGAATTCTTTGAGCCGTTGCCACCACCTCATGAAGAACATCGTAACTTCTTTGGCTCCCATGATTTCCTTGCACTGCTACCCTACTCCCCACCCTTTTTTCACGAATCCTATAGATCCGTTCACCCTTCTACTACCCGCTACTACCCGCTGCCATGTGAGCTTTTTCGCGAAAACATCCGGATTACCCGCACGGGATACCGACCTAAGCTTTCACAGAACGGCGAGATGGCTGAGCAGAGATGATTGGTTGGCCTTAGGCGGGAACGAAATGTCCCCAGAGTGACCAGACGAGGTCGTAATGGTACTTTGGGTTCCAATTTTCCGAGTCCCAGCCGTGCCTTAGAAGTCTCTCGCGGATATGGGGTTGCTCGAGAGTCAAGCAAAGAGCGTACTTGGCCACAGACCGGCCGAGGTCCCAGGTCTGCCAAAGTCGCCGGTTGTTCCTGTCAGGCTCCGGGATGTCGGTATCGAGGAACACATCAAGACCTTCCATCCCTAGAAAATGTCGGATCGTGGTGTCCCAATTCTCAAAGTTGTGGTGCCTGTCTCTATCCAGTGACACCAGCGTTTGCGGCACCCTTGCCAGCATTGCCAACCGGTGCAACGATTCCCGAGGGCGCATGCCACAGTACCTGTGCATTGCTGGAAGGCTATTTGCCACTTGGCAAGTGGTTGTGTTTGGGGCTTCTAGTTCAACGAAAAGAAGAGAGAGACGCTGGACGAAGAGGAAAGATCCCAAAACGCTTGTTTCTGGGTACGAGATGCTGCTTAAGAAAGGTTGCTGAGATTTACACCAGTCAGCTGTCGCGTCTGCGAAAGTGTGCGATGAGGAAGACGCCGGTTCTCGCTTGACTAGATGTTTTGGAGAGAGAAGTAACGAAAGGGTAGGCAGTGATTGGCAGGGTTCTCGAGGAACGGTAGGGTGACGCTGTCATTTCACTTGATATCGGACTTACCAGCGCGATGGAAGGTTACAGATCGATCAGAAGTCGAAATCGACGGCTAAGGGCGGATACTTCAAGCGGCAATGCTCGTGGTGAGAGTGACTGTGTACGGTAGTATTGTCTCGATTTTCCCCAAGGGGACTGAAATCGCGGATGCGGCGAGGGCGAGTGTAATGCTGTTTTGTTTGTGTGGATGGGGAAGAGTGCGAAAGGTGGGGTGGTGAGTTGACAATCGAGAAGGACGAGAGGGGAAAGTGCAGCTCGAGGCCGCTCACGCAGCTCCTTCGCAACTTCAAGTTCTTAAACGCTTTGACCGCCTGGGACAATTGCAAGTACGGGCGACAACTCAACGTAGCCGTTGGGGAAGGGGTCAGTAGGTACCTTCGACATCTATTTAAATAAGGACAGTTGCAATTGTCATTCCACAGGGCACTTGCAGCTTCGTCCTCCTACGCGCCGGACATAATTTGGCAGCAAAGTTGCTTTGGAACAAGCCAGTTTTGAATACAAACTGTTTTCCTGAATCTTGAGGGTACGCAGTTTCTTGAATTATGTAATTAGGCATGATGATGGCCATCAGCTAATTACTATCTGTACTTACGCTACCTCATCTAGAATAAATCGATAATGACTGCAGCTGAGCAAGAACACGGAGACTATGAGTTTGCTGCAAATACCGATATAGGTTTCATCCTCTCAACACTTTCATCCCTTTCATTTGTCCTTATAGTCATTAGTAGTGTCCAGTAGCTTTTTACAACCTTACAAAGTCGTTAGTGTCTTGTCCATCCGCCGTCGATAATGTGCTCTGGAGTCCAGGTTTGTTTGTCCTGGACGAGGGTAAAAGCCGCAGAGGCTGGCTACATTGGCGGGTATCTAGATATATCGCACTATATATCATTAATTCGTAAACCAGTATTACAATTGGGGAACCGGTGGCATTGCAGCATCCAACCTTTAATTCTGTGCTTTGTACATGTCAGCTTCTACATTTTTTTTTTTCCGAGAATCGCTGACAATTACTTTTTCACTTTGGTCTGCGTTCTAGGCGCTCAACAATCCGACCCACGCGTTTCGTTTTGCAGCAGAAGTCATCAACCCTGTCAGACTGCGTGTCCTGGAGACACTCCGCGCATGCCGCACCGGCTACGAAGGGTTTTAGAGTCAAATTAGTTATAGCTCCGTAGAAGGAGACTTTGTATATTAGCCGAGCGCAACGGTTTTTTTGAAGGGTTGCAGGAAAAATAAAGCGAAGCCGAGAGAAGGAAGGCTGAAAAGGAGAAGGGATTTGCCCTTGCACTGTAGCTCATTTCGTAACGACGGGTTACTCCAGGTAGCTGTATTTGAGAAAGGGAGAGTGGAAAGCGTGAACTGATCTTTCAAAGTTTCCTTGCCACCTTCAAGGTCGGCCGCGCGGGTACCCTTCAGACGCTCGGCGTCGCTTTCCTCCGGGAAGACAAGGTCCTCTTCCAAAGCCTGAGAAGGTTCTTGGTAAAGGAGACTATAGTCGAAGCCTTGCTTGGCCTTGGATTGAATGAGGCTTGGGTCGCCGCCCAGTCATTGTCAATAAACTCTGCGCGGGTGCCGTCTAGACGGATCAAAGCCCCAAAGGGGGGCACAAGTGGTGACCGCATGACGAAATCGGTTCCATCTGCGGTGGCGGCCACGGTCTCTAGAGCCTTGATCAAATGGTCTAGCGGGTGGAACTTGTCTATGGTTTCCTTCACTCGTCCGGACGGCGTGGTCTCCTGACGTCGATACGCGACATCGATGTACCCTTTCGGTCGCGATGATTGCGGACCGCGATGGCGGCCGAGTGGGTGAAGTCGTGAATTATTCCGCAAAGTCACAGCCTGAGTTCTCCATCTGCGCGGTTTACCGAGATGAAAGGCACAAAATTTCCGTGGCCAGCGATCGAATTTGGATGAGTGTGAGTCAGTGTCTCCTTCCTGTTTTGAAGACAAAACGACGTTGGAACCTGGACAGTAAAACTATGAAACTCGCCTGTGTACCTCCTTCCATGTTTCGTCTTGTTCCTGCCTCTTACACGTGAAGACACGATTTGCCATGACGTTGATAAAATCGTGGATAGAAGTGATTTCACGGCAAATCATTGTTGTTTTCGTGCTTTCCTCACCTAGGTCTTTACAAATGGAACAAGCAAGTGACTTTATACGCTCATGAACATCAACGTACCTCTAGTACCTTAAAATTACACAACCATAACCGATTTCCTCACACGGAAAAAAAAAGGCGATATTTCCAGACTGAGACGAGAAATGCCGTGGCCCCCAGAACTCCTTGTCTTCTTGTAGATTCCTATCCATGCAATTCCCATCAACCCATCCTTGCAGCAACCGAACAAATGCTAGAAAGAACCGCCGCACAAGAACATAGGCAGAGACCGAAACAAGAGATCCTAATCCTCCATTTCCCTATTGTCATTGTCCCTGTTGTTTTCCTCTGCGCACTCCTCGTCACCGTCTCCTTTGCCGTTGCCACTGACCAGGTGGTCATCGTTGCGCTTGCTCTCACGAAGCCTGTTCTTCATGCGAACAATCATATTCGAAGCTGAAAGTGCCTGATACTGAAGCATCAGAACGGTGAAGGGGGGTAGGGCTTTGTTCGCCTTGATGCACTCGCGCTGAATGTCGCCAGTGCCGGTAGTAGATAACAGCTGTGTGAGTTAGTGTTTGTTGAGCGTGGAGGAAGATGTGATAGCACTGATGGAATAGACAGGTTCGATAGCGGGCATGGATGAGAGGAATAAGAAGGATGGGTGGAGGCGGGTGGTTGATAGTGATGAGGCATCGAGATGGGGAAGACGCGGAAGAAGGCCGTTTTGCGGGTGGAGAAGGCGGTCCCTTCTGGTCTTGGTATCAGGAATGATGTTGAATCGGTTTCTGTTCAGAGTCGTGGTGTTTTGGGCCGGGATCTTGGGTCTAATGTTTGGGGGTGCGGCCTTCATTCTCGCGGCCGTCGTAGCCCAATGAATGGGAAAAGAAGACATCGCGTGGAAGCTAATATAGGCCTGGGTTTTTCCGAATCTTGGGCGGTTTAGCATGAAGCTTTGGCCGGTTGTCGTCTAGTGATGTGCTTTGGCTGATCTTTGGCGATGATTGTTGGTGGTGGTTGGAAGGTCCGGGAAGTAAGAAAAAGGGAACCAATTTCCTATGAGCCATCATTTATGGAGTGATGGAAGATGCGAAATAATGAACGAGGATTTAAGGCCGGAGAAGCATTCCTAATGTGCACCTTGCGGTTCACCGGGCTTCCAGCGCCGCATATATGCAATGCTTCCATTTATTCGATGTCCGTCGTTAACAAACTCGGCCTGGTCACTTGACAGACGAATACTGTAACATCTTTGAACCTTGTGAACCAACATGCACCATACCACACCTTGGGTCCCAACTCCTTACTCGAACGCCACGGCGCCTCGATGTTCATGACCGGTGCAAATTGTCATGGTGATACCTCCAAAAGTTGACCGGCAAAGACGCCGCTCGCCTTCGGACAAAGAATAGCCGCGGTGTAAGGTACCCGAAGCGCGTCTCAAGGGCGTAAACGCTCCTGTCCGCACATCGACGTCGATATGCCCCATGATGACTTCCGTCCAGCAGCCCTATAGGTATTCATCTCAAGCCTCAAATGAACTGGCCAGGCGTACATATCGGTTCAAGCCACATTCAAAGCTTCACCGGCCACACCAACCACTTCGGTGACGTCCCCATGCCAGGTCGACGGATTTCAATGGCGCTTGCCATGCCAGGATAATTCCTATCGGAAGAAACGCAGAAGGTGATGCCCGGTGATACGCGGTGGTTTCCCCTAACGCTGAAATGACGATAGTTGAAGATGTTGGTGAGCCGGAAAGTCGACAGTCGTGAATGGGCGGCAATATCAAGGCTCGCTCGGACACGGGAACTCCAAATGACTCGTTCGTCCCAAATGGGTCATAAGGCTGAGATGAGCCTCAACGTAGACGCAAGCAATGGTGGCAGTGCTGATCTAGATAGTGGGTTTTCGTCGTCATCCTCAAGGGATGGAAGCCAAGATCCTCGGCCCTCGGAAACCGGGAGTTGGTATAGCACCCCCGTTGTAACATTAAATGATTCTTGGAGTGGAAGGAAACAAAACGACATTGTAGTAGGTGGTCCGTTTTCTGGGCCATACCATAATCCCTCGAGTCTCAACGTGGCCCACTGTGATTCTGAGGGCGGCAAAGGGAACATCGGCTGAAAAAGCGATAAGATGCACGATAAGGCGGTCTCTACCGAAGGGAACAGGCCTGGCGGCGATCTGCACCTGCAGATTTAGTGTACGGCACTTTCGCCCAATGACGTCTTTAGCTCAGCCATTGCGATGTTGCCTTCAACACGTCTGGCTGCTTTTTGCCAACGCAGTCTCGCAGATGGTTAGCGTCCCGGCCCCAATGTCCGTGGTCGATTTGAGTCCCCGTTCGTTTCGTTCGTCGAAGCTGTTGCTCCAACTCCATCATGAGCCCATTTTTGGGGAGTCAAAAGACGGGAACTACCAACAAGCACTGCTCGGAGACCGATGTGACAAGTTGAAAGTCTAGAACGAAATGGCCCACCCATGATGATTGTCTGATGTCCATTGTCCACATTGTTTTCTTGGGACTCTGTGCCTTTCCACGGCTCACGGGTAGACGTCAGTCGGCTCCCGTGATGTCGGCCTTAGGCGGGCGCTATTGACTGCACAGACGACAGGTCGGGTGGGCCTTGTTGGACAAACCGGACCAGCAAGAGGAGCGGGAGTGTTAGCGCATACAAACAAAATAGCAGTGACTCTTAACAGATGCCATCAGCGGCTTACAAGCGCTTTGCCTGCAGCGCGGGGCGCGGGCAGGCACCTCCAGGTCTCACATCCACCCACCAGTCCACCAACTGCATCGGTCGTTCCCGCTAGCCTTTTCTTCACAAAGTCCCCGGTCTAAAGTGGTGCCCTCCATTCTTTCAATCCGACTAAGTTCTTGCCCGCGCGTTTCGAGCCAGTGTCTCTGTGACAACATTCAAAGACAACAATCCGGTGATTCTCTGACTTGGTCATCATCTTGCATTCCGTACGACCCCCGCTCGAGATTTTACACATTCGAAGCCCCAGAGAGCGAACAGAAACCGATACGAACAACAACGGCTAATTCAATCGACCCCTCCAAAAGAAGGCCTTCCAAAAACTATAACCACCCTCTAGACTAGTCTCTACTGTACATCCGAGACTTCAACGACACCGATACCGTTTTGCGCGATACCAACGATCTAGGCTTCGATACCCGTTCACAGTTTTGCGGTCTTCCGAAAACCGACAACCACCATGCCAAGCTTCCGGCGGAAAATCACCAAACATTTTGGAGATTCAGTGAGCCACCCGCGTTCCGTTCCTTTTACAAGTTCCAGAGGTTCATGATTGTCAAGGCGATGGGGAGCAAGCTGGGTTTGGCGCCGGGGAGGTTGCTTGGTGCTACCTCGATCTGGAGTGACCGAGTAGCCGCCTTCGCCAGAGCGCCACGGAGACGACAGCTTCCAGTCGTAATTTGCGGCCAGTTGCCGGCTGATACAATGAAGAGACTGTTGAGCTATTCGAATTGGCCGCCCTTGCCTGTAGGAAGCCGAATTGACGTCGCAGGATGACGAGGTCGCGGGACTAGGCACATCGCATCGCTATTTGTCGAAGAACACTTCTGCTAACACAGACAATCCGTTTAGCTCACACCTTCAAAACCGTACCTTTCCTACCATGACATTCTCCGTATGTGGATCGGTCTGGCATATGTCTGTTGACCTCGATCTGACTTGGGGGTGATTAGTGACGAGTGACGATATCGTCTCGCTCAAATATGACTGGCTTACTGATAACGTATGTTACAATTCACTGTTGTTGTCGTTTTGGTTGCTAACCTGGTTTAGAACATTGCCTTTTGGGAAGAGTATGTACACATTGCCAATAACTCACTCCCCTTCTTTCCTATACTGGGTCTCCCAATCTGACATGCGTACTCTAGATGGCTCGAGAGAGAGGTCCTTCCCAAGTACCCGCGCGCCCACATCGTTCTCCTACGACCTAGCATAACGTTTCTCCTGATGCAAGCTATCGATCTGAAAAGCATCGGCAGCGCGCTCCCCGACTTCAAGAAAACGACGCACATTTTCCTGCCGGTCAACGACAGCCGGGACCGCGAGCGCGCCGACGGTGGTTCCCATTGGTCACTGCTCGTCGTGTCCGTCATCGACCGTGTTGCGTTCCACTACGACTCGCTCGGTGGTGCAAACTTTTACGAAGCCCAAAAGTGTACGGACCGTCTCGGCCGGGTGCTCGGCATGCCCCTGCGGTTCCACCAGATGGAGGACTCCCCACAGCAGGGCAACAACAGCGACTGCGGCGTCTACGTCTGCATCGTGATGCGCCATCTTCTCATCAAGCGGTTGCTGAACGCCAACTCCAACGAAAAGGTGTCCATGTCCATGGCCAACAAGGTCATCGACAGCGCGGGCGGCCGCAAGGAGATGATGCAAATCATCGAGTCGTTACGGAAGGAGGGCGAGAGGCGACGGAGCTTGAGCCCCATGTCGACGTCGTCGAAATCCGGATCGTCAAAGACACCGCCCCGTATTGAGTAGTAGTGCGAGTCAGCGAGTGTGCGATGCGAGTAAGCTAGCTGGCTGTTTGTTGTTGATTGTGTGCGTTGGACAGGTGATATCCCGCCTGTCTCAGAAGCAGGTTTCCATTCACACTGGCACAGAGAAACAAAAAATTTTAGGATACCTTTTAACGAGAGAGCGCAACCCCATTGGAAGAAGGCTGGAGCAAAGAACGAATGGACCGTCAACGGGCCTCTTCTACTAGCAATATTCTTGCATCACTGCGTGCAACGGGAGAAGTTTTCTTTTTTTGGTCACAGCGTCGAGATGGACGACCACCCGCGCTGTAGGGGTCATCAGCACAAAGCGCGGCGTCAGACTGACGGAGAGGCGTTATTAGGCGTTAGGGTTCAAGCTACGAGCCGTGAAGCACTCAACACCACACATAATCATTCCCAGTGGGGAGAGGCATGATTGAAAAGAAAAAGAAACCAAGTAAATCATGATTCGAAAGGATGAGCTCTCCCGTGGCTTGGTTGAGAGCCCGGGGTACTATGACGCCCGAACTTTATACGGAATATCTAGCATAAGATGGGGAATATTTGCATTATGGCATTGTAGCCTATTTTCAGGCGTATGTATATGGTCAAGAAACGTGGTCCTTCCTTTTTTTCTCTCTCTTTTTCTTCTACTCAAGGATCGTTGTACTTGAGGTACTCGTAATCATGACTCTTTATGTCTCACATTCTTCCTTAGGTCGCAATGTCGTCTCACTCAAAGTGCATGGAACGAACTGGAGCAGGTGAATATGTACTGTTTAGTTTACGTAGAAGATTGAAGCGAAAAAATGATATAGAATTGGTACATGTATGCCTCTCCAACGCCGCCAAATTCCCAACAACAACAACAAAGTGACCTCAAAATGATAAAGGGGCATTGACCGACACGATCATGCCGTCTTCAAGAAAGCAGGGTTCTGCTCCATAGTAGCAGAGATAAACCCCCTCAGCGCCGCCCACCTATTCGTCGTCGCCGGTTGTTGTGTCGTCGCCTGTGCCCCCTGTGTCTGTGTCGGCTGCTGCTGCTGCTGCTCAACCTCCATCGCAGGCGCCGCCGCCGCCGCCGCCGCCGCCGCCGGTTCCTTAACCGTCGCCAACTGCGCCAAACTCCTCCCAAACCGATCCATCTCCGTCTTAACCACCTTTTCCTTCCTCTTCAACGCCCCCGGCCGTGTCTTCAAGCTCTTATGCCTCACCCTTCCCATCGCTTCCTGCTGCGCATCCATCGTCTTGCCGCTCTCTTGGTCCTCCCTGATCTCGTTGCTGATTTCACCCAACACATCGCCCAAGCTCTCCAGCGTCGTCACCAGCTTTTTCGAGGGACGCCTCCGCTTGAGTTTGCGAGAAGAGCCAGAGCCAGATGAACCGGGAACGGTCTTGGCGATCCGCGACACAAAGGCGTTGTGCTTGATGGTGCGCTTGTCCTTTTTCGAGTCGATGAAGGAGTCCGACACCACGTTGTTCTCGCGGTGGAGCTTGCGCGGGAGGAGGGGGTCGGCGAGGCGCTTCAGCGCTTTTTCGCGGGCCGAGAGGCGTTTGCCTGGGGTCGGGGCTGTTGGGGCCTGTGGTGGCGTGGGTTAGTTTACACTACCTACAGTTGTTGGTGTCGCCAGATGAGGAGGAGGGGGAGGAAAAGAAGGTTAGGAGGTTGTCTTTCGTTGCGCAAGGGGGGAGGGGACCCTGGGAAGAATGAATGAACGAATGGAAGGTGGGATGGGTTGGGGACTTGGTTGCTTTGGTCGGTTGATTGTTGAGGAGAGTGGACGAACCATGGCTGTTTATGTTTATTCGAGCTATCTGTCAGGTCTCGATGTACAGATATGATGTGAGGAGGGCGAGTGCAAGTTAATTTTAAGAGACGATGATGCAGATGTTGGCAGGGTTCAAGATGTGGACTGAATGGAGTTGAACAACGTGCGTACCTCGACTGACCACAATTGCTCCCCCAGGATTGAGTGATGGGCAGAATTGACTTTTGAGTGGAGCCGGAAATCGATAACGGAGGGACGTGAACGTGCCAATTCCTCACCGCCTACGCCTCCGCTACAGGGGGCCGAGCCGTGTGCCAAGAACTGGAGGGCTGCAGCAGTGGTCAGTGGGGTTGATTCAGCCCTACGATTTTACCTTTTCCCTTTTCCTCATTCAGTTTCACATGATTGCATCTGGAAGAGATACACGCGGAAATCAAGCCATATATCAAAGAGGCAGAAGCTCAATGCTAGGTTCATAGGTGCCGAAAAGGTTGAGATATTGGTAATCAGGAAGTAATCAACCATAATCAATCAAGCTCTTTGATCTCGCGATAGCTGCCCCGCACTCGCTACCTATCTATCACTGACGGTAACTGGGGATTTTTATGTATCGCACTCCAACGTTTCAAATCATCTTACCCCAAAACACAACAAGATGCAGAACGGCGGTGCCAGCTCAGACCAAAATGGCTCAATCAGCTCTGTCCCTCGGGACACGAGCCGGCCTCTCACAGAAGAAGAGCTCGATAGATACTCCCGTCAGATGATTGTACCTGGAATGGGAAAAGAAGGTGAGTGAGCACTTCGTCCCCAACGTTCCTTTTTGGCCAGCCGTTCGTTACCCCTGAACCAAAGTAAACAAACCTTATCTGACTAACACCCCCACCCTATCTATCCCCAGCCCAACTCCGTCTTATAAACGCCAAAGTCCTCATCATCGGCGCCGGCGGCCTCGGCTGCCCCGCCGCGCAATACATTGCCGGCGCCGGCATCGGCACCATCGGCATCGTCGACGGCGACACCGTCGAGCGTTCTAATCTGCACCGACAAGTCGGCCACTCCACCTCTCGCATCGGGCAGTCCAAAGTCTCGTCCCTCATCACCCACCTCCGCGGCCTCAACCCACTCCCCACCTACGTCGCTCACACCACTCACATCACTCCACTCAACGCCGCCGATCTGATCTCACAATACGACCTCATCCTCGACTGCACCGACAACCCCGCCACCCGCTACCTGATCTCCGACGTCTGCGTGCTCCTCTGCAAACCGCTTGTCTCGGCCGCCTCCGTGCAAACCTCGGGGCAAATCATTGTCCTCAACTGCCCGCCTACGCCGCAGGGTCAACTCGACGGCGGTCCGTACCCGCCTTGCTACCGGTGCTGCTTCAAGAAACCGCCACCGGCCAACGCCCAGCTCTCGTGCGGCGAAGCGGGCATCTTGGGTCCCGTGGTAGGACTGATGGGCGTGGCGCAGGCGGGGGAGGCCATCAAGATTCTGGCTTCGGCGCTTCACATTCCTACTACTACTACTACTACCTCTCCGCCAGCTCAAGGGGTGCCGCGGGCGCCCGTGGTGGAACCTACGTTGCTGCTGTACTCGTACTCGCTGACTTCTTTCCTGTCGCCCTTCACTTTCCGTGCTTTGAAAATGGCGCCGAGAAAGAAGAACTGCTTCGCTTGTGGCGAGGGAAGCAAGCAAAGGTTGACGCTGGAGGGGGTGAAGAATGGAGAGCCGAACTATGAATTTTTCTGTGGGTTGGGTGGTGGCGGGCCGGAAAAGGGGGTGTTGTCAGAAGAGGAGAGGATCACGCCTAGGGAGTTTGTGGAGAGTGTACAAGGAAAGGACGGCAATGGGAAAGGAAAAAAGTATGTGGTGCTGGATACGAGGGAGAAGGAACATTTTAGCTTTGGGAGCATCGAGGGGGCAGTTAATCTGCCGTTTGGTAAGTTGTTGAGTAAGGCTGCACAGTTTAAACGGAGCGGGGAGACACCCAAGGTAGGTGATATTCTACCGCCGGAAATAAAGGTCCACGACGGAGATGGAGACGAGGACATCCCCATATACGTGGTTTGTAGAAGAGGGCTGGACTCACAGGAGGCGGTGGAAAAGTTGAAGGAGATGGGACTTGATAAAGGAGGGAGCAGGAAGATTGTGGATATTGCTGGGGGAATGAAGGCTTGGAAGGAGCAGGTTGATCCAAGTTTCCCGTATCTATAACCACAGTGTGTCCGGTCTTTTAAGATAAAGTCCAGGATACAAGATCTGCGGCGGCGAGTTCCTCCGCTGGCGACCAAGAGATACCAAATATATATTTACATATATATATAGAACACAAAATCTCCATGTCAGTCGGGGGAGACTAAGCACGAAAGAACATGGTTCTTTGGTGACATATATATAGCCAGTCCTCATGTCCCGGACGAATGCCCCTGCGGTATCTATCCTCGTACATACCACGCGACCCGACATCAAGTCATCATGTCATTCCTGTTCATCCTTAGCTGCTTCCCAGATGTTAAACACAACGCGTATTGAATGTTATGCAATCGATACGCTCAAACAAAGGTAGTGCGCTTCTTGTTGAAGGCCCTCTGGTCCTTGAGCCATTGTCTGTAGCCAGCAACGCTGGAGATCTTCTCGCCGTAGAAATCGGGAACTAGGTTCCAGTCATGTTAGCCCGATTGGTTCGTACTTTTCCATTTTATCCGCAGTCTTTCCCCTCCGATCCAATCTGAGACTAAAAGCAAAAAGAAAGAAACAACCTACCAGGGTTACCCATAGAGCTAGCGCTAGGATCAACACGGTGCTTCTTGATCCTCGCAAAGAACTGGCCCTCCTTGATCTCCATCTGACCTCTGTACTTGCTCTTCAGCGCGTTAAACACCATGCCGCCCATGGCAGGCCCCATCAGCCACCCCAGCGCACCGAAGCTGGCCGTCATCAGACCGACTGCAAACATGGGCTCGAGCGGCACCTGCGCCACCATGGCGTCGGCCACACCCGTGCTCAGAACCGCGCCTCCAGCCCCCGACGTGATCAGCGTCATGATCACACTAAAGGCCAGCTGCACTCTCCGCCTGGTCTTGCGCAGCTTGAAGAAGGTGTTCCAGTCCAGCACGGGCTCCCCGGCGTGGGCGGCTGATTGCGCCGCGGCGGCGGCTTCGGCGGCGTTGGCGTCGAGCTCGGCATCGGAGCGCTGGCGGGTGCTGGAGGAAGAAGAAGAAGAAGCCCTACGAAGCTGCTTCTGGGCCTGCTGGGCTTGTTGTTGGGCGCGGAAACGGAGGACGAGGGCAGAAGGTGACGTCGAGAGAGGGCGCACAGAGGTTGGTTGTGGAAGCTTGGTGTTCATGGAGAAGGGCGAGCAGGGGCAGGCGGTGCTGCGGAGGAGCATGGGCTGGAGGGGGCCGGAGGACCGGCTGACGCCGGCGCGGAGCATCGTTGTTGCTGTTGAGCTAAGCATTGTGGATGTGTATGTGATGTGTGTGTATCGACAGAAGAACCGGTCGAGTCGTTGTCGTCGTCAGGGTGAGAGTTGTCTCGATTTCCAAGCTTGGCGTAGAGTTGAGAGCTCCCGTCCCGGTCGAACAATGGATCGAAGTGCGTAATTTGGTGGGGTGGGGATGGACGAGGCACGGTCTTTCGACAAAGTTCGCTGTGATGCAAGTGCCAGTGGGCTGTTTTTAGCGGCTGTGAACTGCTGCAGCTACCTGTAGGTACGTACTGGGGCTTGCTCTGCAGCAGCTTCCGTCTGGGGTACCCCAGACAAAGATAAGATAAGGGTCATTGCCAAGGGAACCGAACTTCCCTCGTGTACTCCCGATTGATGTCTTGCGACAAGTTTGGTCAGGGGGGCGAGGACTGTGATGTGTTTGTTGGTCAACTGCTCGACAACCAATGGTCTGTCACCTGTCGAAGACAACTCCAAAGCTGGAACTCCGGGCTGCAAGATTACCTATATATGGAAAAAGAAATCAAAAATCAAAAAATAATCACAATAGTTCAACATTGTTAAACTAATAGTAAAACAGATTGGAATAGTACTCCAATAATTATAAGTTCTATTTATTTTATTTATAAAATCAAACTATTCATTTACTTAATACCTAGCTACCTAGCTTATAAGATTAGTGAAATGTTCTTGGCGCTATATAAGTTAAACACGAATAATATAATAACCCGACATAATCCGGCCTTGGCGCCCAATATAAACCTAACGATCGACGCGCTGGAACAGCAGCGCAACGCCAACTTAACAATCAACGTGGAAGCAATCATCACCCGAAACACATCACGACATGGCGACCGACAAGCTTTGTCGAGGCGCACTTTGCAAGTAAACCGTCAGTGTCCCAATGGCGCATCTCGAGGAAATACCGGCGGTCATCTTTCTGCCCTCACGCGACAAGTCTCGCCTACGGCCCCTTCCTCCACAGCTGCGCGGGCCAACTTCGCGGGGCGCGTCGCACACGCCCACTTGAACCTACCTCTAACCACCGACTCCAAACCATTCAGTTTCACATACCATCTTCCTAAACTGCGCAATGGCCGGCAAGCCTGTCACCGGCCGTCCCAAGACGACTATCGAAATACCTCTCCCTTCCATCAAAAAGTACACCCGTGGCTCGGGTCCACCGCCGCCTCCCATTACTCTCGCGCCGCCTCGAGATTCGACCGCATACATCATCGACCAGTTTGTCCTGCCTGTGCTTAAGGACACGAAGCCAGACTCTCGACGGCGTATTTTTTACCATATTGGATTTACCGACATCCCGGCTGCTAGGCTTCTGGTCCCATGCAACGAAGTCCTCGACTACGTATCCCCGCGCGAGTTGGAGGAATGGGAGTACGATGCTCTCCAAATTAAGGAAGCGGATAAGGCTGCGGAAGCTGAGCAAAGGCGCAAGAACCAGGAGCAAGCTCCCGCTAAGAAGAAGCCTGGTCGCCCTTCAAAGGCCCGCTTGAACGAACCAGCGCTTGACGCACCCGCGGAGCCTGTCATATCTTTGCAAGAGGGGGACGTCCTGTTGGCCAAGCAGGAGGCTGTTGCCGGCCCCTCGTTAGCTACTCCACAAAAACGGAAGCGGGCCGAGATCCCCAGGTTTGATGATTCCGACGAAGCGGCGATCCAGCTCCAACTACAAAACCAGTCAGCAATTCCCAGCGAGGTAGAGGATAGCGGCACGGACCTGGAGGGCTACGATTCCACTGATCCTCTGTCGGCCGATCTAAGTCCAAAGATTACATCTTATTCGCGAGGTAATAGCTCAGGGTCGTCCGCACAACAGCCTGTGGCCGGGCCATCCAAACCAACAGCAACAAAGCCAAGTGTCTCGAGCAACATTGCCTCGCGTCCGTCACCGAGTGTCGTTTCCACCCCAGGAAGAATTCATCCAATGTTTGCCCGCAGCATTGAGACAGGAAGAATCCCGGTCAGTGGACATGGCAGCCAGAAAGGGGCAGGCCAGAATGGGGTAGGTCATTCGCGTGGCTTTGGAGGAATAAATGCGGAGGCCATTGCGCGAGCTTCTCCGTCTAGAGACAACAGCACACGTCAGTTCAAAGCGGTTCCTAAAGCAGCAGTACTTCCTTTTACTCACCCAACACAAATTGCGCCGATTTCTTTCACGCCTCTTGCAGCTCCCATTGCAGTCTCTAGACCGATAGTCACTTCTGACTCTCTATCCAAGCAGATTGAATCTTCCAGCGCAAGGAAGCGTCGAAAAGACGAGCAACCGAAACCGAACAGAAAGCGCAAGAAGTCCCACATTGAAGAGCCCACTGATTCCTGGGTAGTCAAGGAACTACTCGACGACCAATGGGTAACCGAACACGGCGTCAAGGTTCACAAGTATCTGGTTCTCTGGGAAGGCAACTGGCCCTCTGACCAGAACCCGACATGGGAACCTGAAGACAACATTGATGACCAGGGCCTCATCAAGACATACCTGAAAAAGAAGGAAAGCGGGATGCTAAAAGCCCCCAAGAAAACACAGCGGTCCATGCTGTCGTATCTCTCGCAGCCACAGTACTCGAGCGTTGCTGAAGCATTCGAAGGCGATATCGACGAACTACAACCAGAAGCTGCAGCTGTGACACCGGAAAGTGACTCGGATGACGGTGATGAGCTTTTGGTGACGGAAGAGCCTGTCGCCAAGACACAGAAGAATGGGAAAGGGGAGAATAGCAGTTTCACCTCGTTCGACTCGAAGCTGGAGCAGTACCAGAAGACATTTCCAAGGTGATGAGGAAGATGCTCGGGCGTATGATTGGGGTGCTAATGGGCACGCACTTTCTTTTATGCTGGAGAAGAATGCTTGAAATACACTTCGTTCTTGGGATGAACCTAATGGAGTAACCCTATGGGCAGAGTGATGGCTCGCTAACATCGTTGTTTCGCGGTTATCGAACTCGGAGGATCACAAGCTATGCCGCAATCTGATACTATTTCGCTATGTTCCTGTCCCGCCAGTTCTCATCCCACCAGTTTCGGATAGACTGGATAGAGGAGACTGTTTCGACGGTGATTCGGGTGGTATCAAAGAAGGTTGGATGCACGAAGCAACATGTTGGACCTGGCGGGAGCGGCAATGGGCAAAATAGCTCGGTTGGCATGAAGAACCCACAGCGGAAGACAAGTACGGACAGCTAGAGTCGAAACCTTGGGCTGCTGGTATATGTAGTCTTATTGCACATAACCCCAACCGCTACCAGTTTCAGTGAATTACAACACATCACCATCAACTTCTCCGTGTTTTCCACCCATCCAGACATTTCCGACGGGCGTACTGTGTCTAGAGGTAGCCTTGTTCTCGACATATGGAAATCATCATGATCCATCGTTCTACAACAATACCTCCATACAACTTTCACCCTTTGTATAAATATATCCACCATTCTCGGCACCATCCCCCTCCAATTCCATATGTCCTCATTCTCATTCATCCCAGTGCTCATCGCCATCATAGTCCTCCATGCCTACGTGCTCCCTCAAGTCCGCCAAAACGTCGTAGCAATCAAGAAGCAATGCGTCGACCAAGCAATGGCATGGACGTCATCATATATCTCCCTTTTGCAAGCGCCTTCTATCCACGAACTGGCCCCATGATCCCTACTTGCACCTTCCGCAGTATGTAGGTACCTACCTACGTAGCTAAACCTGAAGAAGACATCTCCCCGAACAGGCAAGCTTCGTTCAGTTCTTGCCTGATTCCGACTTAGACTTCGTGCCATGTATGTAGGTACCTTACCTAGGTAACCTAGCGGCCAAATGCAATAAGTCCTCCATGTCATCGATAGAAATACTTCCTCGGCTTTACCAACGCCAATGAAGGACGGGTCTATCTCGGTCCCAACCACAATTTGGGCGGAAGGGGGGATATAGATCTGGTCCCCGTACGATCTTAGCAACCAGGTCAGGCCAGCACACACACTGATCCTATCCAACCAACTCTCGGTATTGGCTGCGTGCCAGAGATTAGCTATGCCTAGTGTATATTCGTGCCAGGTCATTCTATCCGGTTGGTCGCTATCGGGCCAGTCCTCAGGCGGGAGGAGCTCTCTTCCGAGCACCTCATTATATTAGGTACTCAATGTTTGAGGGCTAGAAGAGGATCTTGAACGGTGCTGTGCGCTCCTCATCTACAAGCCCTTTACCCAGATACTTGGGCAAGCGTTAATTGTACTTAAGGTCCAAGTACCTTGGCGGCTCTTCCCCGGGTGGGGGGGCAGACCTCTCCTGGTTCCACAGAGACATCTGTCTAAAAGGTTGCCTCGTTCATCCATCCATCGAGACCTGCGATGTTCTGTTATCTCACTCCACTCAGATTCTCAGGCCCTGTGGATGAAGAGGTCGAACTGGTCTCCAAATCGATGGCCACTTGATCTAGCGATTGTGTGCGTTATAGGGCACCCTCCTCCGCCACTAAGTAGTCAGTCCTCTGACTCCAGTCTGCGACTTGGGCTCCCTAGCAAGCATGGTGCCCGCCATACCAAATGATACCTACCTCTAGTTTCCAAACCTTTTGTTATCAATCAAGTCAAAGGGGGTTGTTGTTATTGGGTGTTGCTGACGGTGAGGAGGGAAAGAGTGAGGGAGGTTGATGACCTGAGAGAAAAGGTTGATGGGGAGGAGGATTGAGATTGCCCGGGGTTGTCCTCGTTGGCGAGACTTGGTATCATTCTCATTATTGGGATTTATTGTCGGCCAACGGCCAACACGTAGAGGTAGAGGTAGATAAGCACCCTGGTTTAGCTTTGGCACATGATGTGAACACAGGCAATATGTCACTTGGGAGAATGTGGCACAATCAGATAATGAGCTTATAAAAAGGACGTGGTATTTGGCCAGATTTATCGAGGTCGTTGCAATTACTTTGTCCATCAGATCGCAACTTTGTGACTTCATGACTGTTCCCTACCTAGGTAGGTAACTAGGTTCCTTATGTCACCACTTGTCCATTTATCGAACGCCAACGCAAGCCTGTCCATTAATCCTCCGCCCTATATATTGCGCTGCTTATGACGAGGAAATCTCCGCGAGCCAACAGGAACCATACTGCTCTATAGGTAGTTATCCGACGTGCTGTTGGATGTGAAGGCATACTTAGGAGGAAAGTTAATGCTATTCGGTCCAACAGTGATACTTATCTTGTCAACCTGGTGAATGCCCAACATCTGTCGCAGCTTCGCCTCCCCTTCAGCTCAAACTTCCCCTCCAGGTTCCACGAGGATTTCCCTTAATCTTCACTCCACGCCGAACACTTCTAGACTTGTCGAGACTTTTGCGCCCATGGTTTCATCATGTTATAGAGTGAGTCGTCTTGACTTGTGGTAAAAGAATGCCTTTCGTCGAAGACACTAAGGCCAACGTCTCTGACAGTAGGGATACCGTCGAAGTGAAGAGAGGGGCTGAGCATCGCGTAGCTCAAGCCCAGTTCTGGCCGGCGGGCTCCCAGATGCCGATTACCATTTCGTAATGGTAAATTGGGCTCGGGTGGTTGTCCTCCCAGCCGCTCTCGTAAAGAGCCTCCCGAACGAGCCTATTGCCGAGGGTAAGATCGATGAGGGTTAACACCCTGCCCCGCTCGACGTTCCAATTATCGCGACAGGTGTCGCACGCGCGCTGCTCGGGACTCATTTCATCAAGCACCAAGTGGTGCAGAAGGGAAGCCGCTCTGAGATACTGGCGGAGGGCGGTATCCCACATCTCAAAGTTTTGGTGGCCCTCTAGCTCCACCAGACCGAACGGGAGGTGATAGTAATTAATCACGTAAACGGGCTGATCGGGGGCAGCCATTGTCACTTCTGCCGCTTGGCTGATGCTTGCTTGCTTTGGTGAAGTAGCAAGGTTGGTGATGAGGTCTCGAGAGAAGAACGAGGACGCTTGACCTCAGTGTTGATTGAAATTCTGTGAGGAAAAACTGAAATATGCGCGCGTTAGCTGGCTACTGTACTTACAGTAGGGGCATCGATGAGGGCATCGCTTGCTTGCTCAGTCAAAGGACAGCATGAGTATGAGTGACAGATGAGTAGCTAGGGTAAGAGTTGAATAGGTAGAAAGGCGAGGCCTGTCATGCTGGGTTGCTTACATTGCGCTCGTAGATGCCGGCTTGTAGTCTAATCAAGGGTGGGTTCTGACCTTGAAGCTTTAAAGGGTGAAGGACGATGTGGGCTTCTAGGTGTAGATCTGCGTTACTGAGGAGAAGACTCGATGCGTCTTTCTTGCCAAAGGCAGGTCTGGTTGTGAAGGTAGTGTTATTGTTTGTGCGAGAGGAAAAGCTTCGCGCGGCGGGGTATTTGACCTGAGTGTCTTCAATGGGAGAGGGGGGGGAGGGGAGCAAAGCAGAGGGCAGGCAGAAGAGGGAGCGTAACTCGGGGCCCACCATTAAACTTTCAACCACTTTGATTTCCTCTTCTCGGCATCTGTATTCTTCAAGTTATGGCACTTGCTTACGATGTCTCATACGTCAAACTTTAAGCGTCACATGTGGCTTTTTTGGGCATTGGAAACTGCCTGTATATAGGATCAATATCAACGTAAACTGAAGGCCACCACTGGCACATATTTCCCATATTGAATAGGATTTCAACTCAGGCACTTAGCTCCGGTCTTTCCACAAGCCTTTAGTTAACAGAAAATTCGCACATGATATGACTACCCGAAAGTTGACAGTTCCTCCAAGAATACACGTATCTGTTCGAAAAAAAAAAGGGACAGAAGAATTCCTAGAGAACGGCCAATGTAACGAAACATCGTGAAAAGGAACGGATCAGTCAACGTAATCACTATCTGAGTCATAGTGTGACGACACCTCGATGACCTCCTGAGAAATATCAGACAGTATCTCGCCAGCAGAAGCAGGCTTCTTCTGCTTCGAACCGAACATGGCGTTATAATCCTGCTTTATAGCTTGAAAGGCGGGTTCAGGTTCGTCCGAGACTCGTTGAGCATCAGACTGTCTGCTTGGAAAGCCTATCTCATTGCGGAGATTCTCAATGAACTCATCTGCTTCCGCATCGATCATCTGGAGCTTCGTGGTCACGTCGACAGAATGTCCAATCTGTTCGTATAGCTGTGTCTTGAAGAGTTCCACAAGGTCGTCCTTCTTTGGGACTGGATCCTCTTCTTCGGTCGTCGCGCGTGAAGATTGTTCAACGTATTCTCTCAGGCGCTCATCGCACAACCGATTCAACATATGCATTTTTTTGACAAGTTCAGGCCTACGGGCACTGGCCAGTATCTTCGAGATGTCAAATGACTGCAGTTGCTCCTGCAGGTGTCGGACGTCCTGCAAGGCTGTGTCGAACATGGAGTACAACCTTTTGGTTGCGGCTTCGTGGTTTTCAACAGTGGTTTCCCTTTCAGTTTCATGACAAGTGTTCATAAGCTCAAGTAGCAGCACTGAATTCTCCAGGTAGTCCTTGATTATGTCGTCCACAACTTCTTCGCTCGGCTTAAGTGCGCGATGTAGCATCTATAGGGAGATCAAGGTTAGGACATCAAACATCACCCAAGAGGCTCATGGGCGGTGGAACTCACCATTCCTATCTTGTGTAAAATCGCATATGTAGAGTTATCCTCTGTCTCTCTCCTCCAGACCTCTCCCCGGCTCGCTGCTCTGCTCTGCTCCAATGGCGTCGAAGCACTCCATTGACTTTGCGGGCGCTGAACTGGCGTTCCTTGAAATTCGTTTGTAAGATTGGCAGCATGCGGCAACGAGTAGGCGAGGTCAGATTGCTGAGCGATAGTCTGTACAGGCAACTGGTCGTGAGACGGCTGTTTGCGAAGTGTGGGAGCTGTGTTACGATGCAAAACTTGGACTTTGAACGTCTCCAAGCCATTGCGGAACATGTTCCTAGGCGACCTTGGTGCCACTCCAGGTTCTTGATCATCGTCATAAACAGGACCTTGACCCATAAACAAAGGAGAACTAGAGAGTTCAGAATTAACGCCATGATGCTTTTGTCCACGAAATGTAGGTTGAAGTACGGGAACTGCCTCCTGCGCCTGTCCAAGGTCGAGAATCTGGGGTTCTCTCTGAGCCAACCTATCCCACACATGAGCGACATGTGAAGGCACAATGTCTTTGGGCGCTGGCGAAGAGACAGCATCTCTCGAAATACGTCTAGGTGATTCATTGGCCACGTCATGTACGAGGGCTGCTTGCTTGCGGAATGGTCTTTGCTCATACTGAGTGACCGCCATCAGGTTGGCAGTTGTCTTAGCAAGGAACGCGTCTTCAGATGTCGGCTGGGAACCGAACTGTTGTATTGCCTGGTTTTGGTAGATGAGTTGCGTGTCGATTTTCTGAGTGCTCTCGTGAGGGGGCTGCAACATTTCCTCCAGCTCATTCGAAGTTTGGACTCCAGTGGTTGTCGAGTCTTGCCTTTCCACTCTGTTGTGATAGGAAAGCACTGACTCTTCCGGCTCATTAGGAGACTGAAGCTTGTTGCTTGCCGGGATGTGCTTCTCAGTTCTGTCATCATGGGGGAAGACTTCGTCCTCGGGCTCAGCTGGAGTTCGAATATCTCTGTTTGCTGCCCTGGGTCTTGCTGCCTCACTGTCTTTGGCAGCAGGTTCGCCCTTGGCTGGACTGGCTTGCTCAAGGCGTGGGACCTTGGAAGGCTTGGCCGGCAACGTTGTTGCTGCCTTGTATCGTGTATCCGAGCCACTCGTTTCCAAAGTCTCGGTCGCATGTGGTCGTGCCTTTCGCTTCCTAGGTATGGGGGAAATTGGGCCACTCTTCGATTTCTGGATGTCATTCTCGACTTCAGACCTCGAAGGGGGAGGAGTAGTCTTTTGGAGCTTCTGGTGAGCATTGAGCTGAGAAATCCGAGGGGATCTCCGAAGAGCAAGCCCATCATGGGGAGACGTAGAGTCGGTGGACTTGTCAGGTTCGCTTGGCGAGGTTGAGCCAGCACCTTTGCTGGGCTTGGCCTTTGGCTTAGCTTGGGACTGACGGATCTTTGTAGGTCTTTTGCGGGAAGAGACAGAGTTCCATGGCATGTCGGGGGCTAGATCGTCGGCGGAGAGAGGTGTTCTGTTCTGAGTTTGGGCAGTGGCAGTAGGCTGGGCCTTGTTTTCGGGCTGTGGTGGTGTCTCCGTACTCGGAATGGGATCAAGCTTCTGAGTTGGCTCCCAGCTATCGGGGAGCATATCCGCCAACGGATCCCTTTTCTTGGGACTCGAGTCAATCGTGATGGGTTTGGGAAGGGAACCAAGATAGGACAGTCCATTGACATCAGAAAACGCTGTGAGTCTTGAGGGGCTTCTAGCACGGCGTTGAGAGGAGAGGACTGTCCAGAGATCGCCTCCGTCAGCCCGTGTCAGGTCGGCAGTGCTCTCGTGGCTTGGAGGTAACCACTGCTCCATGGCGGATGGATGATGACGGAGCGCGGAAGAACTGCTCGTTCGAGAATGCCAAGTTGATTAGATGCGTTAAGTTCGAAGTGTCGTGAGAATCTAACCCATCTGGATATGAGAACCGATGGAGACTGGGACAACAGATTTGGTCAAAAACACATCATCGAAGATTGTGCGATGTGCGCATCGAGAGGGCAAAACGGCCTCTTGACCTACTCATTCCTTCGCGCCTTCCCCTTGTTCTTGGAGGCATCCGGGAGCTCGACCACGAAGGCAGGAACGGCCGAGGGACATTCGTAACATTCTCAATCGATGGAAAGGAAAGTGGCGCATCGACTGAAAATCTATACTTCTAACGCCATTCGAATCGTGTAGTCAACACCTCAGCTCGACCATGTAGGTGGTGGCATCATGCTGGGCCGTGGAAGCCGTCTCACCCCTTGAACTACCAAGAAATGGTCAGGTGGCCCGAACGTAATCCGTGCAATCAAAACGGAAGCACCGCGCTTCGCAGCCCTCAACATAATACCTTGATGATTTTGTGGAATAAAACACAACCGGGGACCACTCGGATTTCAGATACCCACGATTGCCGAGCGGAGGATGGGAGTCGAAGCGGGACGGAGTCTCGGGAATCATTGTCGCTAGACTACCCCGTTCCGATTCGGCTCGGCGAACGAGCTGGTTATTTTGTCAGTGTACATACCTACGCCATAAGGTTGCATTCGATAAGCTTCCACCAATCAGATCGATTAGTCAGCAGCGGTGCTTCCCGGATTGTAAATCCAATCCGACGGCAACATACGACCTTCCTTCAACCACCAACGAATCTGTCATCCCATCTTTTGGTGCCTTAGTTGATCTTGAATTTTGTATACTTCAAGATCATCCAACGTCCACCTTTCGCCATTCTCATTGCAATCACGTCTTTGATAGTATCCTTCTGATTGGTACATCTTTTCCATCCCTACTACTGATTTGTCACCACCTGTGCACGGGCGATATCCCGACCCAGGCAATCATGTACTCCCGGAAGGACTACAACGCGACGGAATGTGGCATGTACGCCAGAGATGATAAGGATACAACATCCGCAACGCTCAAACATCTCGAATACCTTCCATCCTCTGCCTCCACCGCAAAACCATCCGTATCCTCAATCCCACGGACCTCTCGCGCCCGTCTCTCCCAACCAGACGTCTCACCCACTCCCTTCCCCGATGAACCGATCCCAGTACCCGCTGCGGCGGATGTGGGCAACCTCCCATCATCCAGCACCGTCCTCTACCTTGCCTACGGCTCCAACATGTGCGCCGAAACCTTCCTCGGCATGCGCAAGATCCGTCCCCTCAGCCAAGTAAACGTCTCCGCGCCTTCGATCCGTTTGACCTTCGACCTGCCCGGTATTCCTTATCTGGAGCCCTGCTTCGCCAACGTCGCTTTGCGGAAGCTGCCCAAGAAGCCACCCGTGATTCCTATCCCGCCTGTCGATCCGCCCCATCTTCCATCTCCGGGACCCCAACCACCAGCCCAGGGAAACTCGGGGGGAAAAAGTGCAGCAGACTTGGATTGGAACATGGACACGGGCGGTCTTATCGGCGTTGTCTACGAAGTAACAGCAGAAGACTACGCCCGCATCATAGCGACCGAAGGCGGCGGAGCCAGCTACCACGAGATCTTGGTCCCCTGCATCGAACTGCCCGCGCCCGTTCGGATCCCCGAACACCCGCGCCCGGACTTGCCCAAACCTTTTCTGGCGCGGACGTTGTACGCTCCTCAGGTGCCTGACCTCCCCGACGACGATGGCAACGACCCTAAGCACCCCTACCCTAAACCTCCCGGAGGCTTGGATTCTACTACTATTACCGGCGGAGACTCCGACCCCAAAGACCCCAAGGAACCACCAAAACTTCCCCCCAAATGGCGCCAGGCGTTATCGAAACTCCTCCTCCCCATACACCGCCCCCAAACTCCCCCGACTCAACCTTCCCTCCGCTACCTTACCCTCCTCCGCTCCGGCGCCATCGAGTACGAACTCCCGCCCGCTTATCAGTCCTACCTAAACAACCTCGAACCCTACACCGTCACCTCCACCCGGCAGAAACTTGGTCGGCTGATATTCATGGTCGTCTGGATGCCGCTTTTCTTCATTGTGTTGAAGTCTACGAAATGGGTTGCTGACGATAAGGGCAAGGTTCCGGGATGGGTTGCGGGGATGATGAGCGTGATGATGCATCTCGTTTGGGGGAGCTATGATTTTGTATTCAAGCCGGTTTTTGGAGAGGGGGAGAGGACGGTTCATGAGGGTGATGGGGATGATAGTGATGATGGTAAGGGTGGAGAGGAGAAAAAGGGGTGGGTGAATGGCAGAAAGAGATCGGGGTCTTGGTTGAGTAGACGAAGAAGTGAGATGGTAGTTGATGATGAGGAGAAGAGGTGTTTGTTGGATAATCTTGTGGAGGATTCTGAATGAGAGATCCGGGAGAAGGTCCTGGTTTGATTGCATGGCGTTATAGGCTTATTTAAGGGCCGTTGCACTCTGCACAGTTTACCTGGATACTATATCGACATGGTATGTAATACAGGAAAAAGGTTCCATTACGCCCTAAGCTAAAGACACCGTACACATACCGAATTAGGCTGCACCATCCCGCGAGGAAGCACCCCCTCCTTATATGTGTGAATGATTTTGTGTTCCTCAATGGTATCCGGCACGCTATGGTACGCATAAAACTGACCCCGTATACACGATGAACTCAAATGCCGTTCCCCACACCTGGAACAATGGAACTCCCCTGACAACAGGCTCGATGCACTTTAAAAACCCCAAAGTACCTAAACCGCCGTAAAACGCCCCATGATCGCAACCCGAACCGATATTTGCATTTTTTTCCCCATGTCTCTTTTACTTGAAAAGCTTGGGAATCTCCTCCACCTTGATCTCCTGGTCGATGATGCGTTCAACAGCCATGAAGACGGGGTAACGCTCCTCGGCGCCCTTAGCACGGAGGAAGCTGCTGACCTCGCGGGTAGTGGAGATACCCTGCAGCTTCTGTCCGTTAAGCTCCGTCTTCTCAACCTCCTCAATGGGCAGGTTGCGCTCCACGGCCAACTTGGAGCACCTCCAGTTGCGGGCGGAAGTGCAGCTCACGATCATGTCACCCCAGCCGGCACTTTCCTCCCAGAAGGTCCTGGGCTCAATCTGGCCGGGGAAGAACTCGTTAGCGAAACGAATAATCTCCTGCATGCCGCGGCGCATGACGGCGGTCTTAGCAGTCATGTTCCAGCCGTGTCCCTCGACATAGCCGCAAGCAATGGCGACAATGTTCTTGAGCGCACCAGCCAGCGAGACACCGACAATGTCTGACACCATGGAGACAGTGAAGTAGGGGCGGCTGAAGAGCAGCGACCACTCATTGTGATCCAGAGGAGGGTAGTCGAGCGGCAACGGCGTGAGCTGCTTGGTGTGGTCATTGGACTCGCCGGTGACGACCGGCTTGCCGTTCTCGTCGCGCCTGTCAACCAAGGGGGTGTTGTAGGCAATAGTGGTCTCGCACCACTGCTCGTTGGCAATCTCGCTGGCAATGTTGGCACCGCTGAGGGCACCACAGTAGATGTTGAGAGCGTCGCTAACGTAGTTGCAAATAAGCTCGATCTTGTCGTCGGTGACAGAGACACCCTTGATGCAGCTGATGCCGCGAGCATAGGGCGCAATGTGGTCCTTGATCTGTCTGCAGATGTTGCCAATGAACTCATGGGGAAGGTTGAAGATAAGGATGCTCGAGTCCTTGACGGCGTCTACCAGCGAAGGGTTGGCGACAAGGTTGTGGGGCAACGGGATGCCGGGGAGGTATTTGACGTTCTCATGATATGTGTTGAGGATGTGGGTGAGCTTCTGCGGTTGCTCGCCGATCGAGGCATCAAAGTGCTTGGAGTCCTTGGGGAGAGTGACGTTCTCCTCGTAAACCCACATCTGAACATCCTTCTCGAACGTATCGGGGTGCTCTGCGCAGTTCTCGGCAACGAGCTTGGCCACTGTGGTGCCCCAGTTACCGGAGCCGATGACGGTAACTTTGTGTTTCTTGGTGAAGTTGTTGACAGTCATTTTGGTGACTTGAGAGTATCTGCGGACAGGGAAGTGTCGTGTATTGTTCGGAGGAGGAGCAAAGGAGGCTCTGCTACTGCGGGTGGACAAGAGGGACGGAGCTGGCTCAAGAACGTCGGCACGGGTTGCGGTTTGGGGGCTTTGGGGAAGTTGTCGGTGAAAAGGACAAGTTGGCTTTGAAATAGCGGCCGAAGACAGGACGTAAAACCGACGGCGGAGCGCTGGGTGGGTTGGCGGGGACGAGAACGATAGAGGTAGTTTTGGGCCTTGACCCTGTACAAGACAATGGAAGACGGAGGCGGCGTCTGAGCTCAAGATTCGGCTTCTGTAACGAGCCTGATGGAGAAGGGGTTGTGCGAGACGGGAACAGTTCATCTGATAAACGAAGGAGGGGAAAAAGAGGAGGGAAGGCGGAAAAAAAAGGAAAAAAGAAGAAAGGGCACGAGCACGAGGGTCAACAGATCTGATATGTGTACAACAAGAGGCACAATGACGCAGGAGGAGCGCGGCAGCCGACGGGAAGGAAGTCATTCGCTACTGCTCAATGCCCTATCAGAATCTCAACAAAAAAATCGCTCCCGTAGCGCAGTTTCCCACTCTCCGTTTCACGCGCATGCCCCGGCAGATTTGGAGACGAAGCTTGTGAAAGTTACCGGGGTCGTTGTGCAAGGCCTGGATGGCCTGGCTTGGGTTACAATTGCGAGAATGCCTGAGTCGCGCCCCTGCTTTCCGCATTTGATTTTCACTTCTGCCGAGCACCTCGGTCTACATACATACATCTCGGCCAGACCTGATGCTACATTATAAAGGGGAAAATAAAAAAAGATATATAATCATCGACCAAAAACCAAACCTCGCTTCATTATAATGCGACATCGTCATCATGTACCGAGGCAAAACATGCTCCAGCATCGTTGGCGACAACACACAAAAAGAGCCATACCGCCCCTTTGTTGCCAGAATACTTTCGAATTTTTAGGCGGGCACAATCCCGAACCGTTAAGGGCTCTGCGGGGAACATGGCGGGGTTGCGGAACCCCCTTTTCGGTTGACACTGCGAATCCCGTCCTGTCACGGGAGTAAGAGAAGCGCTGAGGGATCCACAGAAAGCAAGTCTGGATTCTGCTAGAAAATCCGGGGCGCCTGGATTCTAATCTCGAGCTACATCGATATCATGTTGGACTTCGACTGGAGTGTTGGTGTCTCAGTCTGGGAACCGAAAGGGGCCCGTCGGTCGCCGTGCGGACCTTGTCCCGGACAGCAGGCGGTTGGTGTCGAGGCTGGTAAGTTTTTTTTTTTTTTTTTTTTTTTTTTTTTTTTTTTTTTTCAAGCCTTTTCTTACTTCTTCCTTTTTTTTTGTCTGGTGTTTTTTTTTTTTTTTTGGGAGAAATTGAATTCTGCACGCCCGGTCCCGTAAAGCTTGTTTAATGGAGTTACCATCTCCGGATGAGGACCGTGCTCGAGCAAACTTGAACCAAACTGGCGGGCTTGCCTCCCTTGCTCAGACATCATGCCATACGAGCGGTCCCGACAGGAACATTATCAGGGTCCAAGAGTTGATCACTTGAACCGCACAACCTGCTTGGCTTACACGTGAAGGAGAGCCCACGTGGCCCGATTGTGTTGCACTTGGATGAGAGTTTCCCATCCTGGAGGATTGTTGACATCGATCTGGCTGAGACCAGTCCCTTTGATCTAATCCCAAATAGCCACACCGTTTTCAGACTTAACGTGAATTCTTCGGGCAAGCATCGATCTTCGACATCGTTAGGCCTTGAACGACACAGATGCAGTAACATCTTGACTTGGGATCAGTCTGAAGTTGAAAACCCACCGTCTGATGTGATTAAGCTTCTCATCCCCCAATCATTAGAGGCCGCAAAGTTTCGCGGGCATATTGCACTGGGCCACTTATGTATAAGGTCCTCACCAGTTCCCCCAGCCGGATTCGGATCTTAGCCCGGCAAAGCTCCGCCCAAATGCCAGTATGTTGGGCTCCGAAAGCCGTACATTTGCCGGGTCCCGCGTCCAAAAAACGGCCGTCACATCACCTGCAGTCGGACAAGCAGGGAGAAGCGACAGAGGTGCCGATCCGATCGGTCCACGACTGTCGTCCGATGCCGTCCCCTTCCGGATGCGGGAGTTGTGGTGGTCTGTGCGCCTACCACGACCATTTGGTGATGTCATTGGAGATTGGACAGGGATATGGAATCGACGCGGGGCAGCCCAATGCCACCCCTCGCTTCATTCCTTTTTCCAAGACAGCGTTTGAACATCCCACTGCTTTGGAAGCTATTGATCGTTGTGGATGAAGTTTCTGCAGTCGGGCAAGTCTGGGGGCTGAAAAGTGATCCAAACCAACATCTAACTCTCACAGCGGCCGAGACTCTGGTGATAACATTATATCCGTCAGGTCTTCCATAACTTCGTGTGCAGGACGAGGAGAAGGCCCTCCTCCAATCTAAAAGTCCAAGCCTCTACCGAGTACATCTAGCTCCCACTGGTGAACATCGTCATCCCGTTAGAGGCGGGAATAAACTGCCCCGCTTAGGTCTTTTTGCGGTCAGCATCTCGTTATGCCTGGAACAGGCATGTTGAGGAAATTACTCTTGCGGTTCCAGACTGCGGGGCATCGATCTGCGGTCGAAGCTTGTAGTGTACACTAAACCGGCCGTTGGGCGCCATGGGCAATGTTCTGCTTGTCCGATCGGACCTGGAGCTCCCCGAGCGCTCTCGCGACTCGCAACTTGAATGGTTCTGGAACTGGCCAAGCACGTTGTGACGAGTCAAGGATCTTCAGGCACAGACTGCCAAACTGTCAAGGCGTTGTTTAATCGCCGATGTTGAAACCGACGATAAGGCAAACCCTCAGATCTCTCGCGGGAGGGAAGGCACGTTCGGGCCATGACATGGAGAATTGACATAAAGGAAAGTGCACAACACCTTCGTTGCTTCACGAACTAATGCGGCATCGTCCACCACATCACAACTCCCATCGAGGTCTCGTCTCTTTTTCTTTCAAAGTCGCAGCTGCCCTGCAGCAGTCATATTCGCTGTCAGTGTCACTCCTGCACGCCCGTCTGCAATTGGACAAGTAATTGTTGGGTGTGGATCGAGCTCGCTCTTGGCGCCGTCTCGACGTGCTGCGCTCTCACGACCTCCATCAGCTTACTTCCTTGTCTCGTTTGTCACCACTTGCCGTGGCAGGTCCGAGGTGGTGTTGAACACGGGCTGGGGTGGCATCGCCAATGTTAGGTTGTCTTTGCTGCTTTTTGCCTGTTTTCTGACGGGTCTCTTCAGCTCTAGACTGACATTCCGGTATATCAACCCCTGGCCAAGCTGTCGAGCTAGAAGCCAAACTTGGTTGTAAGCTTGCTCGCCAGCCAAGTTGCTACAGTCGAGCCCCAGTCTGGAAGCTATTGTCTGCTTCCGGTCCTATCACAGCCAAACTACACGGGCCCATACCTACGATACTACGATTTGGACCTCTCTTGGACGCCATCACCTACATTGCCTACATACATAATCTCTCTCTGGCTCCCTTGGCTTTCGTTGGAGCCACGTCGCTTGCAAAGCTCTCTCTGTCTCTTCTGCCGTCTACATATTTCGTGTCCAAGAGACCAACAACCGTAAGACCAGCGGTATCCCTGATTTCCTGTGCCCTCTCAGCGTTACAGTCGTTACAGGCATCGCCACCACAGCTCCCGCAGCCCGTACGGACGTCGTTGATAGGGTGAAACTGTTCTAACTTTGTTGCTGATCAGGCAGATATACTTGGGATCCCACCGTGTTGATCCTTACAAGTTTTGTCTCCTCTCGAATCGCCTAGCACCAAGCTCCATCGCCGCCGGTCCGCTACGCTAGAGCCTAGCCCCTCACCGACACGCCAGCACTCTCAAAGCTCCCCTTAGTACTAAAGGTCGCGGGAAGCTCCCTCCGACCCCGCCTCCCTTTCCCCAACATGATCCCAAGAACCATGGTCTCCAACGAAGTTTACCTATTGCCGCTGAAGGACGATGGCTCGCCTGACGTGCCTGGCGAGTACATTTACATTGCGCCCAAATCGAAAGATCCAGTAACGATTCGCTTTGCCATCGAGGGCACTTCCAGCATCTGCAGCCATGGCAGCTTGTGGGTGAACATCCCTGAGCACGGCGAGCAGTTCCAGCGGAACAAGTTCCGCGAGTACAAGTAAACAACCCACCCCCTATTCTTTTCTTATCAGATGAATCCTTCACAATACCGGAAAACATGACTAACAAATCCGCTACAGGCTCGTCCCTGACTTCAACCGCACACTCGAGATTTCGATCCCGATTTACGAGGCTGGCGCGTACGCCTTCTACACCACATATGCCGAACTCCCTGATTTGGCCAGCAGCCTGGTCAACGCCGACGGAACCGTGACCAAGGCTACTCAGAAAAAGACGCCGTTGTACTATATCGATGTCGCGCCCCGGCTCTCGCTGGACGGGCAGCCGCTGCCACTTCCGGCGCTCTCCATCTTCTCCATCATCAGCAAGTTCATGGGCAAGTACCCAACAGACTGGGAGCGCCATCTTCGGGGAATCAGCGACCGAGGTTACAACATGATCCACTTCACACCGCTGCAGGTACGAGGTGCATCAAATTCGCCATACAGCTTGTATGATCAATTGGGCTGGGACCCAGCTTGCTTCCCCGCTGGCGAGCCGGATGTCCAAAAGATGGTGGAAAGCCTGGAGAAGAACCACTCCCTGCTCAGCTTGACGGACATTGTCCTCAACCACACTGCACACAACAGCGAGTGGCTCTTGGAGCATCCCGAGGCCGGATACAACTTGACGACTGCGCCATGGCTCGAGTCCGCTTACCTTCTCGACACCAAGCTGCTCGAGCTGGGCACTAGGTTGGAAGAGCTTGGCCTTCCCACCGAGCTCAAGGACGTCGATGATCTGGTCAAGATTATGGATGCCATCAAGAAAGAGGTAATTGCCGAGATTCGTCTCTGGGAGTACTATACTCTTGATGTGGAGCGCGATGCCGATGCCGCGGTCAAGTCCTGGGCTGCCAACGACATTGACTTCCCACAGGCCTCCGTTGGAGCTGGAGGTATCGACTCTCTACACTCCGCTACCCCTAAGGAGCAGGCAGATTTCTTGATCCAGCATGGTCTGCAGAACATGGATTATCTTGGTGAGCGCTTCAGGCGGAGGGCTAACCCCAAGGTGGCTGCCGCTCTTTTGTCTGCTATCTTCGGCCGGTACGAAGGAGAGACAAAGGATACTGCCGACCAGGCTGCAGCCAGAACCAAGATTGTTGACATCCTGGAGATCGTCAACGTTCCATTTTACAAGGAATATGATGACGAAGTTGCCGAGATCCTGCAGCAGCTGTTCAATCGCATCAAGTATGTCCGGCTCGATGACCACGGCCCAAAGCTCGGGCCCATCAATGCCGAGAATCCTCTGATCGAGACGTACTTCACTCGTCTTCCTGTCAACGAGAAGACGAAGAAGCACAAGAAGGAAGATCTGGTTCTCGCAAACAACGGATGGGTATGGGGCGGAAACGCGCTGGTCGACAATGCCGGTCCCGATTCTCGTGTCTACCTTCGCCGAGAAGTCATTGTCTGGGGAGACTGCACGAAGCTCCGCTACGGAAGCGGTCCTGAAGACAGCCCATGGCTTTGGGAGCACATGACCAAGTACGCCCGCATGCTGGCCAAATACTTTGCCGGCTTCCGTATCGACAACTGCCATTCCACGCCTCTTCATGTCGCTGAGCACATTTTGGATGAGGCTCGTCGTGTTCGCCCCGATCTCTATGTCGTTGCGGAGCTTTTCACCGGCTCCGAAGAGATGGATTACGTCTTTGTCAAGCGTCTGGGTATTAGCGCACTCATTCGTGAGGCCATGCAAGCATGGAGCACTGGCGAGCTCAGTCGTCTGGTTCATCGTCACGGAGGTCGACCTATTGGCAGCTTCGAAGTTGACGAGGTATCGAGCAACGAGGGCCGCTCGTCGTCTATCAGCGGCACCAACGGGGATGGCGTCTACACACGCGAGGTTATCCGCCGTATCAGGCCGGTTCCCGTACAAGCACTATTCATGGACTGCACTCATGACAATGAGGTTCCTGCTCAGAAGCGCGATGCGCGTGACACGCTTCCAAACGCAGCCCTGGTTGCCATGTGCGCTAGCGCTACCGGCAGCGTGATGGGATACGACGAGATCTATCCTAAGCTTGTTGACTTGGTTGGCGAAACCCGCCTTTACACGTTCGAGGCTTCCAAAGCTCCTGTTAAAACGGGAGAGGGCAAGGATGGAATTGCTGGTGTAAAGAAGCTTCTCAACCAGATCCACACCTTGATGGGTATGGATGGCTATGATGAGACGCATATTCACCATGAGGACGAGTACGTCACGGTCCACAGAGTCCATCAGGAGTCAAGAAAGGGCTACTTCCTCATCGCACACACTGCGTTCCCCGGTTATGGAAATGGCAATGGCGCTTTCAACCCTGTCCACCTGACCGGCACAAAGGCTCGCCATCTCGGTAGCTGGATGCTCGAGGTTGATGCCAGCAAGGAAGCTGTTGAGGAGGTCCTGGGCGACAAGAAGCATCTTCGTGGTCTTCCCAGCCGTCTGGTCGGTTTGCCAGGCGTGCGGATGGAAGTCAAGGGCCAGGATACCATTATCACTGTCCGTGAAAAGTTCCCTCCTGGAAGTATTGCTCTCTTTGAGACTTGGATTCCGGCGGCGGAGCACTCGAGTGGGTTGGACAACTTTGTCACTTCCGGCGCAAAGGCAGCAATGGATGAGCTTGATCTTGTCGATCTCAACTTCCTTCTGTACAAGTGCGAGCCTGAGGAGCGTGATGCTAGCGAAGGCCAGGATGGAACCTACGACATCCCTGGCCACGGCAAGATTGTGTACGCTGGATTGCAGGGTTGGTGGAGCATTTTGAAGGATGTCATCAAGGACAACAATCTCGCCCATCCTCTATGCCAGCATCTCCGAGACGGCCAGTGGGCTCTTGACTACATTGTTGGGAGACTTGAGCGTGCCTCGAAGAAAGAGGACTTTCGCCGGCTGGCGAAGCCTGCTCAATGGTTGAAGGAGCGCTTTGATGCTATTCGTCCCATCCCAAGCTTCTTACTTCCTAGATACTTCGGTCTTGTGCTTCGCACAGCCTATAACGCGGCCTTTGAACGCGGTATCTCCCTCATGAACAACAATGTCATAAAGGGTCAATGGTTCCTGCAGAGTTTGGCCATGGTTAGCGTTCAGATGACTGGCCTGGTAAAGTCGGCATCACTGTATCCTAACCGGCTCGTGCCGTCGCTTGCTGCGGGTCTTCCTCACTTCGCTGTTGAGTGGGCTCGCTGCTGGGGTCGCGATGTGTTCATTTCTCTCCGCGGCCTGTACCTCGGTACTGGTCGTTACGCAGAAGCCAGAGAGCACATCCACGCCTTTGCCAGTGTGCTCAAGCATGGCATGATCCCTAATCTTCTAGGAAGCGGCAATAACCCCAGATACAACTCTAGAGATTCTGTCTGGTTCTTCCTGCAGTGCATCCAGGACTACACCCGTCTGGTTCCTGATGGCTTGTCGATCCTAGACGACAAGGTCAAGCGCCGTTTCCTCCCTTACGATGATACGTACTTTGACGTCGACGATGAGCGTGCGTACAGCAAGGAAAGCACCATCGCCGAGATCATCCAGGAAGTCTTCCAGCGCCATGCCGAGGGCATGAAGTACCGTGAGGCCAACGCCGGCCCCAACTTGGATATGCAGATGAGCGATGCCGGTTTCAACCAGGAGATCAAGGTTGACTGGAGCAACGGTTTCATCTTCGGCGGTAACCAAGCCAACTGCGGTACCTGGATGGACAAGATGGGCGAGAGCGAGCGTGCTGGTTCCAAGGGTGTGCCAGGAACTCCCAGAGACGGTGCCGCCGTTGAGATCACAGGTATGTTGTACAGCAACCTGAAGTGGGCAGCTTCTCTCAATGAAGCCGGCAAGTTCAAGCACTCCAGTGTTCGCAAGTCCGATGGTACCGAAATCACACTGAAGGACTGGGCTGCTCTCATCAAGGACAACTTTGAGCGTTGTTACTTTGTTCCCATCTCCCCTGACGAGGACTCCAAGTACGATGTCAACCCGGCGATCATCAACCGTCGTGGCATCTACAAGGATCTCTACCGTTCCGGTAAGGAGTATGAAGACTACCAGCTCCGCAGCAACTTCCCTATCGCCATGACATGCGCCGCCGACCTCTTCGTTCCGGAGCACGCTATGCATGCTCTCTGGGTTGCCGACGCCGCTCTCCGTGGTCCCACTGGTATGGCTACGCTCGACCCCAGCGACATGAACTACAGACCGTACTACAACAACAGCGAGGACAGCGACGACTTTGCCACCAGCAAAGGTCGCAACTACCACCAGGGTCCTGAGTGGCTGTGGCCGACTGGTTTCTTCCTCCGGGCGCTGCTCAAGTTCGATTTGATGCGCCGCGGCCGTGACGATGCCGAGGGCCGCACTGAAGCATTCCAGCAGGTCACCAGGCGACTTATAGGATGCAAGGAGATGATTCAGCGGAGCCCATGGGCTGGACTTACGGAATTGACGAACAAGAATGGAGAGGAGTGTCATGATTCTGTGAGTTTCCCAGATGCACAACGGCCTAAACATATGAATAGTATACTAACCGTTGGATTTCTACTGCAGTCTCCTACCCAAGCGTGGTCCGCCGGTTGCTTGATCGACCTCTACATGGACGCTGCTGAGGAACAAGCCAAGCTTGAGAAGCACTCGCTTCCCTTGAGATAGGTGTCGAGGGTGGTTGAAGAGGCTACAAACTTGGTTACGAAGCTTATGACTACGACAACGATGACGAGCGAGTGGGACGGTGATGATGACACCTTAGAAAGTGAAGATGATGGTGCTTGAAGCAACGAAAGATGCAATAACTGTAATAGAACATGGGCGGAGCGATTGCAAGCAAATGAATTGGTTAAAACCTAGACAGAAAAGATTGCCACTGAGGCAGACAGTGACAAATGAGGCAGGCAGGCAGGCCGGCAGGCTGGACCTTTCGTTTTGGATGAACAACAGAGATGAAGGACATAACCTAAAGAATAGAAGTTATGCCAATACCAAGTGTTTACCCAAGCAGTACGCCTACTTAGGTATGTATTCGTCGGGGCTGAGATCGTGTGGCCACTCAAGGGCAGGTAGGCTCAATTCGAGTATGTATATACACCTAATCGTGAAAACCGCCCACTTAGCCTTCCATCATATACCGACTACCGACTGAGTGTCTGTGCCTCGAGTGATGAGCAGCAGCAAGGGCATTATTGGCAATTATAGTTCCGCCAAGGCACCAAGGCTCTTGGGGGCTCCAAAAGTCAAGAAAAACTTATGAACGTAACGAGATTGCCATTTTTGGGACTTGACATTTGCTGCGATCATGGGTAGTATCCATTTTAGTCTAACATTCTGCACTTTGAGACAGAGAAAAAAGAAAAAGAGTAGATCGAAGGGGATATAGATGGATGGGTGGATAGTTGGATGAATGGGATTTGCAACAGTGAATACGTATAGACCAAAAGTGCATTAGCGTTGCGTTTTCTTATTTTTTTCCCCTCGTTTGTCCTTTTTTTTTTTTTTTTTTTTTTTTTTTGCTTGTGGACAGAAACCCGTTAAACTCGATAAAGTGCATCTCTACTACGATTTCAACGTTCAGGCACTCATAAGAAGAACACCACGGTTGCAGCAGCAGGAGTGTCGAACAAAATTACAATTTTTTTTTCCCGTTCTGAACACCGAGAACCTCCAGTCTATCTGCTAATAAAGAGATATATTCCAAGGATCGAAGAGTCAGTTTTCAACTGGCTGGTTGGCTGGCTGGTTGCCTGCTTCAGTTGATTTGGAGGATTGCTTGGTAATGGTCTCCATTTCCTTCCATCTCCGCTATGTCTCTTCTCTTCCTCTTTCCCTTTTTCTCTTTCTCTACAGTCCCATGGTATGTATACAGTCCATATCGCACATCCTATGCATGGCCCATGCCGCAATGCGTGTGTGAGATGATATAGTGGGTACTACTGATACAGCTTGATAAAGGCCTGCCCTGCCCTTCTTCCGCCCTCCGCCCCCCACCCATCCCGTGTATAAGAAGACTGGAAAAATATCGAAAGAATACTACGCCGCAACGCCGACTAGATGGAAAGAATGTCCAGGTCCAGAGGTGGATGGATGGACGGAAATAACATGGACCCCGCCCCGGTGATACCCAAAAAAGAGAGGAAGGATGATGATGATGTTGGTGACTAAAACAAAATATGCGAAACTTGACCCCGTTCGAAGGAAGGGAATGTGAGGAGGGGTGGCGGCGGCGGCGAAAGACAGATTTATCATGACGGTGTCCGCGTCGATGGAGGCGTGTTTGTCCATGTTCTTTTTTCTGTTTCCTTCTCAAGTGTCGACAGGAAAGTCAAGCAACCGTTCGGGTTCCAATAGCCATATACGTGAACGTAAGCAAGGCCCTTTATGTCAACTCATGTCCTCTCATTGACAGTCCACTTCTTCTTCGTCTTCTTGGGCTTCTCGTCGAACACGGTGGCCTCAGCGATCGGGGCCGGGGAGAACATGGTCGCTCCGGGAACATGCACGCCGTCATTGGGAACCACGCGGCCGGACTCGGTGGTGTGGGCGAGGTTTTGGTCGAGCGCGTACCGACGGTCCCGCTTGCGAAGGTAGGCCCGCCGCCAGAAGCAGGCGCCTATCCAAATACCGACGATGGCGACGACGATGATGACGAGGAAGATGATCCATTGGTAGTGGTTGTCCACCCTGGGAGGTGCATTATTAGTTACAACGTAATGTGGGAGCAGCTGTGCACAACTTTACGACGTCGGCGGGTAGTGTGCGGACGAAAAACCGTTGCGCAGTCACAAGGACGTCGATCAAAGTCGAGATGGAAAAAGAATAGGACGAAAATGGAACATACCATGTGCCTCCGCCGCCTTTGGCCTTGCTGGCGACAGCAGTACTTGTCGACGTTGCTGCTGCACTAGTCGCAGTGGCCTTGCAGTAGCCTGTGTACCATGCCTGTTTGACATCATGTCAGTGATACATACTGTGTGTAGACGGCCACAGGGACATGTGAATTCCCCGTACGTACCTGAATGCGTGCCAAATCTGTAGGAGTAGCCGCACAAGCACCATCGCACACGCCGGCCGTGCCGGTACTGAAGGGAGCTAATCGTGCATCACCACAGAAGCAGTTCTGAAGGACATTGGCGGCGGCTGTCGCGGTTGCGCAGGCTCCGTTGACATCGTATAGAGGACCGCATGCTGTTACGCATGCAGGCAACGATTGAGTTGGGAAAACAGTCGTTACTGGCGCTAGAATACAGTGGTCTTGTTAGGCACAGGAGCAAACAAAGGAACAATGCGGTGACATCTAGAAAGGGCTCCTTGTTGAGAGCCAATGCAACTCGTGAAAAAAAAAAAAAAAAAAAAAAAAAAAGCACCAAGCGCCGTTTAACGTACCAGCCATCCTGAAAGATTATGTACGGTTGGAGGGGGGGATATTCGGTGGTGTCTGTGCAAATATCGACGAGGTCGTTTGAGGTTTGTTTGGTGTTGGTTGTTATTGTTTCCGCAAGAGTTTCTCTTTCAGGTGTGTCGGCTGTCGTGATTCCGCGACAGCGCTGCTGCGGGTTGGTGGCTTGCTCCGCCCCAAAGTGTGTCGGCGGATGGAATGTTACGTCCGCCCGACTGGACCTTCCTTCAATTCCTTCCACCCGATGCCCTCGAATATGCGCCCGTATCGATGCGATTACAAAATAATGAATGTGGGATTTGGGTGGTGTGTTGGTGTTCAATTGACACGTTCCTTTCTATCCGATGTTGGCCCTATTGATTTCTGTCCCTGAACCCGTAGTCGTATGGTCGAAAGCTTATTCGTACTCTCGTCTCACCGTCACACCCGATGTCAGATGGCTGCTGGCGCCCGGATATCGGAAAAGAAATAAAAGACAGAGGGGACGACAGTGCAACCGGATGTGATCGTTTCTGTCCCTGACAAGACGCTATTGTGTTTTTTTACTGTCGTTGTTGTTTTTGGTGATGATGATGACGAAAGGGCAGAAGAAACGATCGCAGATTTGGCTGGGTGTATGAAATTCCGTGGGTCCCTTTGCCGTCCGGGGGGTTTGTCTGAGCAGACAAGTACGCGGATCTTCCCTCAGTTTATTTCCTTGGTAATGTCCGAGTGTTCCTCTCCGATTAGATCAGTCCAAGCGAGCGGACGGAAGGTGCGGATGTCGTCAAAGCTGAACGATGATGGCGTGGCCCGTCGCAAGCGGCAGAGTTTGGGGAGCTCGAGAGTCGAGGAGTCGTCGGGGAAAACGAATGTCGGTGGTCGTCGAGTCGTTTGCTGATGGGGAGATGGCAGCGGTAAAAGGAAAAATAGCGAAAGGGAAAAAGCAAGTGACAAAGGATAGTGTAAAACGAGAAAGGCGAAGCGAGGGGAAAGCGGATGATCACGCAGCGCAAACGAGGGTGTAAGAAGATGGACCAATCTGGACTCTGGCACCGGCTTCTGGTTTTGGTAACCAATGCTATCGGCCTTTGGCTTTGGTTCTTTCTTCCATCCTTTGCTGACTAGAGGTGATGGTGGACAGCCAGCACGCCGGCTTCCCGGTCATCCCTCTCGCTGGGCGTTTGCTGGGCTACCCAGGCCACACGGGCTGAGTGATGGACTCCTGGCCAATCACATGGCCGAACTCACGGTCAAGACCCATCCGCATACGGGAACAATGAGCGCCTAGAAAGGTGTCCCCCGGAGTGCTGGAACAGTGCCACGGAGACACTTGGCTTGGCAAGCATGACCTACAGATTGGATTATGTAGTGGGCACCGGGCCAGGTGGAAACTCAGATCCACCAGCTGGCACGTCGCACTTGTTCCAAACCTCGCAGCTGTCGTCGCCTCGAGTGTTTTGCAACTGAACCAAGTTCCCGTCCCTCTTGCTCCATCTTCCCGAATTCAATGTCTCAATCATGATCCTCAATTCTGTGGCACTCTTCTCTGCTCAGTCAGCAACATCAACATCAACACCAACACCAACGTCCGGTAACACCGTGTGACCTGACTGCCCTCCACGAGACCGAGGGCAAGTGTGTCGAAAACCAGAACAGGATTTCTCAACTAATAATTCGATTCCAGTGGTGACACGTCCAATCTCTCGACATTTCCCTTTTCTTATTTTCCAGCTCAAATCACCCTTGGCACTCTTTGGAGGAGGTCGGTCCCTTGGCTCTGATCCTTGGCATCTGGACTGCGAATCGAGGCCATGCCGCTTTGGGGAGTAGCCGCCATTCCATTCTTCCCTCGACCTGCACTCCAAACCACAAACTCGGACAACGATAGTCTGGGTTGACGTCACACTTTTTTGATTTCTGTGGCAAGTCGTGCTGGATGTCGCAATACACTCATGCTGAGAGAGTTAGTGCGTGAATGCTGCTGAAGACATACCTCCCTCTTGTTTATTGATAATAGTATCATCAATGAGCTCTTTATTTCCCTCCACTGTCTTGGCCGCCAACCACGATGTTGCTTTGCTTTGTCCAGTCAGCACCGGCTTCTTTTGTTCGTATCGGTTGCCGCACCGTTCAGACTCTTTTCAAGTTCCCAGCTTCAAACGACCCTCGATTTTCAAAGGGAGTATCGAACTTTGAGAAACAAAAATGGGACATGAAACAGGAAACAGAAACATAACCGAGCCGCTTCTCGGACACCATCCTCTGAAATACCCCTCATGTGGCGATCCGATCTCCCCGGATCTTCCTTCTGCAGCCAATGTCATCATTCCTCGGGTAATAATCTGGTTCTGATATGAAACTTATGCCGATGCGTACCATTGACTAAACAAAGGAAACCCATCAAGTGGAAAAGAGACACAACAGATCGCCAATGCGACATTCCAGGGTTCAAACTCAACATTTCTTTCTTCATTTTGTCAAAGTCTCAGTCAAAGAAAACATAGAGTTTGACGGGATGACCATGATAACCGGAAGGCTCAGTAGCTGTTATTGCCCCCAACCCTCACAGAGCATCAAAGCCAAGAAAGGCATATGCTAGTTGACCACATGGCCGGTTGCCTTATATCGCAAAATTTGGGTTGCCTTGAGCTTGGGATCATCTCCGTGTCACCAGTGGCTTGCTGCTGTGCCATTCTCACGTGGCAAAGCCGTCTCTCAGAGCAAGAATATCGTCCCTTTCCCATCCGATTTTACGCCCGTATGGCATGTTCGAAGCTCCTTCCGCGCTTACATGCTTTGCTGTCCAATATATCCAGGCTGATCCGATGTGTTCTTGGATGTGATACTCTCCATTCGGCGGTGAGAAAAGGGCAGCCCTGCACGCATGGGCGGGCATGGTGCGTTGCAGCCTTCTCTATTCTAGGTACAGCATGCAAGTGCATGATATGTGCATGCGCTTCGGCACATGATACCAAGTGACGGGTAGGGTGACAGGATGAAAAGGACGAAAAGTTTCGAAATTAACGTGACTTGGTACCGGAAACAGCATCCGTGGACGGTCGAACCTTTCCTTCGGGTGTCGGAACTGAGTCCCTCGTGCTTCTCCACGCTGCTGTAGAACCCGCGGATGCCCCCATTCGCTTCCATTCCCCTGGCAGGTATACCTATCTCGTCCTTCGGTCGCGCAGTCGGGTATGATCAGCTCATCAACATGACATGGGCGGTCAAGCTCTCCTGCACATCACCTTGTGCTTCTGCTGCTTGAGCTCGTCAACGACTGGCTTTGGACTCTTGGCTCGCTTCGTTGTTCTACACCACACTACGGGCGACACTAGACGCTGTGAAACTGTCCAGACGCAGTTGTGGAAAAAGCACCGCGAATCCCCATAGGTGCTATGGTCGTCGAGGCTATTCAAAAGGTATCACCTGACGATAGGACATCAAGCCTCAACTACCTTTAGACGCGAGATTGCCTGTCCATGTAAGGCACTGACCTTTGCCTGTAGTACCGCCGAAGTGCATCGCTCGTGGGGGCTTTGGCTCCCAATTTCCATCACAGGGACATACTGACGGTCAAAATGCAACCCCCACTCGCCGCGAGACCTCTGCTATGGTCGCAGCGCGAGTACGTGGCTGTCCGTGGAAGATTATCTTTAAAGTGCGGTTGGAAACACGACCTCGGGGCTTCCTATTGGCAACCAAGGCTTTAACGACCATCTGGACTTGAGAAAAGTCGCACGAACTGTTTGAAGTCCGAGGGCAGCAAGACTGGCCGGTATCCGCGGTACAGATCATTATCCGAGCCAACTCCAAGAAAGCCATCAGCAAGGTGAACACCATGAACTCGCTGATCTTTCCTGCTGCCTCTCGCGGTCCATCTCAATATACACCACACCCTGGCCCCCATACGCCATACCATTCTCTATATTTCAGCGCAATCAAGAGGCATCAGACTTGTCCCGATGATGTCGATTTAGGGTTCGTATTCGAACCCTATGACTTACGAGCTTTGCTCGCTGGTACACGAGATGTCTTGTTCCCGCGTGTGAGGGAAGTACTGGGATCTGACCTGGCATCTCGCCTTGTATATCTCCTGCGAGCCTTGCTCCGGAGTGACTTCAACCCTGTCGTCAACGGGAGGTTGCATATGGTACGGCGATGCGGTCGAAGCAACAAGTATGTCACGCCGTCACCTTGGTGAATGTTCACACTTCTAGTTCGCATACTAATCAGTTTACGAGAGGCCCAGTTGTGAATCAAAATTTCCTACCCTGCAACCCAAGTTATCCACTAACGATACTAGGAAGTAGCAGCTTGTGCTACGGCCATCGTTAGAACCGTTTCCCCCCTGATATTTTGTACAGTACTTGCGGGCCGTGAGATGACTGGGCTCACTTGCTGTTTATAGGATATGTGAAAACCCATGACAAGCTGCACCTTTCCGCGAGCAAGCACTCTTTGATAACAAATTATCAAGCCAGGGCGCTTATGATATGCTGGCTGTCTTGGGCAAGATCCCCGTCTTCGGGACTCGGAACCTCCAGGTTGCGGATACGGATTCCGGCTTACAGTCACGGACCGGCTGGATAAGGCCCGCTGTGGGAATCCTTGTCGGGACACTATGGATTTCGAGGCAACAACTAAAAATCAAGTGCTTCTTCTAGTTGAGACCGGCGCCGATGGGAGGAATATTCACGAAGACGGCAGTCCGTCGTAATGTTCAAATGCTTAAGGTTCAAGAACAACGCTAAGATGGCAATGCCTCGGAGAAAATGACCAGGAAAGGCATCCATATTACTGAAACATATCGAGCATGACAACCCCCCTTTCTTCCAGGATGTCTGACAGCTGACAACAATAGAAGACAACTCCCTAGTATGTCACCTAGGGCGGGAAATGCTCGACGGATGCTTTCAATCCTGCGGCTCAACATTCCTGGTGCCTGCCTTCGGGTAGTACGGGCGGGACACTGCCTATGTAGGCCTTATGTAGCTGTCATCACAGGCTACCATTCGACCGTCCTATCCTCTCAAACGACCTCATGTTTTAAATAGACAATATCCCACTTGGATTGGGATTGCCCAAGCCTTGAAGTGCATACTGCGCCTCTCCCACACCTGGAAATTTCCAGATTTCTTCGTCATGCGGCCCCCTGCTATGTTGCAGGTTGAAATCCGCCAGTGTCAACTAAACAGGCGTGAGAGACTACAAAATGTCACCCTACGCACGTAGGTCGATGCTGCTGGCACACACATGCACTCCATCGATATAAAGCGTGCATGTCATACACCATGCGTGGCTTACATGCTGGCACTATAGTTGGAAGAAGACTGGCTCATGAGCGGGATACTCAGACCGGAAATCACCCGAGACTGGGGATACCTTGACTCCCGTGAGCTTCGACGAATGCGTATCAACTCTCGTCTATACAGACCTGGCGAGTAGGAGATGGGTGATCTACACCGGTCAATCTACGTTGGAACCAACCTATCCAGAATCTCACGCATACACCACTTTGTGGACACCAAGCTTCCATCTACCACCACACTCGGGGGGAAGTATAAAAAGAAAGCTCTTCCGTAGGTCCATTGCCATCTCGATAGCATCGGCATCAGGACCCAGTTCTTCATCATTGTTTGATCATTGTCAACATCCCAACTGAACTGAATCGCAGTCCCATATAAACTGCTTTCACTCATCGATCAACTAAGCGCTCTAAATCCAACATGTCCGGACAAGCTTCTTCAAGCAACAGTACGTCTATCTCCAGGTGCCACCTTCAGCACAACCCGACTGCCACCCCCCTTTTGACACTTCTTTCACGCACTATGTCAACCATAGATCTTATCCCTTTCCCTCCTCTCTCTCCCCTTTCCCATCCTCGTTCCCATCCCCTCCTCCCCTTACTCGTTCCCATCCGGCCTCCCTCCAGCCTGCCTTCCACTTAAGCAAGCACTTTACTAACTTCCTTCCACCAAACTACCTAGTCAACAACTCAACAAACTCCTACTCATCCTCCCCTTCTTCCAACAACAGCACCAGCAGCAGCAACTCTATCAATTACTCCGCCTACAAAGACACGTACGGCTCCGCCAACGGCAACACCCCGATGGATCGGTACAAGGAGCAGAGCCGCTATGAGGAAGGGTGGAACTCGCACCATGTTACTAGCGGTGGGAGTGGTGGGGGTTATGGAGGTGGGTATGGGAAGAAGTAGGGTAGGTAGGTACCTACATGGTAGTAAATTGCAGGATGGATGAGTTGGAGGAATGGAAGGGGGAACTGGAACGGTCGATGGGGGTGGTGACATAGGGCTGGTTTGATTCAAATTTGGTCCTGGCCTGGTGCTATGGAAATCGCGGGGGCAAGAGGTGGGTGTGCGGCTTTCACGCATATGGTTGGTGAAGTGAAGGGATAGATGGAGAGAGGGATGATGGGATCGAGGTGGAGATAGAGGCTGATGCTGGTCCTCGCTTTGGGTAGGTACCTCTACCTCTACCTTACCCTTTTCTCTTTGATCGAGTATAGGATGGCAGGAGGTTGTTTGAGTGGCATAGGCTGGGGCTCACGATATCGTCTGGTTTGGTAACATGTTCCTTTGTTCGATAGTTAGGTTTGGGATGGCTTGGGTTTTGTGGATTTCGGGTGTTGGTGGTGTTTATGCTGTTTGGTCATGGTTATTGATTATCTCTCATGCTTGTCGGACATTTGGTTGTATTGATACTATTTTCGGGCGTTCTATTGGACTGTAGGCCGGTTGCTCAGTCGTGTTTGTTAGGTTCGTCTTGTTCAATTATGATTATTTCCTCTTTTCCACGGGCGATAAGGTCTGTGCCGTGGGGGAAGTTGCCTACTTAGAGGTAGCTTGGAGTTGTAAGCCGTGAGAGGGAACAAGAAACATGACTGAGAAAGCAAGCTTGTGAGGCTGGAAACAGGCAAGTGAAATTCTCATAAGTACCTCTAGTACGTCTCGTCGATGGAAACATGATGGCCAGAGCTAACTCTATTTTCGTGTAGATTACACGACAGGCATGTTACCTCTACTCAGATAGAACGCTATTTCTCAGGGCACTATGAGAGGTTAGTACTCGCTTTGAAGTCTGGCGAATGCTTTTTTCATTATGGTACTGTCCAATACCCAGACCTATTCAAGGTCCTTTCGGCTCACCGCAAAACCGCGGAACCTCGGAACCTTCCCGGCACAAAGAAAACGCCTACGGGAATTTAGTCATGCACCAAAAACCTTTATCCTTTTTCTGATCTCGTGTCCTCTTTGGGCCCAAGCACAATGGCATTCACGCGACTCTCTTAGATGCCCCTTCATCCCACATACTCCAAAATGCACATCCCCAAGAGGCACAGAATGGCTGTTCACTGGCATTATGAGAGATGGAGTTTGAGTAATTGAAGAGCTGTTCACTAAATTCATCGGTGCTTTGTCTCAAGCGAGCTCTAAAATGGGTAACGGGGGTTCTTTTGGGGGTTAAATATCCAACAATATCCTTGTTTTTTGTGCTCCCCACCATCAGTACCCCCATCACCAACTACAACTGGTCGAATCTTTTGGCTCATCAGCAATTAGAGGAGTTTGTGAGATTTTGAACTTTTGGAAGAGTATTTGATCTGGAGGGTAGAACTTTCCCTGAGACTCCAGTAGAAGTACAAAATGGCAATTGTAAGTACCACCATACCCTTCCTCCTTTCTCTTTCTGCCTAGGTATAACCTAGGTACCAAACAAATCGACTCGCTAACTTGTATACTTCACAGACCTACATCAGTCCCCGAAAGCTGAAGAAATATTACATTGATCCGTCCTGTGACGCCAAATTCGACCAGCAATTCGACGGGTTCGTTCAAGAGGCCATGGAGTATGCCCGCCAAGCCGTGAATAGGCTCACATCCTCCTCCGACTTAGACTTCGCCCGGGTCTACGAGACTCTCTTCAAAATGCCAAAGTCCGACAAGCAAAGGTTCAACTGGGCAAAGGACTTCCGACTGATGAACCCCCACAGTGCCTCGGTCCGAATGACAGCTTATGAACATGTCGTCGGCGTATTGAGAGACTTTGCTACAAACTGGAGAAGGACTCCCAACCACTGGGAAGCAGATGTACGGTTTCACTGCGACGCTCGTAAGTAACCCCCCATTTTCTTCCATGATCAGAGTTCCCCTCCCTGTTCAATCTCAAGCCGTCAAGACCTTTGCATGATGCTAATAACCTAGGTACAGAAACCCGCTTCATCCCCATACACCACTCCAGCTCCTCCAGCCTCTCCTCCTCCTCCTCCCATCTCACCTACCTCGACCCCACAAATTCAGTCTTCAACACCGGCTCCTTCCCCTCCAACCTCACCCGCCAAGCCTTTACTTCCCACGAACTTTCTACCGAGGGCGCAAAAGGACAAGTCCATAACCTATTTGGTCTCACCGGCATCCAAGGTCACTCCAACGTCCAAAACCCAGCCAGGGTCGTGATCGACCTAGGCCAAAAAACATGGGAGGCCTTCTCGGACAGCATAAGAAGCATAAGGGAAAAGAAAAGTTCTTCTAGATACCAGGATAACGCCAGTGTGTCGGACCTCACATGCATGTTGCTCAAATACAAAAGTAAAGTGGATGATGTCTCGCAATGGTCGTCAGTGCCAAAAATCATCTTCCACGAGATGATGCATTGTCGATACTACGGCCTTCACGATGCAAATGCAAATGCAAATGCAAGTGCTACATGTACATGTACAGTGGGCTCAAACTGGCAGTCGTGCATGGATGTCGTCCGCTGGGGATCTGGACCGAGTTGCGTGGTCTTGAATGCGGAGAGCTACGCGATGCTGGGCCTCATGGCTTGGCTGGCTGATGTAAGGCCTGACGATGAGGAGACGAGTGGGTATACTTTGTCGCGAGAGGATGAGGGGGAGAGGGTCATGGGAGTGGTGCGCTTTTATTCGGATATTACTGCCTAAGGTACCTCTAGGTGGAATGTCTCTCTTTTGTCTGTTCAGCTTGCACGGTATCTCCGACGTGACCAGTAGTTCTGGGCCCGGTCTGGCACTCTTTTGGTATTATTTCTCCTGTGTTCTATCACCGTCTTGTCCCTACTGATTGTTTTTGGTCTTATAGCACGATTCCCTAGATTTTCCTGGTCTTAGGGACTCTCTTGACCCTTTCGTTTTATCTCATTCTTTCTTTTACGCATCTAGAATCTTAGGTGCCTCTTGACTTCACTAATGTCTTCGCCTTCCTGTCAGGGCGAATTTAACAATCTCATCTATTCTATGTTCCGAACTTAATTTTGTTCAAAACGCTGGGAATTCCAGGTCAAAGTTCGGACCTAACTATCCGTATTCTTGCCACTGCCAGGAATGCCAGTGACAGCCGACTTAGTACCCCAACCTGTATGCATGCATCTTTTGTCTTTGTCTTGGTTTCAATGAAGGTCCAGGTGAAGACGCCCCAAGTGAAGGAACTACCCAGTGAATAGTGACTCAGTTGACAAGCACTTTCCTTCTGATATGAGGACGTTTCTCGTAAAGACGCGTATTGCTCATATACGATAGTGAGACTGGACTCTTTCTTGGGTGCTAGGCATCAATGCCTCCTAACCCAGTTTTAATGGAGGACGGATATGCATATCGATAATAGGAATCACGTTATTACGTTAATCGTCGTCGCCGTGAATACATGTCTTTCGGATATAACGGAGATTTCTGCCTGTCGTTCAAGTGGACAGTTCCGAGCTGTGTTCAGTGACACACCCCGCTCGATATGGTCAGTTTCATGTTCACTCCTTGCCCTAAGCATCACAGCTTCAAGAATGTACTACAAATTGTGCACGACAGTTACACCCGTGTTTCCAGTCGAGCTTCACTACCCATCTTGTGCCCGTATCTTCCATGCCAGACCCAATGACGGAGCTTATCTCCTGTTGGTGTGACCTCCGTGAACCCCTCAACAAACATGTGTGAGTGTCCGACTACTTGCATGAACGACGATGCGTAATGCCAAATATTGGGTTCCCCAAAGGTGAAGAGCTTCGCCCATATAAAGGGCAGACAGAGCCCCTGCCCTGGGGATCTTCAATACCGCAAGTAGCTCTCACAAGCGGATAATATCTAGGGAATTCGTTTGTTGAGATGCCTCAATAATGAAGCTACCTACGCTACCTAGCCCCGCAATCATGATGCATCAGCTCCAGGCTGGATTCTTCATGTTCAGCCATTCAAGCATTCATGTTTAAATGTTGAAGTGTAGGTAGGATGGGTGGTGAATGTCATCGGAGTTATGTTCGACCATCATGGCAACAACACATGATGAAGAGCGAATACATATATTGCCAACATCCATGACATGCTCTCCTGGGGCAAAGAAAACAAGCCAGGATGTCCATAAAGGCGGGCCATAATGATTTTCCCCTGGAGCTCTTAATTCTTTTTCTTCCCCATCCGCACCTGAACTCGAGGGAAACGACGGCAAGCCATCAGTCAACCACAAGCTTCAAGTCAAGACCGAGATCACACAACGCTATCAAGAGGTACGTAGTTTGCCTTGAATCTGCCGATACTCGTTAAACGCAGTATCTGACTGCATCTAGACCTCCCAAGAACCAACGCCAATCGAACAGGCAACAGCCAAAGCCAGATACTCAAGCAGTAATCATGCTACCAAACACCCAGAACCCCAGCGCCCAGGTGGTTCGGGAAGTCCACGAGTTCGATGCAAACTCCTCGGCCAAAGGGCCAGGCACACCACATGCCTTTGCCAACCACTCCTCCTCCTCCTCCTGGATTTTTTTTTCCCAGCCACCCCAACCACGACCATATCCTCCCCTTCTCTTATCCCCTCCTCCTCCTCCGCCGCCGCGGCTACCACCCAGAAGCAGCAGCTTCAGCCCCTCGACGTAACCCATTCAGTAATTTCCAATTTCGGCGTCATCGGAACGGACGCGATTTTCGTGGGGTACACAACTCCCACTGGAGCCACCGAAGGAGTCCTTTCGGTTCCGTCGCCGTCATCATCACCGTCGCCGTCAGTCTCCAAGCCGCCAACAAGGCCTGGACCTGACTCTGAACCTGAAGGGGAGTCGAAGTCAGGGGCACCACCAATAGGAAAAACAACGGCGCAGGTGACAGCAGGCCAAAACACAGTCACGGCTATTTTGATTACATGTACATCACGGGCGCGTAATGCCGACTTTACACCACGTGAGAAACAAGACGAAGACAAAGAGGTCGAAGAGGCTGCAAAGAAGAGAAAAATTAGGAAGCAGACTGCTGCGTCATATTCTGTCTGTGCAAAATGGTTGAGAGAGCAGATGGAAGACTTGGGGCGAGCAAAGGCAAGAAGGGAAGGAAGAGAAGAGAATAGGTAGGGAGGCAAGCAGATATGGATAAGTAAAAGGGAGTTAGAGTGGTTGTGACTGGTTGGGAACTTGGGTGCAGCGGTTGATCTGAGGGTAAAGGAAGTTACCTCTAGTAGGAAAGGTGGAAGGTGGGATTGGGCATCAGGGGAGTTAGATGACATCATCTCTTCTGCTTAAGATGGAAGGCTCCGATGAGAAGCGAACGGAGGGAACAGTGAGAATTTTGAATGAACAACGCAAGAACGTAGAGGTAGGTAGGGATCCAAGAACGTACTTTCTTCCAAGTCAAAGCGTGAAGCCGACGAATGCGAGTGGTGTGTTCGGATCCATGTCTTTGCACGCCCTGCCCCTTTCTAATCCGGTGCTCTCCATAGAATGTGAAGCTACGTACAGGGTCACTTGATCACCAGGGGCACCGAAAAAAGAAACTCTAAGCCTTGCCATGTGATATTGATACTTCAACTTGCTCATTCTATTACGCCTTTCGGGGTGGCTTGGGTAAGTCAAGGACTAGCCCTTCGGCAATTCAATCCTATCCCCTGCCAGGTCTGGATAGGTAGAGGGAATCAAAGTTGGGGGAAAAGCAACGAAAGAGGAATAAAAAAACGGAAAAATCCGAAAGAGAAGAAGAAGAAGATAAGAGAGAGAGAGAAAGAGAGACGGGAACGGTAGCGTAGATGACTTACGACTAGGTACTAAGCAGGATAGTAAACGTCAGCAAGGTACCTCTAAGGAGGTAGCCTCGCCTCGCCTCGTCTCTTGTACAAACTACATGTACGGCTTATATGAATCCGGCCAAGGGGTCTCGCAACTCCAGTGCACTTCTACTAGAGAATAGCGAGGAGAATCCATCGTCCAACGCTTTTTTTTTTTTTCTCTCTTTTTTTCGCCTTGACCAAGGCAAAAGAACAAGCAAACAAAAAGCAGACCCATCGACTCGCTCATGTCCTCTAAAGCTATGGAATGCCAGGATTTCCAAGCTCTATCAGTTGAGAATATATCGAACACGATTATTCGGATGTTTTAGGTCCGAATTAGGAAGTTGCAAGTAAAAGAACTTTCGACCTTCGAGAAGTCTGCGTCTGTTCAGAGTGTTCACAAATCAAGTCTGCCAACATCTACCTCTACTTGGCCCGTGAATCTCATCTCGCTCGGCTCCTCATGGGAGAACTACGAGGCAAAATAGGGTGGGCATACATACCACTACTAGACAGCCCTCACAGGAACAGAAAGACAAACCGGATACGAAGGCTGACAGGCAACCCGTTGGTGCATTCGGGCACGGTCTTTGGCGTCTTTGGCAAAGTTGAAGGCAAGTGGAGAGGAAGGGCAAGGACATGGGATGACAGGAAGACGATATAACTTGACGTTGGCCGTCAGCCGTGATTGACACTGCGTCTACCTACCTATGCAAGGTCCAGCCCCAACGCGGTTCGTCCCTACAATCCACTACAGAGTTTCGAATAGGTACGCATCGTACCGGGCAAGCTTTTCTTGGTTACTTTATTCCAATGTTATTCCAATGAAGAAGAGGGCACTAGTCGGAGTAGCTGGTGTAAAACTGGCCTAACTTCCCACTATCTTCCATCTGATCTTCATGGCACGCCGATCAGGCAGCAAGACTGGGGTATAATTTGTCTACTAAGAAGGACCCGCCCCAGAATGGGCAGCCTTGGTTTCTTCTCCAAGAATACCAGAGCTGTCGGTTACAAAGCAGACCGAAGACTGTTATGAAGATAACCAATAGTAGGAGGATATCATCATCAGCTTATCTCGGGCGAAATTTGACCGCACAAGTGTACGATATGATGGCGGCGAGGTGTGCGAAATTGCTTCGGCTTTAGGCAAACCCAAGTATGTTTCTCCTGGTTTCTTAACCTCCGACATAGTTCGGAGAGAGAGTGGTCTGTACGGTAGAAATAGGGTTTGTCCAAAAAGAAGGTGCAGCTCCGAGCTTGATAGGTTCGGTATAAAGCTGCGGGGGCCGACGAAATGAGGCAAAGGCTCACAGCTCATACAGTACACAACTCGAAGGTGAAAGGACCTTGAACCTTCACCGGCATTGGGCAGACAGGATAACCATGAAACCGGTGAGTGTCTCACTTGTTGTTGATGCTTCTGTTCCAAGCTGGCACAGCTTAAAAAGCAAAAAAGAAAAGAAAAGAAAAAGGAAAGAGAGGGAGCTTGCTAAGCCTTACCAAAAGGTGTGTAAGGTGTCTGCCGTGTATGTACATAGTATGTGTCTGTGGCCTGGCAGTTTGGTTCGGATTTCGCTGAGGGTCTCACCATTTCCACACCCCGGTTTTCCGGCAATTCAATTCCCAAACATCTGGTTTGGCCCTATATAGCGTATATATATGTATATTTGCGGGGTTCCCCTCATGGAACACAGAGCTCGGTCAGTGTCTCGGTGTGTTTGGTCCGATGGAACACTGGGCACCTAGTAGGGTTTTCGATCAAGGAGTGCTGCACTGTTCTTCACATATCGTCGATACCTAGTGGCTATAAGTTGACCAGTTTTCCCCATCTTTTGGGGAAATGGAAGATGTCGACGATCTCGTTTGGTGTCTTGAAATGCTGAAAATCATATGATGTGTCACCGATGCGGGTAAGGGTGTGGATGATCATGTTTCGTTTTTGCATCCGGAACTCATGGGGGGCTTGAGCTATTGTGTGTCGCGGGATCTTCCGTTTCGCCTGCGTCCGGTGGTTCAAAGTGTGCCGGGGACGATGGGCACGGTTCCGTGAGTGAGGACTGTCACTTCCCCGGTGAGCTACGACTGGAGCAGTTCCGGGGCTTGCGGTCGTTGACGATGCGCTAGAGAATGGCGTCCAGCTTTATTCCTTGCTGAGTCCTTAGGCGCCCCGCTCACCGAGTTAAGCCCCTGATTGGGCGCACATGGAGGAGCTGTGATGATCGGCCTATTCTGGCCTTTCTTGCCTTCTTCTTGCCCGTTCCCGGACATGATGGGCACACAATGTCAATGGAAGCACATTAATCAAGGCCGAGGGGGGGTTCAGTGAGTGAGTGCTTGGGCCTACATAGTGTAGTAAAGGGAAATGGTTCGGTGCATTGTATCCCGCCCAGTGGCCACCCGCCACAGTCTCCCACAAGTGTACCCGTCCGTGATAGTGGTCGGTTTGTAATTCATGACTAGCGGTAAATACCATAATTATGGTAAATTTCATGTAAAAATGCCCATTTTGACCATTCTTACCTGATCATGTGACAGCAAGCTACTGAATGAGGTAGATCTGGCCCAGTTAATGCCCGGTATGTACCTAGTAGTAGCTGAGGTGCACGGACGGTGGCACGGACCATTGAATTAGCTGTAATTACAGTAAAAATGTAATTATGTGTAAAAATGCCATTTTTTCAGAAATGATCGATCACTAGTCCGTGATGATTGGAGAGTGATTGGGCGGCCAGCAATGGAGCATGGAAGCTACCTAATAAAACCGGGTCAGCACATGGAACAAACACAAGAGGGAAACCAGGGCATCAACCTGTACTGTGTCAAGAGGGGATAAGATTGAGCACATATGCATCACTAACCTACTCCCTTTTGGCAATGCCCTGCCAATGCCTTCTTGCTTCGTTGCAACGTGTGCTGGCCTTGGTTGCTTCACCAATACGTGTAGAGAGTGTATATCAATGTGTTATCCCCCGCGCCCTTTTCGCATCCACGTATTCAGGTATAAATGTATTCTGGTTTAAACCCAACGTCACACTCAGAATCCCCCTTGCTGTGGCGGAAAAGTTCAAGGACGACCGACCACACGGATACCTTTCCATACGGCCTTTTCTGTCTCGAAAGTCTTGTGAGCGTTCGCTGGCACCAAAGTGAATAGTCATTCAGTGGCGACTGTTTGATTGCAAATAGGACGGGCCTTATCTGCCCCGCTTGCCTGACTTGAGAGAAAGTCTGCATCATGGCTGCCACGCTCCCACGTCCGGCTGTCCTGCCGCACTCCAGCGGGTGGCAGTCGTGTTCAGCTTCAGATCGGTTTTCACTTGAGACTGTCTCCTCTTCGCCAGCACCATCAACCACTAGCGGCAACAACACCACGGCGGAGAGCTTCGCCAGCACTACGCCCACCAATAACCCGGACCCGTCTACACCAAGTGGGACTGAATCACGATCAGCACCAAACCAACACCAGCAGCAGCATGTCGGTTCCAACATGTCGCAAAGCGTCGTCTTGGTCCATTCAAGAGGGCTGGAGTACAACCGTCCAGTTCCAATATCGATGCAAGATATTGCCTGGTATCCGATGCAAGAGTCACCGCAATCTGAAGACGGTGTGACGAGGTCTTCCCCCGAGATGCTCGTAGCCGTATGGCCGACAACAACAACAACGTCAACAAGGACAACATCAGCAACAGATGGGCGCAGACGACAACCATCTCAGAATGTCAGCATCAGCGCGTCCGCCGAGACACCGTTCATCCACATCCCGCGATGCAAGCTGTCCATCACTGATTTTGACGACCTTCGCCAACCGTTACCTGGAGCAGGAAGAGGTCCCTATCCGGGACACGGAAGCATCAAGATCGAGCAGGTCGCTCTGCCGCGAGCCGTAGTGCAGCAATTCCTCTCTGGCATCCGCCTGCCCAACGAGCTTGCCGGTGGTGTGGATGTTGACGTCGCGTTTCCCCGCCACTTTGATGACGACCATGAGTGGGTGCAGTCGCGGTGCATCTTGTCAGACTTTTCCGAGCTGGACGAGGAGGAGGCGGCTCGACTGTCCAGCGAGGGGAGGTTGTGCTGCTGGGGAAGCATCGTATTGATGAGGGATGGAGAGCATGGATGGGACCTGGGATTCGTGGTGCACCGAGTGTTGACTTGTGGATGCGGTGGTCGATGACGGGTCATCATCCATTGTCACTTCCACCGACGGTACACACCTCTTTTCACGGTACACGTAGCATTCCATCATATTGACTGTGTCGATTCCGGGAATTTGGCGGTTTGTTGCTCTTTCCTTCTGGGTCAACAGGATGAGGT